TTTTGCGATTTTTTCCCGCAATTTTCCCCGGGGACAGGCGGTTGCACGGTGCGGTGCTCGAGCTGGTGTTGATTGTACACACTATACTACAGACTAGTACAGTACACTGTACAGTCTACAGAGCTAGAGTAGAGTCTACGTACAGTGAGCATGCACGGCTACAGAAACACGGTGAACTGACTGTGTACTGTTGTACACTGTGATCCCTGCTGGGACGCGCTCGACGCGTCTTCAACGCCAACGGTACAAACATCGAAGAAAAGTCTTCGATCGAGTCAACCAAAACACGATTCGAATGCCGAGGGCTCAGGCGATCATCCTCGTTCGAATCGTGTTTTGGTTGACTCGAAGGCTTTTCTTCGATGTCTCAGGGACATCCCAAAAGGCCAAGCTCTAGCCAGCAGAGCCTGGAATTTTTGTAAAGCGTTCCTGTGGCGGCGCAACTCCTGCTGCCGCTCCAACAGGAAACAGTGGGAGTGATGAAGTCGCTGTTATTCCAGACAATCCAGTTGAACTTTCGGAGCGGACTGACAGTCAAACTCCGCCAGACGTGGAAGAACCTGTTGTCAGCGAGCAGCCAGAACATAAAGAACAGCGCACAGTGACAAGTACCGCTGCCTATGTAAAGGATGCTTTGAGAGCGGTGAGAAATTGTTGGACTCGCAAAAGAAAAAAGCAGTTGATTCGCTCACATAACGGCAAATTTGAAGTTTACAATGTACATTTGTTGCTGCGTGTACAGAAATACTGCTCGTGGTGTGTGAGATTTACGGCTTGTTGTTGTTGTTGTTTATTTTACTTCACCAAATGAACAGGCAGAGATGCCTTCTCACCTGCCCATAGGACAGGTTCTCACAGAATGATGAAGGGATTATATGCAAGGGAAAACAAGAAATGATAATAATAATAATTATAACTTATAAGACAGAAAGGACCAAAAGAAGAAAGGGAAAAATTTATATCAAGAACAATTTCATGGAGTCAGAAATAGAAAGACAATAATTTCATGGTGTCAAAGAATAGAAAGACAATCTCATGGAGTCAGGAACACGTGGTTGATTTTATAGACATGCATGCACAAGTGATTGATAGATGAGAAGGTTGGAATTTATGGCAGATAATAAAAGTTTAACGAGGACAAAGTAAGTATATCAATGGCAGAAAGAGCTTTTCGGAAGGGACCAGGGACACGTATCACTCTAAAATCAGAGGGGAGAGCGTTCCAGAGAATGCTTCCCCAAAACATCATGCTCGATCGTACCGCAGGCCCACGGAGAAAGGGAACTTGAAGCAAGTTTGACACTTGTCCCCGTGTGGTGCGCTGATCCTCCGGAACAGTCTCTGGGGCCGTTCGGGTGAATACTGTGACTGTTGAAGAAGGGGCTACAGGAGGAGCTTCTTGACATTGGTTTTCAAAATGGCTGACCTGGGACAGTAGCATGATGTCATCTACCCCCACCCCGCCTTGATCCCGGCCGCAACCCCCCCTCAGCCAAATCCTGGACACGCCACTGCAGGTGGTCTCCTTATCCAAGGTCATTTGGCTGGAAATAGCATCCCTTGGTCCTGGTTTCAGTGGTCTTTTAGAACAGGCGGTCGCCTTATCCGAGTGGTCGCCTTGATAGGTTTTACTTTCTAGTAAGTCAATACTAGTGCTACACTTGACTAGCAATGTACAGTGCATTGTGCTTGTTGAAAGTGGTCATTGCCGGTGACTTCACAGTACCTGTGCTTGCTTCACCGTGTTCGGAAAGCCATCCAAGATCCAACCCATGTCCTTGTCCAGAGTTCTGCCATACAGACACACAGTGAGGAGGTCAAGGGTAACCCACAACAAGCCACATCGCCACACCACCATCAATATTCCATACACAAAGCTTGGACACTATGAGACTAACTCTCTTCTCACCAGATCAAACATATAGAACTAAGCAGTTCAGAAGTTCAGAAGCTTTGCAATTTCAAAACATTTTTCTACAGGAAGGTCAGTGGTTTGCACCAACTATCAGCCATATCAAGAGTACATAACCTCCAAGAGTGTGCAACTCCAGCTATGCGGTCTGCGATGGCAGGACAGTGCTTCACTTCACGTGACAAACTCGTACACATTATTTGCTCCCTATGTACGATGATACAGGGTTGTATGCAACCCTTCTTCGGGTTTGACTCTGCTATGGTCACTTTGCGCTGTTTGCCAGCGTAACCTTATAAGTTATAAAGCCAGTGTCACATGATGTGATACATATGTGCAGTAATGCTATACAAGCAAACAGTGGCTGGCAAGTTTGAGCATTTCCGTAAGTCAACGGCAACTCTGCTTTGTGTAGCAGTTGCGTGTACACCCAAGATTACCGCAACAGAATAGGCACTTACTGAAGCTCCATGGCAAGCAGCTCCATTAGAACCTTGTCTGGCACAGACCATCCGACTGCAAGATATTCCACAATCTTGCGTCCAACAACGGCTCTTGGTGAGAACTGCGCGCAGAAATCAAGATCACAATCCACACCATGGTGTAGAAATGCTGAATTCTGTAATTTCACAAATTTTCGGTATACTTTTATTTTTGGTACTTGCGGTGCGTCTGTTTCACACCTAAAATTTCAATACACCAAACAAACACTAACACACATAATCCAATAGGGAACTGCTTCTCTGTACCTAAAATTTCTGTTCACCTAACCTGGCCTGTTGCCTTCATAATATTGAGCACCAAAAATTTCTGAAATTAGAGCATATTGTTCCAGTGCACTCAAAACGTAATTCGTTGCTTCAAAAACATGGATGCAGCGAATGGGGTTTTCGGTCATTGACCTCTTGGTGGTAGGTCTGATCTGCATGCCTCACATTGTTTAAGAGCTGCATCTGTGCCTTGATCCTAGAGGGCGGTGGCGTTCCTACAGATGCGGAAAGCTCAGTCTAGCAGAATTTCATGTGAACCGTGAATTTTTCGGATCACCCGACATGCAAGCTCAAACAATATAGTTATAGTCACTCGAAGGTCACTCAAGTACAAGACTGAAGTGAGTATTGCCCTGACTTTATTGCCTTGCCGCTCAATGACAGCGGATACTTGGACAGATCTAGCCCATGAGACTGGCTTGCCGGTATAGACAAGGCCTAGGGATACTAAAGTAAGTCACAGCTCTTCCCTTGGAGGCTGAGGAACTTTGCTTGCTGGACAGCATGGCAAGGAAGGCCCTAACTGCAGGTTGAGCTCGCAAGCCTGGTGCTACAAACCTCCACCACCACTTACCACAGGTTGAGGAATGCTGCGGTCTAGTGTTCACCGTGGATCTCGATGACCATGCTCGCATCCCTTTCACCCTGTGGCTGAAGGATCGTGCTGATGTCCCTGCCCTGGCTACTGTCCCTAGAACCACTTTCATGCCAACTGCTTTTCGTTGTCATGTGCTTCGCCTGTGAGAGCATGAATTCCGATGCTACAATTCTTCACTCCCGCCAAGCTATTTCTTTTTAAGCTTTCGGGATGGAAAAAGGATCACAATTATTAAAGAGTGGTTACCGGCATTCGGACCACGCCATGGAGTTCGTCTCACCTTCAACCAGGAGCCGGAGAAGTCAGGATCGATGACTTCAATCTCAGGATCTGCAGGTAGATTGACCAGCCCGTTGATTGGACACACTTGCGAGGTTCCATGCGTGACAACGGGCATGGGCGTCGCAGGAGTTCTGACGGATTCCGGTCGTGATGGAGTCTTAAGCCTGACTGACTTTGACGACTTGGTAGCCACTGATGCAGAACTCTTCAAAGCTTCCTCTTGCGATGGGAGAGCAGCATCTGGAGAAACAGCAACCGATTGTGCTGATGCGTTCTGGAGCTCCGTCCTCTCAACTCGTTCTCGTTGGAATTGCTTGCTTCTCTCTCGCAGGTTTCTCATGGTTGCTGCAAACTCAGCCTTCTGGTCTTCAAATACCTTCACAGCTGATTCCACCAGGTAGTCCATTGTGATGATCTTCAACGGATACTCTGTATTATGGGTGCCGACCAAACACACATACGCACATACACACATGCACGCTCACGCACACATACACACATGCACACATACACACATACATACACACATGAGATCCCACGCACGCCCACGTGCATACACACACACACATACACACACACACACACACACACACACACAACGTTGTATAGATGAGAGCCCGAAGGAAATCTCGGTTCACCCAGCACTCTTCGTGATCTCTTCAACTCAGTATTGTAACAGCGGCTTGTGTCATGATTTCAGAATCTTGAAACGGCGGGGGTAACCGCACGGTAGTTGTTGCATCTTTCCTAAGCCCTGTCCATATATGGCATGTGGTGAGCAAGTTCTTTTCAGAGAATGACAGGGTCCAGTGCAGAAGTCCCATCATGGTTCTGCTGCCGAACGCATCATCTGGACGAGGATTTGATATTACACTGTTCCATGTTTTAGAAAAACCTCAGTCCAGCAATACTTCTACACAGGTCTGCATCTAGGCCTATGGCGAAGAGCCCACCATACAGGCACAGCAAGCTTAAAACATTGTCATGGCGTCAAACAGGCTCTAGCCACTCTCTCACCTTCTCTCACTCTCTTCAATAGTGCCGTTTTCCCGGCAAAGGGCTTGCCCAGGACAACGCCTCGCACACGATGCCGTGGCATTTCAACTTTCGGTGGCAATGCCTCCGGCTTCTTCTGTTTTGCGGCAAGATAACATGAAACATACAATTTGATTTCTATCCGTAGCACACATCGAAGGAACAGAGTCGCAAGAGGTCGAGGAAGAATAGGCGGCTTGGCTGGCTGGGTAGACAGTCATATGGAGGAGGGATGGGTGAACGGGTGGATGGGTGGATGTATGGATGGATGTATGGATGGATAGATGGATGGATGGATGGATGGATGGATGGATGGATGGATGGATGGATGGATGGATGGGTGGATGGATGGGTGGATGGATTGATAGATGGATTGATGGATATATGGGTGAAAGGGCGGATGGACGGATGGATGGACGGATGGATGGATGGATGAATGGAGGGATGGATGGATGGATGGATGGATGGATGAAAACTGCAACGCTTGACTCACTGCCTTGTTCTTATCCTTCGACCAGTCCTCCAAGGCGCGCAAGATGTTCATCATGAGGAAATTCCCCGGCTTGTCGGCCTCAAAGTGCATTATTTTGCGCAGAGCGCTCACTGCATTCGATGGTGCCTCTTCTCCTGAACTTTCAGCATTTGCTTCACTGGCTACGGGTAATGGACTAAACGCCCACTCATCACCGTAGTTCTGAAACGAAATGGAACATTGATACCAAGGTTAGCCCAGCCACATGCTCAATATCGGCATAGTGCCATGAGTATGAAACATGCAAGGAGAGAAAAAATGCAACTAACTGCCCATTTTGGGGTTCGAACCTTGGAATCTATATCCACACAAGCTCTACAAAATAAATACTCCTAACTGTGAAAAATATACATTCTATCAAATACCGTATTAAAGTCTTGTATAAAAGCCGCACTTGAATAGAAGCCGCCCTCGAATAGAAGCGGCAATTTTGGGCCCATCAAATCACACATAAGCCTGGTTTTAGTGTTGACATACATAGAAATACCTGTCTTGTATAGAAGCCTGTCTCATATAGAAGCCTGCAAAATTTCACCAAGAAAGTCATAGAAGCCGCAGCTTTTATACAAGACTTTACGGTAATGCAACTCCTACATTACGTTATGGCACATGCCATTCGCATTGCAACAGCGTACACATGCGTGAGATAAACTAGCCTAAATGTGTTTGACATCTTGCAAGTATAGAGTACTAGCAGCTGCCCAGAGAGTGCGTGGGGATTCTAGTGCATGTCTCTGAAATGAGATATCGATGCGATGCAATGGAACATTGCCATACGTGTACGGCCATACCCTTACCAACTCTACCTTAGCGTTCAGAGTGGGACGGACGCAGCACATGAAAACTACATGGACAGCCTAACACAACACTGAGAACACTAATCCAGACCACCACCCTGTTGCTTCCAAGATCTCTAGAATGTGGGTTCAGTAAGTGTGTGTGTGCCGGATACTGTGAATATCACGGGCGTGCGCATACACTGGGTAACACAAACACATGCTCACCAGGTAATTCTTGCGGTCAATTTCGTTCAACAGCGTATCCACAGCGTCTGACGTCTTCTTGGCTTCCTCCTTTGTTAAGATATGCCAGTCGGTGTCCTGCAAGAAGTACACACGCACTGCCTCATCGAAACTAGAACTGTTGTGGAGAATATCATTTCAAGTGCTTTTTCGCTCCAACTTATATCATTTTTAAAATGGTGGTATTTGGACCAAAAGCACAGGTGTACATATCCTGCTATGTTAGTGATAAACCAAAGTGTCAGTGAGGGTATCATGGATGCAGCTAACGAGGTTTCACTTCCAGTCGGATATTAGTCGTGAGCTGACCATCCCGACCTCGCCGATAGGTGCTGCCTCTGCTACCTGGGTATAATCAGGCATGCTGGTGGCCTGGCACGAGTCTAACTTCTCTAAGCTGGTTGTGTTTCTCAACAAAGTTGTATGGACGGTGGATGCGCGAACTACACTTTTAGTCATTCACAAAGCCCAAGCCCATCCATTGATTCAATTCCGAAGTAAACAAAATTTTGATTCAGTGGACCCCTGAAATAGAACTGCAGGAAGCACCAAACCTGACCAAGTAGACCGCATTGCTTGTTCTGGATAAGCTGCTGCCATTCGCAAACTTACATCCGGTATGCTGTTGGGGAACATTGGCTTTCCGTACATGAAGAGTAGCTTCACTGTTTGCTTCACCAACTCGGGCATATCCCTGCAGACAAAAAGCAGACACAGCATGTCAGATGCCGCCTTTCTGCCGAAGGCAATCAGCTCAGTATCATCAGCGTTCGCTTGAATCCAGTGTGAACCGTTAGAGCAATGGGCAATGGGACGGTATTTGACTTACTGGAACGTTTGCTTCTTCATCTTGGCGTCGCGGATAGCTAGGTCCACTATCTCTCGTGTTAGCTGGTAGAGACAGGAAAAGATGCAAAGAAATAGAGAATTAGGCGCTGCCCTAAGGCTTGGGTGGAGGGGGGGGGGGTGGTAAGGGGCTAGTATGCCCTCTAGATCAGCCAAGTTCTTACATGTAATGCTATCACATGATACTCCTACATGATACTGTACCCTTTTCGCCAGTTTTGGCTACTACTATAATAGTGCCGTGCAAATAGGAAAATGTGCCAAGAGCTGTGGACAGCAACAAGGCCAAGCACAATGAAATGCTACATGCATGTATTTGGGAACAGGCATGGGCATGAATTGTGCAGGCAAACCTGAACCTCTGACCGTTTGCCCGTCACAATAAAGTCTGGCAAGGCCATCATGCAGGAAAACACACTGACTGTTAGTAACCACCGTATCCACCAACATGCGAAGTACTCGATCAAATAAAACGTGGAGTATGCATCCAAGACGTGCTAGAGCTGATTGGCAGTTAGTTGTAGAACGTCAGTACCGTCGGTCAGTGTCGTGCAATGTTATCGAATGAGCTGATTGTCCAGAAACTGGTGGTGTTATGACACTTGTAGTTATTTGGTCCTTTTTTCTTTTCCATAATTATAATCAATCCACCTTACCTTTTTGCAGAATCTGACGTTCTCGTCGTGCTGTTTCATTCTCAGGTTCACGCGATACGATTCAATCTGCTGCACCGCCAGGCTGACGCGGTTCTGGAAGTCCTCGACCTCTCGCTGCAGTTGTCTCTGCCGGGTGAATGATACACAGTACAAGAAGAACACAAATATAAATAACAACATGGTGGGTGCATGGACGTGTGCTCACCATATTTAATGTGGCTCGCGTACCGACGCTGACTTGTATCTGAGTGACAACAATACTCTAAGAGCAAAAACAGCAGGGCTGGTAACTCATTGGATTACGGACTCGGCTAGCCCAGTGAGTCGTGCTTCACCTTCCCACTTTTCTGGACCATAACCTCAGGCAGCATCACTGGAACAGACACATAGCCAGTGAGAGGCACCTGTGGCATGACATCATTCAGCCTGTGGCATGACATCATTCAGCATGTGGCATGACATTATTCAGCCTGTAGCATGACATCATTCAGCCTGTAGCATGACATCATTCAGCCTGTGGCATAACATCATTCAGCCTGTGGCATGACATGATTCAGCATGCGCATGTTTGGGCCAAATGGTCTACATGGTAGGGATCCCAATCCAGTGTCAACCGTGCAGCCAGAGTTGCACCCCCCCCCCCCCCCCCCCCTAATAGGTGGACCAGCTACGCCACTGCTGGTTCTGTATTGGTCATTCATATTCTGATGCCTTTTCTGCAGAGGCCGTGTGTTTGTTTTTTCGTGTGTGTGTGTGGGGGGGGGGGGCTTGAGACAGTCCAAAGACTCAAAGAGCATGTGTATGGCTGATGTGGTCAGTAAGTATGTGCCGTGTTTACCTCGAGCCTCACTAATTTCTCGCTCATAATCTCCTCGTGGCTGCGCTCGCGATACTCCGCACTTGCATTGCTGTAGGCACACACAGTGGAACAGGATACACATTACGGACACCAGTACATGTCATTGATTAGTGTAGTTGGACACGAGCATCCTTGCTATTGTGGCCACACATACACATCAATATTGTAAAGCAACGTGCTGTTATTGGTGTTGCTCTGTGGCACATGCATGCACTCTGTAGTGCATCTACATGCACTCTGTAGTGCATGCATGCACTCTGTAGTGCATCTACATGCTGTTTGGTGTCATGTTTTTAAAGTCTCGAAGTTAATGTGCAGTGTTCCCAGTGAAGTAGTTGGGTTGGGTTACCAACAGCTGGTTTAAACCCAAGCATCTAAGGCCATGTATACGACCTATCCCTTGATAGAACACTACACAGCACACTGGGTTGAGGACTGGCTCAGCAAGGAAATACTGGCAAAAGCCCCCGTTAAACCCAAAGCAAAGTAGATAGAGTCTTCAGCAAGGGGTCCTATTGTGATGTCTGGCCGCTCCTATTTCATATCACGTAAGCTGTTGTGACTGCTTAGTTAAGGCTGCGCTCACACAACAAGTAATGCAACAGTGATCTAGATATCAAGTTGTGCCAATTTCGGCGACAGTAGGTCTGAAATATGAGCAGCTTACTTCATAGCCAGGATGCTGGTGATGGCCTCCTTTGACATCTGCATAGATCAGATGGAGAAGAGGAGAGCATTTCTCACACTAACAGCCTTCAACATGACCTGGAACATGGTCTTGTCTGAAATGGATAGTGGCCGTGAACGGTCACTGCACCCACATGAATTTATGTTCATTGAAACGTTTACAGGACTTTGGGTTGACCTTGGATAATTACAACAAGAAAAGGTGTCTCATGTTCTACTGACTGCACACCCAACCACTGTATAACATGCAACAACTACAACAATGATGTCACTATTCATCTCAATGATGTCACTATCCATCTCAATGATGTCAGTGTATATTATGTCTCAATGATGTCACCAGCAGATGTACATTGTAACTCACCTCCTCCATTCTGTTTTCCACTCGTTCCTGCGCAGCACACTTGACGGATACCCGGCACCTGGTGATGTCCTCCTGGAGAGCCTGGCGCTGGTGACATATACACAACACCAGGTGAAAGTATCCTTCAGGAAATCGCAACAGTAGACATCGCTTGCACCACAGTACCCCGGTAAATGATAGGACAACCGGTGGTGCTGTACAGATCCACTGCAAACTAGTAGTCAGCATAAGCACAACTGGTAAACCGCTGGTTGGCTTGGGTCGTCATCAGTTGGTTTTGGAGCACAAGTATGAACCCGTATCATGAAAGAACTCGATGTTCCTCCCACAACTGATGAATGACTTGGCAGTATTCCGGCTACAATCATGCACTGCAAGACAAACTGGATGGATGTCGTGTAAGTATTGCGGTGATCATGAAGCATGCTCGTTGGTATGAGCCGTGTGAGACTAAAGTAAATGCCCATTATCGGGTGTGATAGTAGCATAACCATATCATCCACGGTACACAGTGACATGCAAACCCTTCACATCACATTGTGCTTTAAAATATATGTATTATCATGTGTATACAACACAGGCATGTGCAAATCAAGTACATTAGCCAGTATATGTATATGACATGCATAAGGGTTAAACACAGCCATAACAAGCTAGCTGCAAGGTACCTGGCTTTTTTGAACCAGATTATGCAAGCCCTCGAGATAGAATCGCCGGTTCCTGATGCTCTCCTGAACAAACCAAAACAAAGGGACAGCAAAACAGAATGATCAGCAGAAACGACACGCAGCCTTGTGAGTTGGCACGTTCCTCCAATCCTGTATCTATCCCCCTATGATAGTCTGAGAATTTACTAGCCACTTCGAAGCATGGTAACAAAAAAGGCACAGCAACGGTAGGCTTCAGGGCACAGCCAAACAAGGCCATGCCACGTGAATCAGCTTCCCTACCCAGCCGAACCCCTAGCCAGTATTACTCCAGCCTTGTTGCCACGGAAGCGTAGGATCGTTGTCAAGAGAATTCATTTTCGTAACAAGCGGTTCACCCGAGATGCATTTGTACTCTTCCGCTACCTTCATTCCGTCTATGTACTGGCACAACAGCAAGGAATGGCTTTTGTATAGATAAAGTTGAAGAGATGCTGTTACCAGCTATGAGTACTGCTCCACATGACAAATAAACGAAAAATGTGAGCAAATTGACATACCGCCTTGTCGGCTCGCTTAGCTTGTAGCTTCTCCTGGATGCAGGCGTGCTGTGCTTCACTCCACTCCTCCGTGTCCCTCTCGACATTGTCCGGGTCTTCCCGCATGAACATTGGCATCGAGCGGCGCCGAGGTCTCAACATCTTCCTGGTTTTTGCCCTCTGTAGGAGACAATAGACACGTACAGAGGTATTGTTATGTTCACAAAACAATAGTGCACGTGTGTGCACCCCCCCCCCCCCCCTCGCCGGTCGAAGCATATGGGCGTGGGGTTGAATTTCAGTTCTCATAATAGCTGATGAGTTCAAATATTTTAACATTCTGGCTGAAGGACCACACATTCAACTACACTGTCATCAATGCTTTAGGGCTATTGCACCACCAGTCAAATGCGAGTAAACTCTACGACTGAAGGCAAAAGGAGAAGTCAAGAAGTCAAGGAACAGAGTAGGCATGTTAACAGTGCATGGATAGAGGCAATGGCTTCCCTGCGTGCACAGAAGACACACGGTGGAGTGACAGAGGAAGAATGAATCCATGAAAACAAAAACCGACACAGACAATTATAGGACACTTGGAATCACATAAAATACCTCATACAGTATATTACCTTGTCCTCCTCTAAGCGCATTTCCAGCATTCTGCTTTGAAGCGTCTCTTGGACACGAGCCTTGTACTCGTCATCTGATTGGGTCGCTGTCACTTCCCCAGTCCTGTTCTTACACTGCTCAAGAGCGATGAGAAGCTGGTCACATTTCAGTGTAGGTCTATCCAGCATGGACACCTTGACGGCGGGAGAGATCTCTTGTGCCGCGTCGATTTGTTCCGACGACAGCGGAGCTTTCGTGTGCCTGTGGTCCTGCCGCAGGAGGTGTGGGTGCACGTACGGGCGACTCTGCTCAAACTGTTCGCTTCTCTGGCGCCGTTCGGCCAGCGCGGCATGCGGCTGCGCTTCTGCTTCTCGACTCTGAACTTGTGACAGGAAAAGCTCCTCTGTTCGGGAGTAGTGGTCAGAGGACTCGCCGAGAATGGCTCTCTTCAGCGGCCTGCGGAGCACAGCCATAGGAGAGAGACAACTAGTCATCAGACCAAACACGCTGTGATTGGCTCATGGCATGAAACCAGCATTGAATCTCAAGGCAGACGTCAGGCGAAATAGCACGTCATAGTACATTTGAGATCAGCGGGAAGAAGATGACGACGTCCACTAATTTAGTATCTGTGCACACGAATCTGCTGTGTGTGTGACTCTGTGTGTCAGCTATGATATCATCTTCTGTGGTTCCATGCCTAGCATGTACGTCTGAACCATCCTGCAAAGTTTGAATGACGTAGGTTGAGCGATCGCTCCGCGAAACATACTTTTTGAAATTCTCTTCATAGTATATCTTCCACCATTGAAATTTCGAATTTCTTCAAAAAAAGTGCTGAGAGGGGTGGCTTGCAACCTCGATATGGTTTGTTCCAGGCATGCTTTGGAGCCATCTTCTGTTGAAGTAGTGGCGAGGATCTGCCCTGCAACTGCTACAACAAAAAATGATTCGATCTGAGAAAGGGTGAGACCGCGAATCTCGGTTGAATATTGAGTATTTCAAGCCTTTTCACGACGAAGATGGAGTTCTTTTTGGAGATGGACGTCGCGGCAAAGGACATGGTGTCCGACTTCTGGCGTCTGGTGAAGCCAGGGATCATTTGTCCAGCCAGGTCGGCAGCCTAACCGTCGGTAAGCTTGTGTTTGGATCCCGTTCTGCTCGATGTGGTAGATCACAAACAATTTGATATCGCACAAATTGATCTCAGCATCGTGCGTACGGTATTTTATATTCAAAAAATCTCAAAGTGTCTCTGTGTGGCCGTCCTATGCCACGAGAAACTCCAATCAGGCTCCTATGTCCTCTGCCTTCATGATTGAATGTCCACTTCGTTTGAACAACGAACACAACAATCGAGGACGGCTTTGCAATGAAAAATACAGCTATACTGGAACTGAAAAAAAGAAGAAAAAACGTGCTCAGGATGAGACTCGAGTACACGCATGCTCTCTCAGCAGGTGAAACGCAAATTTTTGTGAAAAATGCGTGTCGCCGACTGACCAGTAATTTCGCCTGACGTCAAATTTCTGCTGAAATTGTTGCACCTGCACAAGCAAGTACCCGGGAGTATAAGGGGCTGGGTAAGTGCTATGTATGCCAGACATACATGCAGCAACTCAACATAGTGAGCACAGTGCCATCAAAGACAACCTTGGCATAGGATTCTAGTGCATCATTCAAGTTGTGTTAAAGAACAGACCAGTCAGTAAAAAGCAGGTGAATTACCCAATCGTCACTTCATCCACGACGGACTGCTTGGCCATCTCTTCTTCTTCCTTCGCTAATTCTGTTTCCCTCGCCATGCCCTCCACCTTCACTTCATGCTCTTCAAGTTCTTGCATCCACTTCTGTAATGGCAGAATGCAAAACCGTGATAACACAGCATCCCTGAATTCAACATGCTCAGGCATGACAGAAGGCTGATATTCAAAGAACAAATGTGAATGGAATACACGCTTGTGCATCAACTGTACTTTCGGCGAGGAGCTCACATCAACCTTTTCTGGGACGGTTCGTTTCGTTTTAGCCTGTGATCCGATGTCCAGCCAAAAAGCTGTACAACTCTGATAAGATGTGACCCACAGGAAAGTGTACTTCTTATCCTAAGATACTTCGGGTATGGATCAATACACACACTCACACACACTCCAAACAATATCTGTGCTAAGCAAGACTATGTTTCACCAGGGTACGTACTAAGTGAGTTGCAATGAATATCTCAAGCAGTGACATTTGCACCTCACATGTGGAATCTGTGTGCTAAATCGCACAAATAGGGCCCAGACCTTAAACCACACGTATACACACTAGTTCAAACTGACATTGACATTGATCAAGTCATCTTCAGCACTGCTGGCGGTCTTCTCCTGGTTAGAAAACAACAACACACACAACAGGGAAAAACAAAACTTAATCAATGGCCCAGTGGGTTGAGCCTCAAATGGCAGACTATAAGCAGCCAAGACCTGGAATAGCGGAATAACACACTCGCATTACATTCCACACAGTATGTTGCAAGCAGATCTTGGGTAGATACATGCATTGCTTTGACCTTTCAATGTCTTCTTGTTGTTTTCCTTCAAAACACGTATTTTGGAGCAGCTGTCGCCGTTCAGTCCCTTCATGTCGTACAACAAATAGTACGTACCTTGCCCCTGTGGATTCTTCTCAGCCGTTCTCTGTGCTGCAGTTCAACAACACGGTGAGAAGAACAGTCGTACATCGGACCTTGGTGACATTGCAGCACCACTATGCACATACCATCAATACACTGGCACAATTTGTGAATACGATCGTAATCTACGACTAGAGAGCAGGTCTAAAACATGTCATGGCAACCACTCGGATGAGGCGACCACCTGTCATGGCGACCACTCGGATAAGGCGACCCCCTGTCTCAGAAGACCACTGCAGCCAGGACCAAGGGATGCTATTTCCAGTCAAATGACCCTGGATAAGGCGACCACCTGGTATCAGAGACCACGTTTTGAAGGTCCCTTGAGCGGTCGTCTTAGACAGGTTTCACTGCGTAGCTACATGTACACTAAAGATGAGCGCTATGAGCTAGACAGCGATATGTACAATTACTGACGTACATAGGTGTTCTTTGAACTGTGAGATCAAGGAAGATCAGAGTAGGACCCAAGGAGCGCGAGTTGTGATCTACTGACTAATCAAGTGGTGTGCTTCATCTACTGGCTACAGTCAACTTCGCTAATAACGACTGCAAATATAACGACAATTCGCGAATAACGACAAAATGTCCATGCCCAGAGCAAAGTCCCATCCAACTGCAATACATATAACGAGACTTCGGGTATAACGACACTTCGCGAATAAGGACACTTTTTTGATGCCCCGCCGAGTGTCGCTATAAGCGAAGTTGACTGTATATCATAATAACACACATTACCTTCTTGAGTAGTGCGTCAATGCGCGCCTTGTCCTTCTTCTGCTCTTCACTGTCAGTGTGTAGTAAGCACATGAATCACATTCAGCAATTACAATAAATAAAACAAAGTCAAAAATGGCTTGCAAAAGTATTTCAGAAAACCGAGGACAATCAATAACTGATGACTTGAATACAGAATAATCTGTCTCGTAGCGCCAGTCCCTAGAAAAGGCGTTTCATTTGTGAAATATGCACAGTCCAGCCCTTTCCATAACTCCTTCATCTGCCATACTCACAATGATTTCACGGGCCGCTTCGGGAAAGTACCAGCACGAGACACTCCCAGCTTCTCTCGCAACTTTGCCGGGTCGAAATTCAACACTGATCCAGACACCTTGCCCCAGTCATCTGGTTCATCGGCTATTGGATCATGTGCCCACTTCTGCTGGTCGATCTTGGCCAAGCCTTCGAGCCACTCACGGTCAGTGCCACTCGGAGCCAATGGAGGTAGTTGCTCCTGTGGCGTTGCCGATTTTGCTGGCTGTGACAGTTCAGGGGCCCCCAGTTGTGATGGTAGAGTTTGGCCCGGTTGAATCTGCAATGCAAGCAGGGCATCGTCCAGGCATGCGTAGTCCATTCTTCGCATGGCCATTGGCGATGTGAGCAGGGGTTCTGACGTGCAGCATCGCAGATCATCCTCGTCAGTGCGTTGTTTCAGTAGGAGATGCTCGGGCGGTGGTGGTGGTGTCCTGTAAGCTGTTCCGGCATCAGGATGTTGCTCTTGGAAGTGCTGGCGAAGGCGCTGTGTTGCTTGATCGCTCAATGTGGCATCGTTGCCAACAGGAAATCCTTGTACGAGAATTTCAATGAAGGCATTTCTTTCTGAGTCACCCTGAAGATGAGCAGAAACCATCAAACATGCGCATGTGTGCTTGAGTAAGCATTCCAGTGTTAACTGCATGCCTGACTGGGCTGCTGGAGTACATCATGCCTAAACTCATCATGCATTGCTGGTATAGTAAGACCTGGTGTAAGCGACCTCTGGGTTTAGCGCCCACCTGCTCTTAACGACTGTTTTTCCATGGACCGACAGTTCTACACAGAAACTGTGGGACGTGGTTCTAAAGACCACCTGGCTTTAACGACCGCTTTTGCTTGCACCGTGGTACCGTGGGGGGGGGGGGGGGGGGGGGTCGCTTAAACTAGGTTTTACTGTAGTCTGTTGAGCGTGCGATTCGTGTACACTAACATGACCAGTGGACGGCCACAGTGAGGATCCAATCAACCATTCCCAGTACGTTCAATGCAGAGTGTGTCACTGCAGCATCAAGTGTACGAAGGCAGAGTATCATTCAGAATCTGCACACCCACCGGGCACCTTACCAAACTGCAGCGGTGGCAACTGAAATGCGACCCCTGGTTCTTGTGCCCGAGTGCAGCACCTTTTCTAGCTGTCTCTGTTTGCTAGTGTACAAGCTCGTGCTGGGTATTTGCAATGTGAGCGCACCGAGCTGGGGTTGGATATCAGTTGCCACTACTGTACATGTCACTCAACTATACATCCCCTGTTCTCTATTACGGCAACATACACCAGCACACCATATACCAGTGGACCATGTTCAGCACTGCAGAACACTGCAGCGTTTCCTCATGCACACACAGGAAAACACAGATATACACCTGGTAGAGTCCTCACCAATGAAATAGGTCTGTTGCTACTCTGAGCTTCACGACCTTAGTCAATCATCTGGTGACATAACTAAGTTAAGAGCTAGTTATGTTGCTGGATGATTGGCTTGAAACTCAGAGTAGCAACAGACATGTTTCACTGGTGAGGAGTTGGAGGACCCCACTGGACGGTGTGTGCTGGCTATAGTGTGTTTCAGTACTGTCGAGCACTCTGTAGTCTCCATGCGGGACGGGATCCATTCCTCTTCAAAACAGAGGGCCAGCCACTACAGTTCCGCTGGGTGACATCCGACCCAAAGTGAAGGTTTAGCGCCCTCAGCTTACACAGCCCTTGACGCCCTGGAAGTGGTACGAATGCGGCCGTACGTAAACAGTACAAATACAATGATGTAATCAGACGTGACCCGGGGCGCCAGTTTTACACTCTGGGTTGGATTTCACCGAGCGCACTTGTACAATACACTCTGGGTTGGATTTCACTGAGCGCAACTGTACAATACACTCTGGGTTGGATTTCACTGAGCGCAACTGTACAATACACTCAGGGTTGGATTTCACTGAGCGCAACTGTACAATACACTCTGGGTTGGATTTCACCGAGCGCACTTGTACAATACACTCTGGGTTGGATTTCACTGAGCGCAACTGTACAATACACTCTGGGTTGGATTTCACTGAGCGCACCTATACAATACATGTGACACTCACAGCACTAGCTGGACGTCCACGTCCACGTCTGGCATCGACAACGGGCTTTACAATCTGCAGCGCAGTGTACTCTTGGCTAGACTGCTGCTGCTGCTGTGACCGCTGTGATTGCTGCGATTGTGAGCGGCTCGTACTGCGCACAAATACATAGCACGGGACCATACAGAACACCACACAGCAGAAGAAAATGTATGATACTGCTTACATAGCCTGGCTCGATTATTAAGAATGCCACAAGTATTAGACCCCGATTTGGCCTATTATGTCCCGTTGCATTCCAGTATACACAATGAATATGGATAAGGATGAGATGCTTGGCATTGCTTGCATAGTGACCTGTTCCTGCATTAGAATACAGAAACATACAATTGCTCTAGTCATGTTACTGGCCAGGAGGAACAGGAGTCTTGGCTTTCCATGTACTAAATGGACTTCACTCAACACGTCTTGTTTGGCCCATTATTTCATCTGCATTGCAAAGGTTGCAAGAGTGATTCCACTACAGCAGAGCAACATGTTGGAGATGACGGAGGGAGAAAGAAAGAGGTCGAGTAGCTAAAGGTGAGGGCTCACTCCTAACTTTCCTGTTTCTCCTAGGATCCTCAACTAACAGTTATTCACATGATTGTAAAGAAAACACTGTAGATGTCTACAAAAGTATCAGTTTCAATTGAACATTTTGTTTCCTATTCTTACACTAGCCGTGCCATTGCTCCTGGATAACACATGATACTGGAAAAGTTGAATTCATAACGCCAGTAACCGGGCACAAAGTGTAATGTTCTCCCGACGTCCTTAGTACGTGTCGAGAGCACACCAAAATACCAACTCAACACGGTCTCGTTGTGAGGCAAAGAACCCTTTTCATTATCAGTGCAAGAACATGATAGTCGTGAAAGACACATCATACAGCAAGACAGTCGAGGGTACTCCATATCTGGATCTAGTAGAGTACTTGAGGGTACACTACGTTGCATGAGACATCTAGATATGGGATGAATCATGAAAGGGGATACTGTAATGGATAGTCTAGATCTATAAAGAGAAGAGTACAAATAAGAGAAACAAGCATGCACAATGGGTACACACACATACAAGATAACACTACATCTCCCCTTCTTCAAAAAGGAGAAAGAGCATAGCAGTGAAAGTTGGGAAGAGAAAGACAAGACGAGAAGACCAAATAATGCAAAACATTTATGTATAACCCTATCCCTCCCTTCCGCAAAAGAAGAAGAACACACACATACACGCATACGCATGAGAAAAGCGTAGAGAAGAGTAGAGCAACAGAGCAAGAGATGAAAGAGGTAATGGTGATGCGAGTTCAGTGGTAGATCAGAGCAAGAGTTCAGTCAGAGAAACCATAACGATCAGGAGGCATCACTGTACGACCACTACGAGTAATGGTTGTGCCTGCTGATGTTGTACTGGATGTAGGAATGGCTGAGTGTGTAGAAGAGGTTGTAGACGATGTGGTACTTGTTGTCGTAGGTTGTGGTGGACGCGGTGGTGTTGTATCTGGTGCTGAAGCTGCTTTCGGAACCTGCGCAACCGGAGGTGCGGACGGCAAAGCAACATTGTGTCGACGGTTGCGACGATATTCACCCGAGGGTGTAGACACAACATATGAGCGAATGGCGGGTTGACGGAGTACTGTACCAGTCTCATGGCGATCCGTGAGATAGACTGGTTGCTCAGCTTGTAGAGGCGGCAGAGAACGAGTACGGTGCCGATCGTTGTAGTTGCTGGTTTGCCGGGCCTTGAGAGCTGCATCGGCAGCGGCAAAGTCAGATGTCGAAATCAACTGAGGTTGCAGTTGCGAGCTGGACACGGGGACACGTGAACGGAGTTGTCTACCCATTAGGAGCTGTGCAGGACTGTAACCGGATTCCAGAGGAGTATTGCGATACATGAGCAACGCACTGTACCAATCTGGAGAGGCAGTGAATAGATGCTTGACGGTTTTAACGGATCTTTCGGCGAGACCATTAGCCTGCGGATATAGCGGAGAACTGGTTACGTGCTGGAATGAGAACTCCTCGGCAAATCGACGGAACTCCTCAGACGCAAACTGTGGACCGTTGTCCGACATCAATGTCTCGGGAATACCGTGACGGGCAAAGATACTTTGCAGGTGCGTAATTACAGCCTTGGATGATGTTGACGTCAGCTGGACGACTTCGATGTAGCGAGAGTAGTAGTCTACCAGTAGGAGAAAGTCACGCGAACCAAAGTGGAACAGGTCAGCAGCTAGACGTTGCCATGGTAGATCAGGGAGTGTTGTTGGGATGAGCGGTTCAGCTGGTTGAGTGTGCATGCTGGTGCACGTCGAGCAATTTGCAACATACAGCTGAATATCCGAATTGATGGAGGGCCACCAGACAGAGTTGCGGGCAAGACGGCGACACTTGGCTATGCCCTGGTGTCCAGTGTGGAGCCGTGACAGAATGTCGTCGCGATGAGATGCGGGAATGATCAACCTGTCGTTGTAGAGTAGCAGACCGTCATCGGTAAGTGTGATGTGTGCCCGGTGTTCTACGTATGGTCGAACATCAGAAGGAGCGTCGGATGAGTGTGGCCAGCCGTCAGCGCAGTAGCGAGCAAGCGACTCACACACTTGATCAGACTCTTGCCACTCAGCGATGTCATCGAGGCGTTTAGTTGTTGCAGGCAGACAATCAACGGCGTAGTCGACGAGCGCTGCTGTCTCAGCTGCGAGGAGATCAACATCTTGGCTGTCGACTTGTTCTGATGAAACAGGTGCTCTGGAGAGAGCGTCAGCAATGGCGAGATCCTTGCCTGGCACGTGAACAATGCGGAAATTGAAACGAAGGAGCCTCAGACGGAAACGGACAATTCTAGGCGGTAGGTCGTCTAGAGCACGGCTGCCTAGAAGCGGGATGAGCGGCTTGTGGTCGGTCTGGATCGTAAACGGCTTGCCAAGTACGAAATGTTCGAAACGATCGCATGCCCAAGTAGAAGCAAGAGCCTCTTTCTCGATTTGAGAATAGCGGGTCTCAGCTGGTGTCAGAGAACGGGACTGATATGCAACTGGACGAATGGAGCCGTCAGACTGCACCTGGAGGAGGACTGCTCCCAGGCCGAATGATGAGGCGTCTGCAGATATGATCGTATCCAGGGTAGTCGAGTACATCGCCAGTACTGGATGCGAACTGAGGGCTGACTTGATCGCGTCGAATGCTGCTTGGTGCTCCTCGGTCCAGGACCATTCCTGGCCTTTGACCAGGAGAGCACGCAGTGGTTGAGACATCGTTGCCAGATCAGGTACGAACTTTCCCAGCTGATTCGCCATGCCAAGGAAACGACGTACTGCTGGGACATCCGTGCAGGGTTTCACTTTCTGGGGATCAGGGTGGATGCCGTTGTCGTCGAGGATGTGTCCCAGGAACTTGACTGAACGTTGGTGGAAAGCACACTTGTCTGGGTTGAGTGTGATTCCGGCTGATGAGAGACGCTGTAGGACTGCATGCAGATTCTTCTCCTCCTCGTGTTCGTCGTCACCGAAGGTTAGAACGTCGTCAATCATGCAGATTGTGCCTGGCAGGTCGCTCGGCAGGTCAGACATCTGCTTCTGGAAGTACTCAGGTGCAGAGGAGATGCCAAACGGGAGTCGTCGAAAGCAGAAACGACCGATGGGCGTAATGAATGTTGTTAGCAGTTGAGATTCCAGCGACAAGGGGATCTGGTGAAAGCCCTTGTTCGCGTCCAGCTTCGAGAAGACCTTGGCTGTGCCGAGGCGAGCAAGCAGGTGATCGGTTGTTGGCATGATGTGACGTTCCCGTCGGATAGCCTGGTTGAGTCGGGTAAAGTCGCCACTTAGCGTTTTATCGAGAAAATTCCATCGCTAACTCAAGAAACATTACTACTGTTCCATTGCTTTGCTCATCTGTACTAGAGAAACGAAAGACGGTGGTCGGCAGTAGGGTCGTTAAGCTTTGTGTCCACCAAGTGGGAAACTGTTGCAAATCGTTAAACTTTTGACTCATTCCACTTTCAACTCTTACCGTAGCTACATTGTACTTACCTTTGGCGGGAGAGGCCATCCCTAGCACTGTATCCAGCAGCTAACTCGGACAGCGATGGTGTCTTTCGTGTTTCCATCGAGCTGCCTCTCTGCTGCATTCTTTCTCGCTGTATCTCTGGCAAATGATCGTACACTCCGGGCAGCTCGGTTCTACTTGTGTGGCCGCCCGATGCCATGGATGATCCTTGCTTCCGGTCAAACGTACGCTGGAGGCGATCGTGAAGAGTTTCCTGTTGACGAGGCGGCACTCGTTCTTGCAGTTTCTGTGATTGCGTCATAGAGAACACACACCACGTGCGTGCGCGCACACACACACACACACACACACGCACACACCCATGTGCACACACACACACACACGCACACACACACACGGTGCATGCACACTTCGCCTCCGCGTTCCTTGCAATACGACTGATAAACGTTCTTCACACACACTTTTAGCTCGGTGCAGAGACCAGTCGACCAGTGTCAGCTCTACACTCTAGCTAGCTACCATGCAGATTCGGCTAAGATGGAAGGAGGAAATCTAGGCTGTGCCCTGGCTACACACATGCATCCTCTCACCATCATCCAGTCCAAGGATTTCAGGTCACCAACTCGGGCGTCTCCATCAGCTCCGGCTTCTCGTTTCTTGTGCTGCACGAAGTCTTGATTGAAGACGGGTCCTCTCGCCGGACGACCTTCAAACATGAACTTCAGCTCCACGAGTAGATCGATAGCGGCCTGCTGGTTGCCCTTGATCAGAGCAGCAGCCTGGAGTGGGTGGCAACAAGTGTAGAACGTGAAGATAGTTTTTTTGTGAACACTGCCATCTTCATATGCGAAGGCTCCACTGCAGCCAATTAATCATGTCCCAATCTCCTTCTGCACCACCACGGTCTTTACACTACAATCGTAGTAAATATCTCTCCAAATCTTCACCGTGGATCTTCATCAGTGAGCAAACACTGCGTTTCCAGGCCAGTCTAGCAAGTTTTAAAGTATCCTCCTGATGTAATGCTATTGCTGACAAGACTCTGTGCTAATGTAACACACGCTGACAGTCTATCGACGCAGTTGCAGCATACCTCCAGGCAACAAATGCATTGCTTAGCAATGTATCAGAAGTCACACTCTCAGGCTGGCTTTGTTCCATTGGTAAACCAACTGTCTATTACATACAGTTCAGCAGGGACTTACTGCTGCTTGTAATGCAAGCACTTACAGCATCAGGAGTGATGTCCAAGCGGAGAATTCTGAAAATTGGTTCCAGCATTCGATAGTTGTGCAGGGCGATATCGTTGGATCTAAACCAGGTGCAAAGTGTAGATGCATCAATAGACATGGTTAGCATTTTACCGTTCACGCTAAATCCAACGGCACTCGTACCCAACACCCAAAACACCGTCGGTTTGGCATGGTTTCGACGATAGAAAGCTCTGTTTAGCGGGAGAACGAAACAGTAAGATTTCAACTAGGGTGACGTCACAAGTCGATCGCTGAGTCAGAAACCGAAATGCTAACCATGCATTGAAAACACACAAAAACAGTACAGGTCGACAGTCGAAGTGAGCGTGAACGGTAAAAATGCTAACCATGCCTAATGACAAGAGTAAGAGTAAGTTTCCAATGGAATAGACGTAAGTATGGTTGCCGGAGGATGCACTGTGTGATTGCCAATGGCAATGGATAGTTTATTTGTCCAACAGGTGGGAGTTGCGGGAAAGCTATCTAACATCTAATAGAAAATGCATGCCTAGGACTTTGGATCTTGATTGACCGTACTGAAGTATTTTTGTCTGCATGACCAAGCTGGTAGTTTGAGTGTACATGTATGAGAAAAGTTGCAGTGTAACGAGCGAGTGTGCGGCTGCTATAACACACTAAGAGAGCTAGAATGCAACTGACTCACCTTCCTTTGCGAAACTTCTTGAACTCGCCTCTTTTCTGCAAATATACATACAAACACACAGGACATGCGCTATGTGAACGCCATCGTAAATGCTTTGCACGGAATGGGAAACCCGTGCTTACGATATCAATCCATACCAAACACTTACAATAATAATAATAAAAGTAGAAAGGAAAGGACATATGGAAACGAGTTAAGAGTAACTCTCCACCACTGTAACTAGATACTATATACAGTCAGAAAGTGCAACCACTAGGCACAAAACTGACAGAGTATTGAGACATTCGACGTCCTGACACCTAGCTTCAACACATCTCCGTAGCGCTAACCGACAGCCTTCCAACTTGGAAGGTTCAAGGTTATGGAAAGACCAAAGAGGGGAATGTCTCGAATGTCTCAATACTCTGTCAGTTTTGTGCCTAGTGGTTGCACTTTCTGACTGTATATAGTATCTAGTTACAGTGGTGGAGAGTTACTCTTAACTCGTTTCCATATGTCCTTTCCTTTCTACTTTTATTATTGGCTCAATACCCGAGTTTCAAATAATAATAATAATAATATTCGCGGGATCCGCGTCGGCATCGCTTGAATGTTCAGAAACACACAAACTAGCCTTCGCATCCGCAGGCCACCACCATGCCTATTAACCTTAGTGGCGAATGCAGACCTCACAAGTGAGTCAGGGGAGAGGAGGTTAGTCTCTCAACCAATCGGGCGTGTAACGGCCCATAACCCTGTAAACTGCATCCTTGTTATTCTCACTCCGAGCTGTGAGTACCCAGTTGACTGTGGGTGTCGGCGCAGTTCAGCACGCGTAAAAATTCTTTTTACACGCTCCCTGCTACCAGCGCGGGTCTTGAACTTGGGACCTCATGATTCGCAGGCAGGCCTGCAAACCAATCGGCCATATGCGTTGGTTGGGAAACACTTACAATGATGATGTAATGGAATGACATCATCGTAAATTTGTTGTATGTATTGGTAAACATGCTCTTGTGATGTCACTCCATGCCAAAAAACTCAGGTAATGATGTTATCGTAAAACCTCCAGGCCTGCCGGAACCGGTCCGGTTGGTTAGGTTATGACCGCCGGGATCAAGTTGTTGGCCACCAACATGTGCTAACTGCTGCGGAGGGCATGTGTACTAGTACCCGCCGTATCATACACCTCTACAAGCACAATGATGTGGAGTCAGGAACGTTCCATTCTTCAAGGCACTTTGGGTGAAGTAACTGTGCTCGTTCTACATGACATGAATTATTTTTAGGTGTATGCAGGGATTATGATGGAGCATCTTTGTACAAACACATCATGTTGTCTTGTGATACGTTCCTGGGGAATGTCAGGGTTAATCCGATGAAGTGAAGCTGTAAGGCTCTGACAATAGATATTCCTAGCACCCCTCCACCCCACCCTACCCATTAAAGCAATATTCACATGGATAATCTTACCATAAGTCCCCACTGCATCATGAGCAGTCCCAGAAGATGACCATCTGCAAAGTCACTTGCCAACGTTCCAGGCACTTGAGGTCATACACATGCACGCACGCACACGTACGCACACACCCATGCATGCATACACACATATACATATACACACACACACACACACACACACACACACACACACACACACACACACACACACACATGCACTGTCAACATTTCCCATTGCATTGGTCACTAGATCACCGGTTGTTTTGCTCCGCATCAGCTTTTTAATTACACTTGCAAGTTGCAAACTCGTTCCCATTCAAATTTCATTTAAAAATGACCAAAATTCCACCTTAGCAACATCAGGGAAAATGACCATACCAGACTGGCTAGGCTTGATTGTAATGTCAGTATTCCAGTATTAGCAATAAAGAGAACAAATTCTGCAGTCATCGCCACACTACAACGAAGTCATGAAAGTTTACCATAAGATATAATAACAACAGGAACAACAACAACAACAACAACAACAACAACAACAACAACAACAACAATGGTAACAATTTACCATCAAGATCAAAGGAGGAATCAACAAACAGAGGTTAAACAACACGAAGCGAGCCTGGGACCGATCGGTGTTGATGAAGAGAATGACACGGAGGACGAGACTGAGGACGAGTTGGGAGATGAGACGGAGGACGAGGTTGCGGTTGTTGGAGACGAGGAATCAGATGGTGATTGTGATCGTAAGAAGTCTGCCGTTTTTCTTCACTTGTTGTCTCACCCTAAGTGTCTGCAGGTGTATGATGATTTCAGTTTTTTCTGTTCTTTGTCGTGCACGGTATGCTAGTCAGTTGAAAGTACTTGAGGCTGTTTGTATTCATTTGCATAATCCTGATCTTTGTAAGCAGAAGAAACATGTGGTTGCGTTAAAATTGTTTTCGTAGGTGCACAGCATGATTGATTGTCTCACTACACAGTTTTAGCGTTATAATTAGTTTCTCATCCGCCGTTTCACTTAGCTCTCACTTCACTTCTATTGTCTCACCTTCCCTCATTCTATTTTGGCACTGTATTTTGTTCTCGTAACACATCATTGAATGTATATTTAATCATTGTTCAGCATGGTTGCTCTTCAGTCACGACTTTCCACTGATGAATGTGACAAGAAAATTAATTCTGGTAAACTTTCATGACTTCGTTGTAGTGTGGCGATGACTGCAGAATTTGTTCTCTTTATTGCTATTATAAAATTGTTGTCTCCACGTCGATTATTCCAGTATAAACATTTCTTTCTAACGCCTATCCACTGATGTGTGAACTTCAGAAGCTACAGCCCACGCTATCCTTTGGCACCTCTAAGACTGTGCGAGTGTTTGCAATCATTCAAGTCGGAGTTAAAGTTTGCGCCCTGCACCAGTGAGCATCCCAGTGCTCGCAGGTCTAGGGCTGCACAGCGCCCATCACGCGCTTGATGGACGCGATCGGATTTCATTGAGCAGCGTTGTAGTTAGAGGCACACCCAGCTCAGTTGGGATATACCATGCGCGTGACATCAAGAAACCATGATAGTATTTCCCGTGCAACTCTGTGCTCTTCGTTCACGCGACACAAGGTAGACGATCACAACATGTAGCACCAGATATAGAGTTGCTAGACTGCCCCTTGCGAGACTTGGACCCGAATGAATATTGTGAAGAGCAACGGGTTGACTGCTATCCAATGCAGTAAATACATTTACCCCGCCCATACATGCAGTGTTGTGATGGCGTGAACCGTATCACTATTGTGTTGTACATGTCAGGTTCTCGGGCAAGGTGGAGGCCACGCTGCGAGGATTCTAGTACTGTTATGTCCGTATTTCTGGCAAGGTATGATTGCTGAAAGGAAGGCATTCTGAGCACTTACTGGTTCTCAGAGCGCTGTCAGAGTCCGGCAGTAGCCCGTTCACCCATCTGGCCAGCTCGTCTCGTTTCGGCCGATGCCTTGTGGTGACCGGTCCAGCCAGAGGACCACCGACTAATGCTAGTGGGTCCATACTCATGATTGGACGTGGAGCGGTTCAGCGACGGACTTATAAGACAACAGCGACTGGTACAGACGTGATGAGCCAGTTCAGCGCTCCATCTCCACTACCATCATGACCTCAAAGCAACTAAAATGATTCTTGATCTGGAATATAAATTCTTAGCTCTTCGTAGGATGATTATGCTTTACGTCGCTCTGCACAAGTCGACGCTAGTTAGTGGTAGCGGACCTGAAGACAGCCGCACGCTCAATTCTGTTTTCGCCCGGCAGCTATTGAAACTGAATGAAAATTCATAACAATTATTTCTTCTTTGGGAACGATATTGACATGACGCCTATTTCGGAGCCTGCGATGTAGATTCTACAGTCATGATGATTGTATTCTACACATCACCATGATCACTGACTTGACTTGATCTTGTATGTCTGTGCGATCCACCGCTGGCGCGTTCGGTGACGACATGTCGTCGTCGTCTTGGTCATTCGAAGTTGTGCCCATGGTGACAGTCAGAGTGCACAGTACAGGATCTCGGATCCGCTGATCTGTAGTGACTGAGTCTGTACAGACATACTACAGTACAGCAAAACCTTTCAAGGCGACCACCTGTCCCAGAAGACCACTGGCACTGAACTCTGGACCGAAGCCTGCTATAGGGCTTGAAAGTGATGACGTCAAAAACGGCCAGGGAGTAGTAATTTGACATCAGATTTCTATTTTGGATCCACAAGTTGTGACTTTGCTATTGCCTCAGTGTGTGGGCGCATAGCAACCCACGCATGTCGTATGCAGGTGTGACTTTTCTTCGCCACCAATTGTCACCCTACCCCCATTAGCCAACCCAGTCAATTTCGCCGGTTACATCACCTTGCTGTGAGTAAGACCGCTTGAAATGTGCTTGGATCCATACAAAAACTGGATCCAAGTGGATCCAGTTTTTGAATATTTTGAAATTGTTGCTATGCTGTGACGTAGCACTTTCAAGCCCTATTGCTAGCATGCTCTTTCCAGTCAAATGACCCTAGATAAGGCGACCACCTGGAAACAGAGACCATGGTTTGACAGTCCCTTGAGCGGTCGTCTTAGACAGGTTTCACTGTACATGTACAGAGATGTTGATGTTTTCGACGGAGTCGGACTACAAGTGTTGATATTTTCAACATCTCCCTATCCCAACCAGAAAACCTCCCGATGATATGGTACAGCGGTGCACTTCAGTCTTGTTGTAAATTTTAGTGCGACTGGCACTCTTTTCCAATGTACATGTATGGTCAACGTGCTTACAAAGCATCCCCACGTTTACTTCGAAGTATGTTATGGGCAGGCGACCTCCCTACTGCCAGCACAACATGTGGCTGGAGCATTTTTTTTTAAGGGGTGGAGGGAGATCTCCCAAGCTTCCGATGTTAGTTGCCATGTCTGGACTGTACATCATGGACAGGTACATGTTATTGTGACATGATCCAATCTGACATGACCGGCTGAAGGTCCTTTTACTTTCTGACTTATACTTCTATAGGCGATTCAGACTACGGCCCACTGTGACACATGTACTCTCAAGTGCCAACCAATGTGTGACATGCCCCGTAGTTCCAATGATAGTGGCCCAAGGGGCATTTGAAAAGAAATTGAGCTGCGAACTTGTGCGGGTTGCGGCGAGTTTCGCCAAGAGCACATAGCTTTAATCGAATCTTCAGTAACACTACTAACAGTAAATAATTCAGAAGTATACGCAAAGTAAAATAATGTTCAAGAAAACAGAAACGGAGTGTCATGCCAGCAGACACCTATATTGTGAATAAGAAAAGGGAGAGAGAAACAACAAGAGTAGGCACTCATCTGTGCGCACACTATAATAATAATAATAAAAAGGAAACTAGAAACGATTATAAACGGAATATTTCCGGGTTGGTTGGTACAGGCTACTGGGCAGTACATAATAGAAACTGGAAAAAGAAATTGCACAACAAAAATGAGAATATCCTCAGCAATGTAATTGACTACGCCAATGGGACAACACACATCACAAACAATACTGGTTGCAGTACAATGAAAGCAGACCACTGCCGAGAGAAGGGAGTCCTAGCTCACATGACGCTATGAAGAAAAATGACTAGAATTCATTCTCTTTGTTCCTGGATCAGAGAAATGACTAGAATTCGCTCTCTTTTTTCCTGGATCAGAGACGGCTGCGAGTGCCGGCACTCGGCTCATCCTTCCAGAGGTCCACAACCACCTTACCCTGACTCTGCTTACTGTACAAGTATTCGACAGCGTCGGGAATGGAGTCGATGCCGCGGAATGGCGCGCGGCCCGACTGGCTGCCGTCATCGACCAGCGACTTGAGCTTGCCCTGCTCGTAGAGGGAGGCGAGCTGCAAGAAGTGCGACTTCCACTTCTTGGTGTGGTGGAAGAGGAAGAAGCCGCGCACACTGGCGGAGCGTCGCAGCAGCATGGGCGGCATGCCAGCATAACGGCCCATAGGAAACCCAAGGTCATTCTCGTAACCGGTGATGAAACCGATGATGATGAGATTGCCATGGGTAGCTAAACTCTTTACACACGTATCAAATGTATCACCACCGACAGACTCATAAATACAGTCCACTCCGGCTGGGTACTCATCACGCAACACCTTCTTCAAGTCCTCCGTTTTGTAGTTTATTGCGTGGTCGCAGCCCAGCTCGCGCAGAAAGCGCACCTTCTCATCGGTGGAGCACGTACCCAGCACCTTACAGCCGGCTGCCTTGGCGACCTGCACGGCAAACTGACCAGTGCCTCCGGCCGCTGCCGTTACCAGTACTGTTTTCCCCGGAGCAAGGTCGCCGAGCTCCTCCAGGCTTATGGCTGCCGTCAAGGCACTGACAAGCAGGGGGACATAGCCGGCGTCCAGTCGCGGCAGGCGAAACGTCCGCCTCGCTGGCACTACGTTGTACTCACTGAACGATCCGTCATACATAATGGCAATGGCATCGCCCTCTTTGATATCTCCGCAGTCAGAGCCACCTGTGCGCACGACTTGTCCAACTGCCTCGAACCCAATATTAAAAGGGGGTGCTGTTCCCGGGTTGTATCGTCCCGCAGTGTAATTCACATCTGAAGCATTGATTCCAATGTACCGATTGCGTACCAGCAATTCACCGGGGCCAGGCGTTGGCATCGGCTGCGTGACAATTTCAACAGCGTCTCTGAATTGAGTGGACAATTTCGCCACTCGCATTCGCCGATACATCGCCGGAAGAGCCATGGTTTCAGCTAGACTGCACAAGAGCGAAGATGTAACGAATGAATTTTTCTTACGCCCTTCCAACTCTAGCCTAGTCTTGCTGTCGAGGTCAGGATCTAGAACCCAGAAACTTGAAGTCGACAGCAGTGCTAACTACTGCTGTTGCCCTTATTTTCTAGCTGTCCTGTTTTTTGGCATTTTGCTTTCTTCATGATCTGCCTACATTGTAGCTAGACTGTCATGTTTTTGCAAGATCCTACAAAAACAACGCGTGCCAACGCCATTTTTCGGTGACATGGAAACCTAAAAATTATTTTATCGGTGAGTTGTAATGTTTCTACGTGTCATCTTAGGACTTTTGATTCGAATGAGTTTAGAAACAATAATATTATTATTATTATTATTATTATTTCAGAACGATACCTGTAGATGATTCTTGTGCTACCCTTGCTCCGGTAATGACTATGTAGAGCAACTGTGTGTGTCTGGTAGTTATTATATGGACAATGTTTCGCGCTCTGCGTATCGCTGCCGTCCATCCCAGTAAAATAGTTGGTGGACGATGCTTGGCAACTTCGAGTGAATTTGTTCAGGAGAGCCCACAACTGAAGAATGTATTCCTGGAAGATACCACCTTGACCTCATTCTTCACTCGATACGTATCCAAAGAGGTACATGTACTTTAGCCCCACAATAGCACCAATACTAGTATCAATACAGGTGCAGCTAAAAACTACACTGCATGAACAAGTATAATGCAATGCATGTACTTACAGTGATTTGCTAGAACAGAACTTACTCATACAGTATTTGGTGTTCGTCTCTTCTGCAAAGAACTCAGGGACGTTTTACTGTCTACAAATTGATGTGCGTACACAAATACACACACACACACACACACACACACACACACACACACACACACACACACACACACACATGCACGCATGGCACACACACACACATGGCACATGCCATGCACACACACACACACACACACACACACACACACACAATCCCATTGAAGGGAGAGGAAATAATGCAGACGTAACCGATGTACAAATGTATCTATTTATCCCGTGCAGGATAAGCCTGACATTCACGATGACTTGATCTCTTTTGGCGCGCGTGCTGCCACGGAGCTACTGCCCCTTGCGCGGCAATGCGAAGTAGAGAAGCCCTGGATCCAGCACTTTGATGCATATGGCAAGCGTGTGGACAAGTTACATGTCAGTCCAGCATGGCATGCTATGCACAACATTTCTGCCAGGGAAGGCCTCATTGCTATAGCATACGAGGACCATGGCACGTACAGGTGGGCTGTTTTCTGTGTGTGTGTGTGTGAGAGAGAGAGAGAGAGAGAGAGAGAGAGAGAGAGAGAGAGAGAGAGAGAGAGAGAGAGAGAGAGAGAGAGAGAGAGAGAGAGAGGAGATTGGATGGAGATTTCCTCCTTTTCTCCTGATCTTCCTGGGCACTAGGGCAGCATGGTGGCATCTGGGTTGCTTGACATGCTGAAGATAAACATAATTATTACCATGCAGCTGATGATGATCATGTATTGATTCTATTGAAATAAACGGTACATGTACCGGTACACATAGTCCTCGCCGTCTTGTGGATTTCTAGTATATCAGGCTATGCAGAATATTTGAACACTATACGCTCGCACGTCATGGTTGGCCTCGAGTGCTTGCATATTCCCGTCGTATGTGTACTGTTTCTGCAGCCGCCTTTACCAAGCATGCAAGCTGATGCTGTTTGCGTCGACCAGTGGCCTCTACAGCTGCCCACTGGCCATGACAGATGGGGCCGTGACTATTTTGAAGGTACGCTGCCTTCCTACGTTCACAATCCCTGCTCTGCAGGATACTGCTTAGAATAGTCTTCTGAACACATCATACAGTATACAAGTAGAAGTAGTCTGTGTGTACCAATACATGCCTGTGTGCACCACCTCTGGAACATACGCACTTCAGCATGCTGCGGTGATTTGTGCACGTACATGTAATCTAACACTTTCTCCTTTGCTAGTGATGTATTTTATGTAATGGGCGGCAACCGTATATTGTGAATGTGTTTAGTCAGGTTGTAGTGACGTGTCCCTCAACACAATTGTATCCGGTGGTAATGCGGACGTGCGAATTTTACTCCCCTTTAGTGACTGTTCGGCCGGTCTCTTTCATGCTGTGCCTGGGTCTGATTATAGTTTGGTGCACCAAGTCCTGTTGGTGACATTGCACTCCCGCATCTACTCTCCCGGTCTGAGTCATCATTTTGGACATCTGGCCAGTGGATGACAGAGAAGCGTGGTGGATCTGATGTAGGTAGGTCTGTATGTAGGTTTCCTTTGCCATTGCAGGCGAGTTGTTGATGGCACAGTATTTGACTTTAAAAGAGATGATGATTTTTGCAATAAGGCTCATGTTGTTGACACTGTTAGAAGTACTTGTAGCAACTTCATTGGTAGTAGTAGACGGAGTCGGTTTCTTCTACATGGAGGGGGTGGGGGGTTGCTTCCTTGCAGTTTTGCCGATTGGAAGGTTCGACGTGCTCTTCTTGTGCTCCGCATGTCAGTGGTGAGTCTGTCAAGTTCGGCAGGAAGCGTGTACGTAGGAGCAACGGACTTCGTCTCATTTCCTTCTGCACTTCTCCAACGCTGTGCCTGTTTTCTCTGCTTTCTGTTTCCTCGTGCCGTGATTATGTCCAGCTGCTGGGACGCACACAGTTGCTGTTGGTTCTGGCCAGCTGAACTCTGACCATAAGCTGACGGGCCTCAAGTGGTTCACTTCGGCGTCGGATGCCAACATTGCATTGACTCTGGCTAGAAGCACTGACAGCAGTGGGAAGCCAATTCCGGTGATTATTTAATATTCCACTAGGAATGACTTTGTCAAGTGCCCTAGTACCTGTGTGTTTTCACTTGCCTTGTCCTGCTTTTAAGAATGCCCTAGTGTGTAGTAGTGCGCATGCGACACTCATTGCACTTTGGGTCTTGTCTCATCTTCTTCAATGCAGGGTGGCCGTGGCCTGTCTCTCTACTATGTTGACGTGCAGGAGAACCTGAAGAATGGTACAATCACTGCTCTGGTTAGTTCTTTGTCTCATCAGCAGCTTCGCGAAGTAACAGAGCTGCCAATCAACCTGGGTCTGCTTTGTGTACTCAGAATTCTGATTTTCATCTTTTGAAGTGTTTTGACGCAGCAGCCATGTAACAATGTTATACTATGGGTCCTTATCGTTACGTAGACGTGCCCAGGTCTGGGGAGTCCTTGCTTTATCTTTACTGCGGGTGCACTTTCTCCACTTTTTCAAGTTTTTGATATTAAAATAGACAACACAGGAGAGAGATTGGAAGCTTTGTTACAACTCTGAGTTTCACGTATTACTACGATCATCAGGCAAGGAAGAAATCACATGAAAACGAGTTATGGAGCAACTATCCACGACTGTAGCAAGATAATAATGGCATTCCTTTTTTCTCTCTTCATGATCATGATTGGCTGGCAGCGTCTGAAGGACAAGTTGGGAACTCGGCAACTTCCCACAGCGGAACTCAATCTCAGCGATTGTGTGGCAACAAAGGTAGGAGAGTGTATCTGCTCTTGAGTTTGATGTGGGGTGTGTGAAACACAGCCGCATACGATATGCCATTATGACAGCCTATTGCATAGACATAGTTGTGCTTTTCTTCCCCTAGTCTTCCGTTTGAAGAGGAAATGCCTCAATTGGTGTATCTTTTGTACGCTTGTACCTACTGCAGTTCCAATCCACTTTGCTTTGCCTTGTGTTGGTCTAGCTGAGCGAAGATGGTCGTGGTATTGCTTCGATCTCTCCAATGCTGACGATCACTCGTCTTCACAATTCTATCAGCTCAGTGTCAGCCATGAAAAGGTAAGGCGATTGTCATGCGGTTGGCTCCTGTGCAGAAACACCTAAGGCTTGAAAGTAACGTTTTACTTAGTGCATCACAACCCACAGAAATTACTACTGTGCTGTGGACCGGGAAACGTTTGTGCCGGTTTAGTTCGTGATTTGCGAGCACAGACCAATTTGCAACTGGAAAATTTACGATCGAGTCCATCAACTAACCAGATTTTGAACAGTCAGACGTGCACAATCTAGCCAAAAACTGATAAATTTCATTAGTTTTATTACTACACTTCTGCGTTTTTGAGTCGGCTACTTTTGCATTTTCATACCCATCGCAAAAATCGCTAACGATTCTGGATCGCAGCGCTTTCCCGGTTCACAGTAAATTACGAAATTGGTTCGACTTGGATGGCACTTTAGTTTGTATGGGCACATGTGTGGTTCTGTGCATGGGTACCACAGGGTAAGCCTGCGGTTTGGACTGGGCCATGGGGTGAGGTGCACACTAAAGTAATCATACCATGCTGTCAATCACATGTACCTGCCATCGTTCCCTACTAATCCATAATGGGAATCTACGGTAATTGTAGAACCAATTTGGTCAAAAAGTCGTAATATTTCGATTTGTGATATATGTGTAGTCACTTTCTGTTTCTTGCCCTGTGATCAATTGTGAATTGGCAGTGTTGCCAAGGACCACTGTATACATCCACATGTTTGTGTCTGTGCATGCATGCATGTGGCTGTGTATGTGTGCGTGCCTGTGTATGTGAGTGCGTGTGTGTGTGTGTGTGTGTGTGTGTGTGTGTGTGCACGTGTGTGCACGTGTGTGTGTGTATGTGTGTGCAAGTGTGTGTGTGTGTGAGTGTGTGTGTGTGTGTGTGCGCGCACGCTTGGTTAGGATGGTGCTATTGGCCCGTGATTATTCCCGCCGAAGGACTGCATTTGGAAAACACATAGCAGATTTCCCGCTTCACCTGCAGACCCTCGCTCGAATGGAGGTAAGATCACGTCAGCAGTAAAACAGGACACAGTAGGGCACAGTAGAGCACATGTTCTGAGCTATATTCGTAGTCCTTCAGCTTCAACAGAGCTTGAGTGGTCAGAGCGTGCAGCGGTTAAGCACAATAGTTTTACTGATATGGAAACTGTATTGAATGCTATTGATACATTCAGCATCCTGAAGGCTGCTTAATTGGCCGCTTTGCACTCCAAATCTATGAATCTCTGGCTCGTCTCAGTGGCATTATCGCCCGAATGTGGCATACTGGGCAACATAGCATGATGCGTCACAGTCTTCTCGGACCAAGGTCATTCGACTCGGCACCCTACTGTTTTTAGGGTGCCAGATACTTTGAAGTACATGTAGATGTATTCGATATGCACGCGGTCTATACGCCGCTTGGGCAATTTCGTGAAAGAGTGCAGCTCTGGCCCTGGAAAGGACAGCAGGTGGATTAACATGGAATTGAAATGCTTCCTGTCAGTGTCCGGGAACAAAACAAGCAAACTGGTTCACTTCGGCCGGAGTTGTTTATCCGATGGTGGTAATTTTGATTGTGCAGCTGCGTAAGCGCCTTTACGGTGTACAGTCGTCCCACTCTAATCCAGCACTTTATAAACCAGCACACTCGATAAACCAGCACAATTTTCAGTAGCCAAAATGTCCTCTTCATGCACATTGCAGCAGTAAATTCGATTTGTTAATCCAGCACCCTCCCTAATCCAGCAGATTTCCGTGGCACAAACGGTGCCGGATTATAGAGGGACCACTGTAATTTTGTTTTCCTGCGCTAGGTTGAGACCCGTGGATGCACTGTGATGGTCCTTGAGGTGGCACGGCTCCTTAGCTTGCGGGAGAAAGGCCAAGCGACTACCGAGCAGGAGGCATTGCTGCGCTTGATGGTGCCTCTCGCTAAGTTGTACACCGGAAAGCAGGTACGCCCCTGGTGCAAACTGTGCTGACAATGCGGCTATTGTTGTTGTTGTTGTTGTTGTTTGTTTGAAATCTTTTATTCTCACGATGGCCTGTGGCCAATAAGAGAAGTTGTTGTTGTTGTTGTTGTTGTTGTTGTTGTTGTCATATTCTTTCATTTTACTTCGCTATGGGCACAGATATATCTGTCACTGCTTCTATGCTGTCATGTACGGTGAGCTGGTGTTCTGAATGCTTTCTCGTGGGTTGCTTCATGCAGGCAGTTGCTGTGGTCTCCGAAGGTCTGGAGGCATTTGGTGGTCTCGGATACCTGGAGGATACCGGCTTACCTGCTATGTTGCGTGATGCGCAGGTACAGTAGCGGTTGATCAGCATTTAGATGTTGTGCTGTGGCCTCAACAACACAGTGTGTCTAATTCACTTGGCATGGTGTGCATCTAGAAGGTGACGTTATGCTCGCTCATGTCCTCTGAGGTTGCATAGTCCTTCATCGGCTTCATCCAAGTGCTCTCTCGTCACGCGAAATTACACATCTATGAGCGACATCCACATAACCTGCTGGGAGAGTACGCGTGCAGTCGAGTCTCATCCTGAGCACGTTTTTTTCTTCTTCTTTTTTCAGCTCCAGTATAGTATACAAGTAGCTGTATTTTTCATGCCCTCTGAGGCTGCATAGTCTTTCATCGGCTTCATCCAAGTGCTCTCCTTCCCATTGTGTGTTGTGTTTATTCTCTCATGTTCTTTTCATAGTTCTTTGTTGTACATATGGAGATGCAATTTTTATTGAACCTTCCCTCCCAGGTACATGTAGCAGAAAAGGTGCCAAGATACTGTAGTGTTGGTCTGATGTTGATTTCACCTCACAGGTACTGTCAATCTGGGAAGGAACAACTAACATTTTATCCCTAGATGTCCTCCGAGCAATGGAATCAACAAAGCGAGAGGTACGCAGGCTCTGTCCGTTGAGTCGCGAGCTTTCTTCTATACATCCTGTAGAGAGATCAGATGCAACGTAACATTTAGATGTGCTGCTTTTGTTTCCGTCCCTTCCCAATGTTCTCAGCACCCTACAGCAAGTCTGTTATCAGACAAGAGTACAGTCATTTACCTGATTTTTCATCAGCACCAGTATGAATATGCGTCAGTATGATTGTGCAATAAGATGTTAAGATACTGATGAAAATGATCTCTTTGGTGTTTGCTTCCGCCTCATAGGCATTCCATGCTGCCATCAAATTCATCAAGACAACAACAGAAAGCACCGGAGGTGCAGAGGCCAGTCTTGGAGAGTGTTGCACAACATTGGCAGCACGGACCGATGCGTTTTGCAGTGCAGTGTCCCGGCTGCCTGTAGATGCCTATCCAGTTGCTGCAAGAGACTTTGCCTTTTCACTCTCTCGTCTCCTCATAGGTAGGTGTACGCGACTTTGCCTTTTCACTCTTTCGTCTCCTCATATTAAGTAGGTGTTGCTATTGCAATCTCTACTCTCATTTTCCTTTCGCCGTGCATTTAAAAAAAAACCATCATTTCTCGTTTTGGCCTTGTGATCCATACTTGAATAAATGTTTCAAAAGTCCGCCATGCTGTTGTCTGACGGAGGTCTAGTTTGGTGTTTCATCTGGCGCCATCAGCTGTATTTGAATGCCAAGTAAATTTGGCAGTTGATTAAAGGTGATGAGTCCAGCAGTGGCTTCGGACTACGTTGTGCTGATACCATATTTGTTGTCTCAATACTTTACTGTGGTAGTTGAACACTGAAAATTCTGTCATATTTATTTGCACAGGATCCCTCCTTATTGATCATGCAGCATGGAGCAAGGATGAAATATCCATCGCAGCAGCTAACAGGTAAGGCGAATAATTTCACGTTTGCAAGCAACTCGCCTACACTCAAGAAAGCACTGCATTTTCACATACAATCTGGTAATTTTTTTGTCAACGTTTTGGTCATCGTCCATCGTCAGGAATGAAAGGCCATGGAGAAAAAAAGCCTGGTCTTTCGGGTTTTTGTTTTCAGAATATGGCTGTTCCTAATGGGAAGCTCGCGCTTCCTGCCGAAACGACTGACACTTAACAGTAACTGGCTCATGATTGCCATCCCGAGCATTCAAGGTGCATGTTGAACTTTACTGTCAACAAACCTGCCAGAAAGCACTACTTAATATAAAATACTGCTATTGGAGAATTCACCCCTCAATAGTTAAGGCTAAAATCAAAAATTGACCAGTTGTAGTCTTCGGGGTGCTGAGTCGAATAGTCTTAGTCCGAGGAAGCTGAGACGCTCCCCTCCTACTTTAATCCCAATCGAACTCGCGCACTTCCACCGAAACTGGGTGACTGTGCCCTACTAGATGGGGATTTGTATGCAAAATGTCACTAAAAGCGCCATTTCGTTCTTATAAAAGCACGTATGACCGTGCTTGGCCCATATGTTGTAGTCTTTTGGACGCTGAGTCGATTGGTTTGGGTCCGAGAAAGCTGCGATGCAGAGTTCGATGCAGCGTGCCTCCTTTATTCCCAATCGAACATGGTTGAGCAAGCGGTCACGTGCTCCTGCATGCTCAAGTCACCAGGTCACCGCGCCAGCAGGCGAGAGCTTTCACACCAAGGTTCAACTCGAATTCAACTCGAGTGACAGGAGTGCACCCAAAAAAGGTCAAAACAGGCTGTAAGTTGTACCCTGCAGGCGCTAGGCTGGCACGGTGACCAGGTGACTGGTGTACGCAGAAGCACGTGACCGCTTGTTCAACCATGTTCGATTGGGAATAAAGGAGGAACGCTGCATCGCAGCATTCTCGGACCAAAACCAGTCGACTCAGCGTCCAAAAGACTACAACATATGGGCCAATTGTGGTCATCCGTGCTTTTATAAGAACGAAATGGTGCTTGTAGTGAAATTTTGCATACAAATCCCCATCTAGTAGGGCGCAGTCACCCAGTTTCGGTGGAAGTGCGCGAGTTCGATTGGGATTAAAGTAGGAAGGGAGCGTCTCAGCTTCCTCGGACCAAGACCATTCGACTCAGTACCCCGAAGACTACAATTGGTGAAATTAACTTCCCGTTGAAGCTTCAGTAGGCTGATGAAATTTGTGCTCCAGGAGCACTACATAGTGTAGCGCTCCAGCAGCTCAACCATCACCTCATGTACAAACGTACAGTGGCACGCCATTTCCAGTGTGACAAACACCTCATCACGCCCCAGGTAGCGGTATGAGTTAGTGTTGCCCTTGGATTGGTGAGAAACAGATGCTGAGGGTAATTGGCTTTTCATTGCAGCCGCAATAATTGAAGGAGTTAGCCGCTCCTGAGGAGCTCACGCCTCGGAGCATATTGAAACTTCCCCTTGGCAAACTTGCAAGAAAGCTCTCCTCCCTGCTCAATATACAGTGTGTTGGGAATCTCCCCTGTTATGCTTCAGGAGGCTAATGATTTGTTCCGGCATCCCCGAGCTCCTGGAGTGTGTGTGTGTGTATGTGTGTTTGTGCATTTGGTTAATGTCGTTCTGTTTATATTTACATTACTTTGCATGCAGGTGGTGTTCGCGTTCTGATCTGGTCACACTGTTATCGCGGTCTGCATACGACGCATCTTCACAGGGTATGGATTCATCTCTTGTTTTCGATGGTTACCTGGCCTAGCTCTGTACGCCCAGTGCATGTGATTGTTGGAAGGGTGCAGTCATGGGTCACTGTAATATTTTAATCTTTCCGCTTGGCACCGTCCATGCTGATCTTGATCGCTAGTTTGTGTATAGCACAAGCCCTTCCTTTTCTAAATTTGTTCCGTACCTTGCTTAGTTTCTCAAATATTTTTTTTAATGTTTCTCTCCCTCTATTCCAATTGAATTACTATAATTATTACAAGTAGTGAAGTATCAAAGATTATGTTTACATGATGCGCCAATAGGTGTGCATGTAGGTTGACTTGTCTTAGTGTTGCTCCGTGATTTCTTCTTCTGCTTTGGAGTATGTTTAACAGTTATTGCATGTTTGTTCGGCTTCCGAGACTTTGTTCCGCGTACGTGCTAGAATTGTCTGTAGTATTGAACAGTTATTGCATGTTTGTTCGGCTTCCGAGACTTTGTTCCGCGTGCTGGAATTGTCTGTAGTATTGAACAGTTATTGCATGTTTGTTCGGCTTCTGAGACTTTGTTCCGCGTGCTAGAATTTTCTGTAGCATTGAACAGTTATTGCATGTTTGTTCAGCTTCCGAGGCTTTGTTCCGCGTGCTAGAATTGTCTGTAGTATTGAACAGTTATTGCATGTTTGTTCAGCTTCCGAGGCTTTGTTCCGCGTGCTAGAATTGTCTGTAGTATTGAACAGTTATTGCATGTTTGTTCAGCTTCCGAGGCTTTGTTCCGCGTGCTAGAATTGTCTGTAGTATTGAACAGTTATTGCATGTTTGTTCAGCTTCCGAGGCTTTGTTCCGCGTGCTAGAATTGTCTGTAGTATTGAACAGTTATTGCATGTTTGTTCTGTAGCGGTGGCTACTTAGAGTAGTTTCGCCTGACTGTTTATTGCAAAAGGGGGAACATTATCGGACACGGAAAAGCACAACTAACTGTAAGGAGAGCAGAAACGAAGAGGTGATTCCAATCGGGAATCACTGTGTAAAGAAGACAGAGAGCGGAATGGACGGCGGTGCTGCGTGCACACAGCAGCGACCGGAAGCAGCGTGCCCAGTACGGGATGCCATGTATAGATGGAGCCCGAGGGCAGTGCACTCAGACATGAATACGCACGCGCACCCGAGTACTGCGTTCAGTGCATGCGGGGACTGTGCCATAGAAGGGGAAGGGTTAGTGATGCGCAGCCAGCAAGTCCAGCGGTACATGAATGCATGAGTCAATGGTACAGCAGGCAGGCTGCGGTTCTTATACAAGTACACACGTTAGATCAATGCGAGTGAGTGTAGGGAGTAGGAAGGAGAAACCTGGAGACAGACAATGATATGCCTAGGGATAGAGTTCTGTCATGATGCTACTCATTACACTACATCTCCCCTAACGGAAAGAGTTGCAGGCCCAGACAATGCTATGCCCAGGGATAGAGTTCTGTCATGATGTTACTTATTACACCACATCTCCCCTAACGGAAAGAGTTGCAGGTCCATGTTCATATGGTCGAGATGAGCCGCTCCGGTGCGATGGCTGTGCGACCTGAACAGGTAGTGGAGGTGGCACTTGTGTTGGGCTCGGCGGCAGCAGGCATGCCGTTTTGGCTCGCCACAGGAGTTTCTCCACCGCTTTGGTGGCTTCCGGCTGCGGAGGGAGTAGCCGTGAGGTGTTGCAGTCCGCCGTTGCAGTAAGCTGTTGCAGTCAGCCGTTGCAGTAAGCCGTTGCAGTAAGCCGTTGCAGTGAGCCGTTGCAGTGAGCCGTTGCAGTGGGCCGTTGCAGTGGGCCGTTGCAGTGAGCCGTTGCAGTAAGCCGTTGCAGGTTGCAGTAAGCCGTTGCAGTAAGCCGTTGCAGTAAGCTGTTGCAGTAAGCTGTTGCAGTGAGCCGTTGCAGTAAGCGGTTGCAGTGAGCCGTTGCAGTGAGCTGTTGCAGTAAGCTGTTGCAGTAAGCCGTTGCAGTGGGCCGTTGCTGTGAGCTGTTGCAGTAAGCTGTTGCAGTAAGCTGTTGCAGTAAGCCGTTGCAGTGGGCCGTTGCAGTAACCCGTTGCAGTAAGCCGTTGCAGTAAGCCGTTGGCTTGCAGTGGTGTGTCGGGAAGCGATCGCGGATGCGGTCATCGCGAGCGTCCTTGAAGTCGCCGTTGTCCGCGCCGCCGTAGAGACGACGCAGAAGTGACTCGTCCACGGTCTCGGATGGCGACTGTGTGTCGCGTTCGAACATCGTTCGTCCGTGGACGACGTTGGACACGGGCGTAACGTACGCCGAGAGTTTCGTAAGCCGTTGCAGTAAGCCGTTGCAGTAAGCTGTTGCAGTGGGCCGTTGCAGTGAGCCGTTGCAGTAAGCCGTTGCAGTAAGCCATTGCAGTAAGCTGTTGCAGTGAGCCGTTGCAGTGAGCCTTTGCAGTAAGCCGTTGCAGTAAGCCGTTGCAGTAAGCCGTTGCAGTAAGCCGTTGCAGTAAGCCTTTACAGTAAGCGGTTGCAGTAAGCCGTTGCAGTGAGCCGTTGCAATGAGCGGTTGCAGTGAGCCGTTGCAGTTAGGCGTTGCAGTGAGCCGTTGCAGTGAGCCGTTGCAGTGAGCCGTTGCAGTGAGCCGTTGCAGTGAGCCGTTGCAGTAAGCCGTTGCAGTAAGCCGTTGCAGTGAGCCGTTGCAGTGAGCGGTTGCGGTGAGCTGTTGCGGTGAGCTGTTGCAGTAAGCCGTTGCAGTGGGCCGTTGCAGTGAGCCGTTGCAGTAAGCCGTTGCAGTAAGCCGTTGCAGTGAGCCGTTGCAGTGAGCTGTTGCAGTGAGCCGTTGCAGGGAGCTGTTGCAGTAAGCTGTTGCAGTAAGCTGTTGCAGTAAGCCGTGGCAGTGGGCCGTTGCAGTGAGCCGTTGCAGTAAGCCGTTGCAGTGCTGTTGCAGTGAGCCGTTGCAGTGAGCTGGTGCAGTAAGCTGTTGCAGTAAGCTGTTGCAGTAAGCTGTTGGCTTGCAGCGGTGTGTCGTGAAGCGATCGCGGATGCGGCCATCGCGAGCGTCCTTGAAATCGCCGTTGTCCGCGCCGCCGTAGAGACGACGCAGAAGTGACTCGTCCACGGTCTCGGATGGCGACTGTGTGTCGCGTTCGAACATCGTTCGTCCGTGGACGACGTTGGACACGGGCGTGACGTACGCCGAGAGTTTCGTCTCCACTTCCTGAGATTTATCGCGATCGCTGGCGTTGTCGAACGCGAGCCATCCTAGATCCTGAAGTTGCAGACCAGGTTCGTTGCGGATCAATGTTATTTTGTTATCACTGATCCTGTTCACTGCGCCATGTAGCGGTGGCTACTTAGAGTAGTTTCGCCTGACTGTTTATTGCAAAAGGGGGAACATTATCGGACACGGAAAAGCACAACTAACTGTAAGGAGAGCAGAAACGAAGAGGTGATTCCAATCGGGAATCACTGTGTAAAGAAGACAGAGAGCGGAATGGACGGCGGTGCTGCGTGCACACAGCAGCGACCGGAAGCAGCGTGCCCAGTACGGGATGCCATGTATAGATGGAGCCCGAGGGCAGTGCACTCAGACATGAATACGCACGCGCACCCGAGTACTGCGTTCAGTGCATGCGGGGACTGTGCCATAGAAGGGGAAGGGTTAGTGATGCGCAGCCAGCAAGTCCAGCGGTACATGAATGCATGAGTCAATGGTACAGCAGGCAGGCTGCGGTTCTTATACAAGTACACACGTTAGATCAATGCGAGTGAGTGTAGGGAGTAGGAAGGAGAAACCTGGAGACAGACAATGATATGCCTAGGGATAGAGTTCTGTCATGATGCTACTCATTACACTACATGTTCGGCTTCCGAGACTTTGTTCCGCGTGCTGGAATTGTCTGTAGTATTGAACAGTTATTGCATGTTTGTTCGGCTTCCGAGACTTTGTTCCGCGTGCTAGAATTTTCTGTAGCATTGAACAGTTATTGCATGTTTGTTCAGCTTCCGAGGCTTTGTTCCGCGTGCTAGAATTGTCTGTAGTATTGAACAGTTATTGCATGTTTGTTCAGCTTCCGAGGCTTTGTTCCGCGTGCTAGAATTGTCTGTAGTATTGAACAGTTATTGCATGTTTGTTCAGCTTCCGAGGCTTTGTTCCGCGTGCTAGAATTGTCTGTAGTATTGAACAGTTATTGCATGTTTGTTCAGCTTCCGAGGCTTTGTTCCGCGTGCTAGAATTGTCTGTAGTATTGAACAGTTATTGCATGTTTGTTCAGCTTCCGAGGCTTTGTTCCGCGTGCTGGAATTGTCTGTAGTATTGAACAGTTATTGCATGTTTGTTCAGCTTCCGAGGCTTTGTTCCGCGTGCTAGAATTGTCTGTAGTATTGAACAGATTCCACGTGTAGCCTGTGCTTGTCCCAGCCTGGTCCGCATACTGTCGACTTCTTCACATCGGTATATGTTTTATAAAGTGTCATGTGTGACTGGGACGTGACATGATGTGCATACTTGAAGTAGGTCTTCCATGCACGTGCCGTGGATGGCTTTCCGTTCCGGGCGCTCTTTGGGCATTGTCGATTAATCATGCACGGTCACAGTCGTACATGTCTATGAGTATGACACCACTGGTCTTGGCAAGGTGAATTTTTGGCCTTCAGAACAAGCCTGCAAACCAGGGAGTAGTCAAATACCTACATCGTGTATATACGGTATTTGACGACTCCCTACTGCAAACGTGGTCCGGTGAGTTGCATAGACCACGGATTACTTAGATTTTAAAATCTATATCCAAATCCGGTTTCCGCCAGTGTTCAATTCAACCAAGAGTACCGGTACATAATCCCTGTACTCTTGATTCAACTAAACAATGTTGGTCTCGCGTCTCCGTGAATCAGGGAGTCGTAAAATACCTTTTACGACTCCCTGCCGTGAATGCTGCCGCAAGAGCCATGAAACTGACTCAGGTTCCATGATGCCACTAACGTCACATGATAATAGTAATCTGGTGCATGGCCGGTCTTATTTTATTATTATTATTATGAGAGGCTTTGAATCGAAATATTATTATTATAACTCACGATGGAATCAAACTCATGATGGAAACTACAACCCAATGAGTTGGAAAACCAACCACAGAATTAGATATTGGGAATAGAGTCAGACACAACAACAACCGAAATCAGTACACCAAAAATCTGTCCCACAAAAAACAAAGGAACAAGAAAAACAAGAAAGACGAAGTACAAAAAATCCCCAAAAAAAGAAAAAAAAAGGAGGGGAGAACGGGATGAAAGATCAGAGCGGCAAACCCCAGGAGGAATAATTATTATTATTTTTACTTATATTTTACTAGGGTGTTTCCTTCTTACGGGAGCCCCTATATGGCCTAGAGGTCTCAGAACCAGGGTGTTCTAAAACCGGTCGCTTTTTAGTAGTGTATTGCCACGAGAAACCTCTTTTACGGGCAAACAAAACACATTTTCAACTAATTACTTATGGAGGAGTACATATTATCATAGGTGCCAGACATTCTTTTTTTCTTTCTTTTTCTTTTTACCAGGCGCGGGCCATCCCCTGAATTCATAGGTGCCAACTCTCTAAAAAAATAAAAAAAAAACAAAAAAACAAGATGCGGGACCTATGCATGAACTACCCGGTATCGCGGCAGTACTTCAGGGGATGGCCCACACGCCTGGTAAAAAGAAAAAGAAAAAAAAGAAATCATAAAGAAAACTAAAGAAAAAAGAATGTTTGGCACCTATATAGCTATATGCAGGGGATGGCCCACGCCTCGTAAAAAGAAAAAAAAATCTTGTTCTCACCTGCTTCATTTTAAATTGTTGTTTCCGTGTGTACTCATGTTTAGGCCTGACCTGATATGATGGGTTTCAGGTGTAACCATGGTAACTTATAGGCGACCAACGTTCCCTTCACATGCAGCAGGTTCTGTGCCATTTAGGTGTAATCTAAATTTAGATGCCTGGCATTTCTACCAAAATCACCGAAATTAAAATTACACCGAAGATAACCTGTTTTACAGTATTGACTATTGTGAGTGTGCCTCTCTCGCTCTTGTAACTGTAGAGTTGGTGCCATGCGCTATGGTATGCATGTACTACACTAATAAAAATGTAGTCTTTGGCTGTGTTTACATGAGAAATTTCAACCCGGGTCGAGTTCAGCCCGGGTTGAAAGTCTGTACGATAGACAAAAGAGGTGAGCGTTTACATGAAGACAGTTGACCCGGGTCAAATACTGATATGCCGCCAAAAGTCCACTTCTAGAGTCCTGTATGGTCACGTGAATCCGTTCGCGCGAAATTTGCATCTGCAGTGCTGTTCAAACCTGGCGCGAGATACGCACAGAAGTACGTTTGTACGATTTTCTTGACCCGGGTTGATTTCAACCCTCCCCTTGGGGGGAGGGTTGAAATCAACCCGGGGCGAAATTTCAACCCGGGTCAAGCGCAGTGCGTCATGTAAACGCGCCATTCACTTTGTGCACATGGGGGGTTGAAATCTGACCCGGGTCGAACTCAACCCGGGTTGAAACGCTTCATGTAAACACAGCCTTTGTTTGTATCTACAAACTGTAGTACTCGTAGGCCCTCCGCCCAGCTTCCTCCCCTTACACACCCCCGCCCTGGCCTCACGGTACGCGGTAGGGTCGAAGGGATCCCTGGCTTGGAGTCGTACCCCCAGGGAGTCGTAAAATCGTACCCCAAAAATGTGAACGGGTTCGCGGGCACTGCTAACCGTAGGTCCGTACTGTATCCCGTAGATCCACGCGCGTGTGCGATCTACTGTACTGTGCATGTGTTGTGGCAACTGAAATCCGGTAAACTCACATCGCAAGGACCCATGCAGCACGCGATTGTACTACGCAATAAATAGAGACCGAAAATCGGGATCGGATTTCAGGTGCCACCATGGCATGGCGCGGTGTACAAAATCGTGATCTGGTGTGCGGTGACGTAACGGTATATACACAAGGTCCTTCACGGCAACGAGCCGGCGACGTAGCCAGGTACCGATGCCCGGTGCCCGTAGTCCCGTACCCGGCTGTACACATGTAGTGTGATCACATGATCGTCATCTGGACAGCTCGATGACTTGCGCTTGCACCAAATAAAATGTTGAGGTCCTGCACATATGCCTTGCTCTGCATTCGACCCTTTGGTTCGAGAAGGAAGCTTTTTATCGGCATCGGTCTCTTGCTAGTTTAGTAGTTGGCAAAAGCTCAAGTCACAACTTCGGAGTGACCTCCATTATGGAGTCGGCTCTGTCAAGTGCCTGCCGCTCCGCGGAAGAGCTTTTGAAGCGTTGCATTCAAGTTCGCACTCTTGAAACGACAACGTGGATCGATCCATCTTTCAAGTACGTGCATTTCCTTTGCTGTCAACCTTGTACTTGTGTGAGCTGTAGCTTGTCCACAATTATTTGTTATAGCTGAAGACAACTTTTCACTTTCTTTGGTTGTCTGCCTTGGCGAAGTCATGTCCAGATGTGAAAATCTTACTTTTTGGAGGGAAGTTCACTTGGAATCAGTGTTGGAGGGAAAATGGATACTTTTTCGTTACAGATTGTGTACAGCGTAGATTGTAATAATTATTGCATGTATTGGCTTTGAGTCATAACGTGTTCATTCTGTGCTTTCTGTACATACTACATAGCCATAGATCTACCTTTGCTTCTCCTTTTGTGTATCGTGGACCCTCGGCATTACGTTACGTAATGCCAAGAGTACATAAACCATAGTGTGCAACTGTGCATAATTATGATTATGAGATTCTGAAACAGCGCAGTTCGTGCGCTACGTCACCCTGGTGAGGTCAGCCAAGCCGCGACTTGCGTACAGCTCAATTTTTCGCGTTTCACAGACCTGAAATCACCCAAGTTGCATGATTCTAGGCGTCCTGTTTTAGGATTTCAGTGTTTTTGTGTGACTGCGTGTGCTGCGTACATCCGCTGACAAGTAAATTCACCAGGCCATCCGTATCAAGAAACCGAAATCAGGACAAAAACTCAGTGACATGCACCACCGTGACTGGTTACGCCACTTTTCGCCGTACCTGTGGCTTACCATGCCGTCAGAAACGACGTACTGCACGAATTACACTCCCACAGGAACCATCCCAAGTTGCACACTCTGGTTTTAAATATGTACTCTTGGTATTGCCTATGTCGACATCGTAAACCGATTCGAAAAAGAGATTGCTTGTGTTCAGGGTAGATCTACAGGCTGTCATTCACCAGAAATTTCTCCTTCATTGCGCTGCACACTGTTCTAGTACACTATATAGTGTTCTAAGTACTAAGAAGGGAGTTCACTCGAAAAATCAAATTCTCCAAAAAGTAGAGCATGAGGAACATAACTATCAATCAAGGTAGCTGGAAACTAAATCAGACTTTCAAATTGGCCCGAAATATTTTGGATGTGAACTATGCGGTGCCTTCAGTTTCCAGCTAGCGATGAAATGGCCACAAAAGTAGCTGGTACCATCAATACGGCGGACTGTACCCCTCCCCAATTTTGTTTTACGTATGTCGAAGAAGAATCTGCAAACTGTCATTACTCTGCAAAACGGTCACGGATGCTGATGAACGGTACACCATTGGAAAGGTCTCTTACTCTGCTTTCCTGGGATATAGCATTCTTTGCAATAGGCCAACAATTGGCTGATTTGCGACCGGAACTGGCATGTCTCAGGAAACTGGGCACGCGCTATTCAAGCTGGGCCTTACGGTTTCTAGAGGATGTCCGATTACATCATCTAACACTGTGTTTATACCTAACCTTATGTTTGCAGCTGGGAGAATGCACGCAAGGCCATTTTCAGTATGATTGAGAAGAAGGACGGTGTTCTTGCATATGTCAGAAAGGATTCTACTCGTGTTCTGGTGAGTGCTGGCCTCAGATTTCTGTCAAATTTTGCATGATTGGTGACGGTGCAGGCGTAATGAGTGTGTGGAACGCGATTGCCTGGGTTGTTATCCTAGCCTGTGCGTGATCACGTGTTTGTGCACCTGTGCGCGCTCACGGTAACATGCATGTATTCGGTACAGCCGTGCGAGCTAGCAGTGGCAGCATGCACTTCAAGCACTACCCAATACTGGGGATGGCATATGGCCACTGAGCAGTAGTGTAGTGACGTTATTCCCCGTGTGACATGCATCTTAAAAACTAGACATGGCCAGACATACGTTATCTTGTTCTCGTATTAGGGAGGTTCTACTCTACGTTATGGGACCGCGACGCAAAGAATCATGCGAACTCTCTTCGTGTTCCCGTAATGTAAAGAAATCCTGTCCTGCTCTACGTTCACGTAGAGAAATCACGTGAAAATTGTACGGGGAATTTCCCCTTCCATATTTGGCAGTTTTCTGCCTGCACTGGAATGATACCCAGCAGATCCGTACGCATTTTCTTTGCGTTTGCCACAACGTAGAGAACCTCATCTATGCGTAGAAATCTGGACCCAAACACGCGAAGCCGTAGACTCTAACCCAGACACCTGCTCTCTACGTGATTTCTCTACGTTGCACGTATAGCAGAACTTCTCTACTGACCGTGAAGAGACTCTGATTGTTGTGATCTTTATTTTTGCCATGCGTCGTTTCTCCACTGCAGATCCAGAGCCAGGAATCTTGGAGTGCGGTCTGTGCCGAAGGTGTTAAAATGGCCAGTAATGGTGGCAAGGCGTTGGAGCTTGAATACATTGCTCCAGCCACTCGCTCCTGCGCACCATCTGTCCAGGCAAGTACAAGTAATTTGTTTTGATTCTATTGTTGCCTATCACCACAACCTAGGCAGTGCATTATGGTCTGACACATACACACTGTACTTATTTATGTATTGCTGTGCTACCCTAGTGGCAACATGTTACAGTTTATCCCTATTTGACTTTGCAAGTTGCTCTTTGGGCAAGAAAAGTACGTGGGAAATTATTTGTTCAGTTGTACAATAAAGTAAGCATCTGAGCAAGCCTTTCATCCTTTCTTTTTGTCTGCAAACGCCAACGCAACCACTTGCGTATTTATGTTACCTCACTCCAACAACGGTCTCTTCACTTTCATCCCTTGCCAATCTTGACAGCAGCTTATTAGGGCATATTGTTATGTTTTGTTCCAAACAGGGATGTCCCCCGTCCAAGTGCTGTCCCCCATCCAAGTGCTCCCCATCTGCAGCAAGCGGATGCAGCACATCCTCTTGCAAACCTCAGTCATCTGGCTGCTGCACCAGTACTGCGCCCAAGAAGGCCGAGGAGAAGCCTAGAGAGAAGGTCTGCTGCCATCCTATTCCTGGAGAGTTCAGCAAGCCCAAGGACTGCCGTGAAAAGGCGCCGTGTAGTGTGCAAAAGCCTGATGTTGAATGCTGTGTCAAGTGCCCCAAGATGTACCCAGAGACGAAAATCTATGCTGATGTTGGCCCCAAGCCGTAAGTAGAATCAATGCTAGTTTTATTGTATTCTTGTCTCCCTCTTCAGCTGGTTGGTTGGCTACTAATTTGGGTTATTCCTGGTTTGCAAGTCTTATTCATGTTATCTTGGCTCATGCACCTAGCGAAGCCAACCCGGTAGAGTAGGAGAAACTGTTTCTGTGCTGCATACAAATGCGATGGTGAGATCAGATTGAGTATGTTAGCGGTGCAACGGTCACGTTAACAGCAAGCACTGTCCATGGTTCACTCGGGTCTCCTCTAGCGAGTGCACATGTGGCTCAGTGGTGAATCGGCTCCACTGCCTTTCTGTCTGTGCGGCTGCAAGAAGTGCTGCCTGCTCCAACCACAATCATGTACTTGCATTGCCTGTTGTGTTGCAGCGTTAACCCTACACTGGACCAGTACAAGTACTCAGGTGAAGCGTTGCGTGCTTGCCAGCTCGCTCTTGGTCCTATTGGTAAGCTTTCTTTGGATGCCATCTCCAGCATATTGTAACAAGTACAGTGCTGGCAACTGAAATCTGACCCCCTGAGCGGTGGGTTCACATTTTAGCGGTCTCTGGTTCGTAGTTTTACCATCCCATGTGTGGGTCTTTGCGATGTGAGCGCACAGCTCAGGGGGTCGGATTTCAGTTGCCAGCACTGTAAATGTTCATGAAGGAAACTGTATTGTATACATTCTGCTTTGTTTTACCGGTACAAGGAAAGCCTTTTCCTTTCGTATTTGACAATCTGTTGCCGTGAGCATGCCCTGTTAGTTTTAGATTGGTATAACAGTGACATTGTGTTTTATCTCGATGGCAGGTGGTGGCGTGATTGCTATATCGGGAGACGGTGGACTGCGTCAGTGGCAAGTTGTCAACGAGGTCAACCACCTTGGTCATGTTCCCGACTCCTTCTGGGGTGTCAAGTAAGTTTTTTCCCTACGCATCTGTTTGATTTTCCTCACTTGGCGCGTAGAGACCGGTAGTGAGAAAGTGACCGTGCGCTATATGACCCCACTGGCTGTGTAACGATGCTGTGTTTGAATGACAAGTTTTTAGCAGCAGCTGTACGTATGGTGCTGAATGCATGCTCATACAGAGCCTTCACAAACTGGGAAGATGATTCTTCAGACATGAAACTCAACTGCAACCCAACCTGAAGTGGTGTGTGCTATCTGTGCACTGGACTGGGTGTGAGTGTTTGTGATATGGCTATGATAACAAACAGTGTCCTTTCTGCTCCTTCTCAGGGTTGAGATGGGCAGCACAACCATTTCGAGGGTGTTGCAATCTGACGCCTGGTATGACGAGACCGGGTTCGTCCCTGCTGCGATGGTAACTGATCACGGTGGGTGCTGAATGTCTGTTGATCTCTCTCCCTGTCTGTCTGTTTGTCTGTCTTACTCCCTCCTCATCTTGTGGTGCCCCCCCCCCCCCCCCCCCCCCGATAGGCGAAGAACGATTGACAAGGAATCTAGGAAAGTTGGCCAAACGCTTTCGGACCCGACTATTAGAAAGGCACTTATGGCATTGTTTAATGCATAGCTTTCCTTCGTTACTCAACCAAATTCAACAATGGACAGGTCCAGGTTGTATAGAAAACTCTCAACTGGAACTATTGCCGAAGAGCCTCTATCAACGGATCTCAAGATAAATTGTTTTGAAATGGGAACTATTTCATCAGCGGACCTTTGGGTGACTGGTTGAACCGTTCCTAATTTAAAAGTCTACTGAACAACGAAACATTTTTTAAACCTGCCCATGGCATTTAAGTCAGAGTGCTCTTACTGCGATAAGCACAGCGAGCGTTGCACGAGGGCAGATAACTTTAATACTAACCGGAAAGAGCATTGTATTGTGTGTATTTAGTGTGGTACTGTATTGAACCTTTGCATTCTCTGGTTCACTTTGATAGTTTACTTTATGTAGAATAATACCTTGCGATGTTTTTTGCATGTTGATGTGCTTCAGAAATCCCACCGGCATCTAAGGAATTGTTGAACAAGCTTCCTGGTGTACCAGAGATCGAGATCACTGCCAAATACCCCTCGGTTGAGGGTAAGTGTTCTGCTATGCCTCTGTCCCATTTTCAATCCGTAATTTCACAATTTTTCGGTGTCCTTTTATTTTCGGTGCTTTCAGTGTGTCTGTTTCATACCTAAAATCTCAATACACCGAACAATAACTAACACACATAATCCCATAAGGAATTGCTGCTCTGTACCTTGAGTTTCTGTTCACCTAACCTGGCCTTTTGCCCTCGTACTGAAAATATTGAGCACCTAAAATTTCTGAAATTAGACTAACTATTGGAAATGCATGCCTAAGACTTTTGATGTATGGCTGAATGCATCTGGTGGCCTATCATCAACCGTGCACCTTCATGGTTAAAGGGGAAGTTCACCCTAAAATCAAAATTTCACAGTTTGTAGATTTCGAGCCGCTGAGTTCGGTGGTGAAGGTCCCATCGCCGTGCGATACGCCGTTCTGGAGATATTTGAATTTGAAATTTATCATGACGTCATGCAAAATGACGTCATGCGGCCGGCGCACACCCCCTCCACACCCTGTGACGTCAAAGAGATACAGGTTCCCGGTCTGCTTGCTTTTCAGTGAGCGAGAAAGAGTGGCGTTTGTGGAGTTTCTTTCTTGCGACCTGAACAGTTTCAACCACGATGACGGTTTGCTGTGCTGTCGGCTGCTCTAACCAGTCTGGCAAGCCCCCTGGGACCACGGTGCATCGTATTCCGCGGGATAAAGCTCTCCGAGCGGAATGGGTTGCAGCGATTCACCGCGAGAATTTGCCACCTAAGTTTGAGGAGAGCTGTGCAATTTGTTCGGCACATTTTGAGGAGATGCCTTCCAGAGGAACTTGCACGGAGAGATGGGCAAAACGTGCCGCCGAAAGCTGAAAGCAGACGCTGTGCCATCGATTTTCCCGGACAGGCGTCCCCCAGCGAAGCGAAGGATGTCGCAGTATCAGGAGAGGCAGGAGAGAGAAGAGGTGAGTGAATGGTTCTGGTGATTTCGTGCTTTGAGAGCGTGTTGAAATTCTGTCTGTACATCGCGAGTTGTAGAGGGCAGTTTCACCCACTGTGTTGAGTACATCGTATACTTGTAGAGAAAATGATTTACAGATACCGATACAAAGCTGTTTGCAGTGTGTTGATTGCAAGGTACTAGTATTGAATGAAGACAGAAGATCGTGCAATATATTTTTGTTTTATTTCAATTCAAGTTTTGCATGTCGTGAAAAGGCATACAGTGGTCACTAGCACTGTCCTCTGCGTGGTAAGTTTCAATTCGAAGAAAGTCTTCATTGTGTTGCATTGTCACTGTTATCTGCGTGTATTTTGCGAGTTTGATCCTAGCTCAAGCCCATGCTGAGCCGTATGCCGCAGCTTTTCGGTCTCCAGTTGCATGCGCATTGAGTCCAGACGATGGCATGATATCTGCTGATGCGTGCACACAGACCCCCGTCAGCACACGGGAAATTTAGAGGTGATGTTATGGTACCCACTGTGTAGATCAAATCCACACGTACATATGCTTGCAACACTGGCAGTACATTTTCATGACTATTCTTTTGCTATAAACACACACACACGCGCGCGCGTGCGCGCGCGCGTGCGCGCACACACACACACACACACACACACCTTTGATCTTTGACGCCAAACGCCGGAGGCAATGATGGCAATGCTACGGCAGAAGCCATAGCAACTTGTGCTGGAATTGCACCATTCAACAGCTTGCAAGGCTGAAGAATTGACCGTCACAATTCAGCCTGGTCTACACCATACAGCTACACACAGACACACACGCGCAAGCACCTGGCTGACTACAAATAGTGACAGCTTATGATTGCTTTGCCGTTTGTCCATTAATGCATTATGCAGGTGTTCCACCGGACTCCTCGGCCAAGTTTTCCGAACATCAGCCATATGTATTGTCGGTGTGCTGCGTAACGGTGCGAGTTGCTGTGGGGAACAGGGGAGTAGATCTTCCTGCTGTTAGTCTCACATGTCAACGTACATTTCAGTGCAACAGCAGCACACTACAACAACAAATTTTTGAAGAAGTATACAAGCCAATATCCTGGTTATATTTTTGCACCATGGAACAGTATTTTATTTTGATGAGAAAATACAGTTCTCCGATGCAAAATCGACGACAGTATTACACTATTAGCACGTACCGGTTTCCAAACTCAGATGGCTTCGATCCGGCCTGCTGATGGATCTTGCCCAAATAGCCACGCAGTACAATGTACAGTGCGTGCTGGTTGCTCCAGCCTTCCCCGAACTACGAGGTGCAAGTAATGCAGCTAGACTCAGTAACCAATCCGCGGCTGCCGATTCCGGAACATCTTTGCAGCAAATGCAGTCGTTCCGCAATAATTGAACGACGCATTTGCCACATTCACACCAGGACGTATTGCCAACGCGATCGGCAGGTGGCCAGCAGTCCTCTAAGCAAGCAGCAGGGTCAGTGTCGGCAGCAGCCCGCTGCAGTTTCGTCAGCATTTACACCAACTTGCTCCGCACTCGCCATCTGCATGATCTCATCCTCGGTATACTCCGGTTCCTTCGCTGGCGTCCAACTCGCTCTCCTCGGAGTCACTGTCATCTCCTGACAAGGAGGTAGACCTACCCTGAATCGTCTCCGCTCTGAGCCTCATACTGCTTGACTTTCCGCCTTGGACATTCACGACTTCACTTTCTTCTCCGTCCAACTCCAAGTAAAAGTTCCGAGCTCCAGGAGCTCCTCTATCTCTTTGACGTCACAGATTCGTGACGCCATGGCGGCGCCAAAAACCGGGGATCAAAGTGATATTTCAGTTGCGTATATCTCCGGTTATAGTCACCGGATGAAGACGAGACATACACCAATCGACTCAGCTGATTTTTCCCAATAACATATCTGATTTTGATTTTAGGGTGAACTTCCCCTTTAATCGTTTTACCCCGGTAGCTCTGACTGGCTTGCCTTTCTTGTTCTCTATATTGCAGTTGACTACCCGAATGCCGGACTGCCAGTCGACATTCACATGACTGCCTTCAACCCATGTATTCCCCTCAACAACAAGGACAGCAGCATTCCGGTCATCGCTTTCCAGTTTGAAGTCAACAACCCGATGGGAGAGGATGTGCAAGTCTCCATGCTCAACTCGCAACAGAACATTGTCGGCTGGGATGGACTAAGCCAAATCAAGAACGAAGGTGTGTGTGGGTGTTTGTGTGTGCGTTGTTGTTGGTGGTGGTGTTGGTGTTGGTGTTGGTGTTGGTGTTGTTGTTGTTGTGATGTGATGTGATGATGTGAGTTGTAAATCAAAATGTTTAACTTTGTTATGGAGTTTGTTACCATTTTCTAGACTGCTTGCTTGTTGACTGGGCTATAGATATATTTTGATAAACGTTATCAGTACTAATCTGCTACCTGTACACAGGTGTTTGGCACTCGAGGACAGAATATCGTGACCGCCGCATCTATATTCTTTTCCTTTGTCTTTTGAAGTGAATTATTCGTCTTGTAATGTGCGTATGTTGGCACATGCTGGTGTATTTGCTTGTGCTCTTAGTGTACAACAAGTCCTATGGTGGAAACTCGAATTCTCTGTTGACGCTGGGAGAGTAAGTCTATCTATTGTTTGTCTTTCTTGTACCTTTTTAATTGTCCGTAAAAGCTAACACAGCCCCTATAACACACATGTATAACTTCTGCAACTCCGAAAACGGTCTCTTCACCGCGAATTACTTAACGTTCTTCCTCTAATCCTTTCGAATTAAGGTGTCAGCTTCATCAATTTCTTTCTGTGCGGTGCCACTACATTGTAGCTCACTCAAAGAGCACTGCAACTTACCTGCTTCTCCTTCGGTAGCGTTTTGGTCCGTTGTGGCTGACCTCAGGAAGGTACATAATTATATGAGCATCACTCAAGCACCAATCACCCAAGTGTCATGTGCTGAGAGGTATCCTGATACATGTACCGTATTTCCCCGAATGGAAGTGCACTTTTTTTTACGCTGAACTTCAAGGGGAAAGAAGGGGGTACGACTTGCAATCGAGTTTGACATCCTATGTAGAGGTGTCCTTGGTTGTTGTCCACCTATGGACGTTCTAGCTGTTACTGGGATTTTTAGCACTAAATTGTAGTAGCATCGGCTCTGTATATAGGAAGCCATGTTGTATTCATGCCTGTGCTGATGAGCGCAATTCTGTCCTGCTATGCTCTGGTGCAGTAATTCTTCTATGGTTGCCATCGACATGGTCAACTCAACGTTGGTTGATCCCAACGGTAAACACTACAACGCTCACGATGGCCACTTTGCCAATGCCGGTGAGTTGTTGCAGTGGACACGTTTTTTAGTCTAGGCTTGTGCCCCTCAATATGTGTAGCTGTTCCCTGGTGTCATGGTTACCAGTTTTTGTATGTGTAGATGTCTTATGACTTCAGATGCTTCAATATGTGGTGTGTTCACCTTGCCTTTCGACTCCACATATAAAGCCGTGGTCGCCATCAAGGTTTGATATAACCTTTACTGTTAGGTCGCATACAAGAAGCTGCCAAAAAACTTTCTCACTCAAGCATGTGACTGTTTCATGGCAGTGTGAGCACTTGTCCATACTGGCATTTCTTGACTGTACGCCGTATGAGTCTCTTGTTTTTCTCCTGTTTGGATGTGTGTCACAGCCCTCCTTCAGGAAAGAGACATTGTGTCAACACTGTTGCAATACGACTCTGTCGAGGACATGTGGTCACAGTTTAGCAGTTCCGGAGGCTTGACTGGCAAGGGATCAGCTGGTCCTTCACCTGTAAGAAATATCCTTTATTGTATGTCCTTGGCATTGGAGTTTCACTGATATTGTGCCTGTCTACAGTCTACTAGTATTCATCCGAAAATGTTGGCACCCTAACTTGTTTGTGTCTCGCAAGTATAGTGGTAGATATAGTGAAAATGACTGTACACCCCCTGCATTGTGTGACCCGTGCAATTCTAGTATTTCTACGTAGCCACATTTGAAGCTGGAAAGTCAAAGGATAGGTATTTAAAATTCGGCCAGCTTTTATAACACTGGGGTAGCCTAAACCATGGAAAAATGTATGAAGATCTGTGTAAAAGATCGACCATTATATCTTAGATGGCCCCTGACGGCATTTGTTTCAATAGGTTTTTCATTTGACCCGACGAGACCACACAACGCTTGCAGACCACTGCACGAACAGTTCACCAGCCACACTCCACGAAAGCAAGTAGTATTACTCCTGACAAGTCTTGTTTCGTTCCATAAAGTTGACGGGGAACTCATCAGAGGAGAAGCAATAGTAATACTACTTGCTTTCGTGGAGTGTGGCTGGTGAACTGTTCGTGCTGTGGTCTGCAAGCGTCGCGTGGTCCCGTCGGGTCAAATGAAAAACCTGTTACTACTATTTGACGGGCCTATTGAAGATGGCGACAAAGAATTATGGCATTTGTTTTGCATGGGGCATTGGGAGCTATACAAATTGGTTTCTCTGTATCATAGTTGCATGAATCACAGGTGGTGGAGTTCTCGTTGATATCTTCACCATCACAAGATTATTTCTTCTCCGTCTTACGTGTTGGTCTTGTGCAATCTATGTACTTGTTATATCGACAGGATGGTCGCACTTGGAACGGTGCTCTTGCTGTCAGCCGTGTGGTACCAGCCAAAAGCAAGACCGTAAGTAACTGCCAATGCTGCATTGTTCCTGTAGTCCTCAAGTGCACCTCTCATTGGTAGGACTAGTTCGCCTCTTCTTCCACCCAGTGTGATGGACCGTATTTTACCGGTTGTAAGTCGACCCCGGTTACAGGTCGACCCCCATATCCGGAGGTATCAATTCTGCGTTTTAAAGTTTTCACCCAAAGAAGCACCACTAACCACTCCCTGCTACTAACACAACAACAAAATAATCATGTAAACATTCCTTGTTGGAGGGTATAACGTCCCAATCCTTGAAAAAAGGCCAATGAACTGGCAAAAATGTGTACACATGGTGCACTCGTGCATGCAGTGCAGGTCATTTTTTGTAAGATACTGATAGTTCCCGGTTATGAGTCGAATCCCGGTTGTAAGTCGACCCCCACCCTTTCTCCTTCTATTTTTAGTCGTAAAAGGTCGACTTACAACCGGAAAAATACGGTATGTGTGCGCGTGTGTGTGTGTGTGTGTGCGCGCGCGCGTTTTGACTCTTTTACTGTTCCCCCTGTGGCTGTACCGTGTGCACACGAGGTAACCATTGTTGCTGTGTTCTGTTGTTTTTCTTTACATGTAGACGTTCACATTCTTCTTGGCCTGGTATTTCCCCTACCGGTAAGCGGCTGGTGAACAACAGTGTAACTGTGATCTATTTTCCATGGGCCAAATGTGTGGCACACTGCTGCCTTGGCTTCGTATTACATCATGCAGCTGCAGCCCACGCACTGCGGAAGCCCAAGCACTGCTGATACAGAAATGGCCGTAACAGAATGCGAAAGGGTGGGTGTCCCCGCCTGTGCAGCCTACCCCAAGCGGTGGACGGGTTGATCTGATGGTATCCAGAGCTAGTTGTTTCCTTTGAATAACCGGTCGTGTGGATGTCATCACCTATTGACCCCTGAGAAATCCCCACTAGTTTTCTTCACATCATCCACGGACCTTGTATACTACTAGATCGTATGGGTGGCTTGAAAAGGTTCACGAAAAAAGCAGTTGTTGTCCTTCGTGATCAAGGCGGCTTGGACATCAATATCTTCACTTCTCTGGATTTGATCAAAGACAGGCTGCTCTTTCTGTTGTATTTTATTTATTTTTACTTCCGGTGTTTTTTTTGTTTTCTGAGTGTACTAGTGTACACATTTTCTCATAGTGCTGGTGGTCTTTCCCGTGATTCTCTCCAGCTTTACAAACTGGAGCCAGCCTCATTATGCTTACACCAATCCACCACTGCTTCTCGGCAACATGTATGGGAATCTGTTCAAGGACATCCATGACGTAAGTGCCCTTTCCTTCTTTTGTATGCATCTGCTTGAAGTAGTACTGCACAAAGTGAATGCTTACGTCTATAATCGGGAGACATTCCAAAGGTTGAGATGAAGACGTAGGACTCGACTTTAACCCTTTACCGGCAGCACCATACTTGAATGCGTCAACGTTGACGCATTCGACATGCATACAAAACCATGCCTGGCATGACGGGAAGCATTAGCCCGCGGGGATTTCCCGTGGCCCTCATACAGCCAAGGTATGATCCTATCGGTAGTTGAAGCGATCCACGAGTGTCCCATTTGATTTCATTGAGAACTGCGCGATGTTGTTTCCATTCGAATTACACTGAGTAAGGAGACCACCTGTATACGGTGACTACATTTTGAAGGTCCCTTGAGCGGCTGGCTTCGACAGCACCGAGGTATCACCGTACGTGCATTGTGGGCTACTGTATCCAGACTGCCATTTTGTGCCATGGTGTTGGGAAGTTCGCGTCATGTTTTTTTTAAAATGTTCCTCTAAATATGCGCAGGTATTGTTGTACACACATACCAACTTGACCAGGCTAACTGAGCAAACGATGGCATTCCGCGATGCCATGTTTGATAGCACGCTGCCGTGGCAACTCATTGACAGTGCAGCTGGTCGTGTCTCGGTGCCAAGGTGAGACAGCCAAACCGTGTACATACTCATATTGTCTTGTGTGTGTGTGTGTGTGTGTGTGTGTGTGTGTGTGTGTGTGTGTGTGTGTGTTTGTGTGTTTGTGTGTGTGTGTGTGTGTCCCATATGGTGCAGTGGTATGTGCAGCGATTTCCAATCGATAGGTTGCGCGTTCGATTCCCGACGATTATGGTCACACACGTCTTTCTTCTCTTTCTCAGACTCTTCCTGACTTTTCTTTCATTCTCCTGGGTGGTTACCAACAGCCAGTGTATGCCGGAGTATGTGGTGTGGTGTGTGTGTAGAAAAAGAAAAAAAGAAAAAAAAAAGAAAAAAAATGGAAAAATGAAAAATAGGGATTCACTGGCCAGAAAAAGTCACTTCAAAACAGCTGTGTGGTGGATACCAGGCTAAAAATAGTGGCGGTCAATTCATCAGCCTTGCAAGCTGTTGAATGGTGTAATCCCAGCACAAGTTGCTATGTCTAAAACATAGCTGTTCGCTATCATCGCTCCCGCGATGGGCATGTCTGAGGTGTGTGTATGCCAGTTAGGCCAGTAAGACCAGGATATGCCAAACCAAACTTGGCGCTTGTCTGCTAATCTTACCGCCAATGAGCTGGTGCTGCTGCTGGTATTACATAGTAAGATACACGATCACAGCTTCTGCAACCAATCGAATCACTGCTGAGTCTGACTATACCCTTTGAATCAGTTCTTTTCTCTTGCTGTTTGACTTGTGTTGTACTTGTGTACTTGTGGCAGGTCGCCTACTTGCATGTACCTTGCTGATGGTCGCTTATATGCCTTTGAGGGTAAGTCATCTGGATGCTTTGGCTTTTTCGTGAGCGGCATGCGAATTACGGTATACCGTATTATCTCTGTTACAAGCCCAGTCTCTTGTAGAAGCCTAGTCTCTATTATAAGCGCAGTCCAAGGGGGGCTTCGAAGATATACAAGCCCAGTCTCCAATCTAAGCGCAGCGCATATGATGAATTAAACTGTGAATGGTACCATTCGGCTGTTGAATAATACAACAAACTCTCCTCCACCATGCGCTCTAAAGCTGACCATAGCTACTCTCGGTAGCCATTACTCACACCAATAATTATTAATTTCAAACGACGAAGGGGTCACGGGTAAACGATTCCTTCTGACAGCTGTTTCGCTTGAGAATATTCTTGGAACTTCTCAGTGTTACACCTTAGGGCGCGCTCACACTGCGACCATGAGCACGCGTCCATGCGTCAGCAAAACGCAGAAACGTGGGAGTCGTGCTCACACTAGGCCTCGTACACGCGTAGACGTGAAGTTGTCACACAAACTTTACGAATTGCAGTTCGTATCCAAAAGAGTTCGTGCGTTTCCTAATAAAGTCGTGGCCCGTTTTGGATGTAATTTTTTGCATGTTGGAGGAATTGCATCGTGGCTCGTATTCTTGAAGTCGACGAAAATAATTCATACAATCAGGTAGGTTTGGACTCTTGAGGGACTGCCGCTGACATCCAAGCGCTTTCGCTTTCCTGACCTCGTGGTCAGGGCAAGTGCCAGTGCAGTGGAAATTCCAGTAGTGGTTTCTTTCGTCTGTTGCCGAGATGAGAACTGTAGTTTCCGATGATATGTAACTGAAATGTCTTGAGGTATGGCATTCCATCACCGCAGAAAAGTAGAGAAAGATGACTTACCAAACCGAAAAGCCAGACCAAGCTGCCATCGTATTGAACGAGTACACTGTAGAAATTGGTCACTGACCCGATCACAACGAAGCAACTACAAAAACAAAAACAAAATCAACATCGTCCAAAAAGGGCAAAGAATGCATATATGGCGGTGCGTGCGTGCAGGACCACAACTACAAAATTTTTAAAATGTGCAAATGTCGAGGTGACATCGACAACCGCCGATTTTCATGAATCAACACACCGGAATTTGAGAAATTGAACATACTTCAGGCCAGGTTGTACACAAATACGCTTCACGTCTACGATCATGTTGCCGCCAAGTCGTGGCACCCCCCTCCGGAGGTCGCGGTCACGATTTGAAACGTGGCCGCGACGTTTTGGTCAAGTTCATGCCGTTGCCATGCAACTTGGCCGCATGGCCGCATGGACGCTGGTTTTGGTCGCAGTGTGAGCGCGCCCTTACCTAGTTTCTTGCGCCCATAATATACCGTATAAATATTAGCTATGTCAATTACAATATCCAGTATCACCTTCTCTGACGAGCCTTTGATAGACGAAACATCTGTCAGAAGGGACTTTTTTACCAGTGGCCCCTTCGTTTCTGCATATAAGTCCCCTCGTGCTTCTTGGCACCTTCATTCGCTTCCTTGTTATTGAGCACCTCTGCTCGTTTGGTCGCTGCGAATTAACCCTTAGCGGTGCATCAGTCATTAACGACTGATATTGTGTACGTACCGTAAAACTGTTGTAACTCCATCGATTTTAGTCCTGTTGCAAATATCGAAATATGTAGATCAAAGAGGAAGCTCCAAGCTTTCCAATGGTGTAATCGCTTTTGCGATAGGAGAAACGATGATAAAGATATGGCGCTCGAAAGTTGGATCGCGGCACTAAATTGTTCAAACGTCTCAAAATCATTTTTTCGCCTCGTGCTTCGGGGATTTCCCGTGGATCACGTGGTGTGCAGCCAGCTGATGACGTGTGGGTGTAATGACGTCGAAACTACTGATTGAGATGCAAAAAAATCCAGAGCTGTGCAAGAAACGACAGCGAAATGGCATTGGGATGAAATTTAGAAGTATTTCTTTCAACACGAGGCCCGACCTATGGCGATTCCCTGCGCTCTGGAGCAGGCTTTGTGGCACCCACGGAGTTGAGCGTGGCCTCATTCTCTTGGCAGCGGAAAGAGCGTTTCAAAGAGCCCTAGACTGTCAAAATCAAGCAAACAGAACGTAAGTTATGGTGGAAATGGTGGAGTGAACTGCAATTGCGCATTTTCACGCGTTCAGTGGCACCTCAAAGGGTTAAACATGTACCAGCTGGATGAAAAATGATAAGCCCGGGGTCCGGACTGATTGGAAAATATAAGCCCGGGGCTTATCATGGAGATAATACGGTATGAAATATTCTTTGTCTACAGTGCTAGAGCATGCTTCTTTCCTCGAAAACTGATGGCTGTTTCCTCGTGTCTATATGTGTCCCCCTTTCAATCTCATGCAGGATGCAGTACAGAAGCTGGTTGCTGTCCTCTGAACTGCACTCACGTCTGGAACTACGAACAAACACTCTGCCAGTACGTAGCATAGTTGATACTTATAAAGTAGGAGATCTGATATGATCTACCCACATGGTCATCGTCAAGTTTGGTGTTGAAAGATCACCTTGTCCAGCTATGCACTGGCTTAGAGCTGACGTAATCGTGCCTTTCCAATTTCCAAAGACTGGTCTTTGTGTCGATACACTTGCAGGCACTAGGGCAGGAAATCTGGCTTTGATGTATTTACTATGAAATTATGGTGAAATAGGAGAAGGACAAAATGTTACGAGTTATGACTAACTGTCCACCAACGTAACCAGATCTTATACAGTCAGCGAACATTTTGTCCTTCTCCTATTTCACCATAATTTAATTGGCTCACCATCCGAGTTTACTATCCGAGTTTACTATGAAATCTGCATCAACAGTGATTGCCTTTTTGAATATTTGTTTTGAAGCTGGTATACGTCCATGTTTAAAGTCAGGTGGCTCTTAGTCCGCAATGAAAGAGCAGTCCGACCACAACAGCAATACAGCACTCAAGACAATGGTTTCTTTTCTGTTGTGCAGGTTGTGGCCAGAGGTTGAAGTCACCATGCGTGATGTAGACCTGGTTGCAGGTCAACAGGTTTCTCCCGCTGATCGCTTGTTGTCGTGAGTACATATACTGATGCACTCGCTTATGGTTCCCTTTGTGTAGGGAGTTCAGTTCCGGTCACAGAAAAGCGAAAAGTGCAGTCACAGCTCGCCTGTACAAAGTGAATGGGCGCCTCGTGACTGCAGTTCGAGATGCAGTTCGAGGCCCAAGTATCTTCTCCCGCGGCCTTTTCGGCCTTCTCGATGCTATTTTTAGGTAGCTGAGGTCATTACCTTTCCAATGGTGCCACACATGCCATGCTTCCAAAAATAATGCCTCCGCGCTTGGCGCGGATGCACTTCGAAGTACTAATTTCGACCAGATCCGTACTCGGCCCCACAAAGAACACCCGATTTTCGTGTTCAGCGGCCTCGAATTAGCCTAAACCAAGAGGATTCTAGAACATTGAGGCTCGCGCTTTATCACGGTAGAAGGAAGATGATCACAGAAACCAGCCCACGGCGATTTCCTGGAGGTAGACGAAAAAAATCGAGTGAACTGCGCGCACGCTGTAGAAGCAGTGACGGGGAAAACGTGTGACTTGTGCAAGTAGGCGCGCACGGCATGCGTGCACACTGCATGCATGCACACATCCTGTATCACCATGTATGTACCAGATAGTGCAGTGCTGGACGGAAACCACACGGCTCACATACATACTTGCATTTACTTCTGTGACTACTTTCTCCCCCGTTTTCCGATCTTCAATCGACTATAACTCTAGATTGCCTTGGAATTTTGGGTTCAAATTTTCACAGGTTGTTTCTCCAACCTTCCCGGTTTAGAAAAACTAGCGTTTTATGCGAAACTCGCGAATTTGGTTTTTCAATTGAAGTCCCTACTTTGTGTAGGTGCAAAAAGGTTTGCATTATAGTATCATAAGTTTGCAGTGGAATGTAGATTCTGTTTTGAATTGGTTTGCTTAGCTTTCTGCACTGCCTGGCGTTTTTAATTTTGTCTTGAACGTATTCTTTCTGTATATAAAGACCTTTTGGAAGTTGCAGAGCATATTACTCTCTTTCTGCAACGTTCTCTCTCTCCCTCTCTCTTCTTGGTTTTTTTAGGCGCTGTGATGTGCCACTGATGATGCGCCCACAGTGGATGTTCTGGCCTAATTACGACGGTGGCTTGGAAAGTACTGCCTTGTGCGTTGATGGAGAGATGGGTGGCGTACTGAAGCTCTATCGCGAGGTATGGTTCAGTGTGTGGTGCTCCTTACTTATAACAATATTATCTAGGCTGCTTTGTTGGTTGTAGTTCGTCTATATACTGGTATTACCAAGCTGCTTGCCTCTTTTGCTTGCTTGCTTTTTGAATGTTCAGGTCCGCTTTGGCGCACCGCGAAAATTCTTTGATGCTGCCTGGCCCAATGTCAAGCGCATTATGCACAGGTGGATGACCCATAACGACCAGGGAGACGGTGAGTGTGTATTTGACAACAAAGATGCAGTCTCGGCACTAGTCACCCACACCACGCACGGCCCTGGAACCAAGCATTCTGGATTCAGGACTTGCAACGGACCGAGGCGATTGTGCGTGTGTGTGTGGTGGGGGGCAGGGGTCCTGTTCTTCATTTCACATAACTATAAGGCCTTTGATGTTCTTCCCTGCTATTGATCACTGGAGGGTACTTTTCATTTTCACGTTGCGATTCTAGGCAACCAATGTACTGACACTTTAATTTAATTTAGGATGCTATGGACTTGGATTGCGATAATACATTAGGCAGTTCATTTTGTACAGATTTCTAAGTGTGTGTGTGTGAGAGTGAGTGTGTGTGTGAGTGTGTGTGTCAATGAGTAGGCGAGTGAATGTGGTGTAGTGTATGTGGGTCAAGCCCATGTGAGACTGTGCATGCCCGTGTGTGCATGTGTGCCGGCATGATTGCCACACGAGTTTTTAATTCCTTGGGTTTCTAGGGCCATTCGAATGTCCTTCTGCAAGCGACTGTAGCCCAGTGATGAAAGATGTGTTTGTTGTGAACTTGTAGCACTTCTTTTTCTATTGCTTTTCTTATCTTGTGTGCGTGGTTCTATAGGCACCATGAAGATTGCACAGCCGAACACTTATGATACTTCAATGTTCGGTGTCAACACGTTCATCGGAGCTCTCTACTTGTGCGGCCTTCGGTTAGTGACCATGTGGTTACCGGAGTCTTGTAGTACAGCTTGCATTCGGCTATATTCACAAGCCGTTCTCTTCTCATGCATCTTCAGGTCATTAACTAGAGACTTGGTTAGACTTTTGTTTGTCGTTGGTGTGATTTTCTCGCCTGTAGCGCTTCTGAGGAGATGGCTAAGATGCAAGGAGAGACCGTGAGTGTTCCATGATTTCTCTTCTTCTGATAGTATTGGCCGCTTGGCACAATGGTCTCATTTCTATGGCGATTGCAAGTTGTATGGCGTGGGCTGTGGCTATGTACTGAAAATAGAGCACTCTGACTAGATTTCAATGTTGGATTCTGCCTGCCTGTTCTCAGTTCTTTTTCTGAATACCTGTCGTTTGGGTTTGCAGGAGTTGGCTACGGAGTATCACGAGCGATATGTGATGGGCCGTGCCTCGTTGGACCGCAAGTGCTATGTCAACGGCCAGTGGTACACGCAAGAAGTTGACCCAGAGAACGCCAAAGAGGTCGTGTCTGACTGTGAGTTGCTTCTGTAGTTGTCTCATGTGCATGGATGTTGTATGTACAATCATGTTCTGCAGACTATAGTCCAGCTGTGGCCAAAGAAATCTGACCTGCAGCTCCAAGTCGCCAGCGGCTCGTTCGGCCCTTAAATGGGTTTTGGACCGTGCATGATATAATAGAAGTGGAAATGTGGCGCTGCTTTTGACTCGCGCGTTGGATATCTTTGTCCACTTCTAGCTACTACATTTGTTTTCCTGGCTACCACTCACTCCCTTGCTATAAGCAGAAGAGAGCACTACATGTACATACTATGGCCAGTGCAGGTACATTAATTTTTCTTAGCAAAAGCAGAGATTCGTGGCGAAGAGCGCCAATCACGGGGATGACCTAATGTTTTGTAAAGCACGGTGGAACATGCGCCGCTATAACTCCTGGATTTCCTGCTTGGAGACATAACTTTACCCGCCAGAACAATGTCTATACGCGTTGCCTGTGTGTGTGTATTCTATACAGCAACATTTGTCGACTGCCTCCTCGGTCAATGGTGGGGCTACCTTCTGCAGCTTGGTGATATCCTGCCAAGGGATCACTGCCAGAGCACCGTTGTCAACATTTTCGCTCACAACCACATCGACTCCTTTATTCCAGGTATGTTATTTTAACCTTTTGAGCACGACGCTACCTGAATGCCGCCCCACGTCAACACCTGCAAAAATCGCGTTTTTCCTATGAAAGTAGTAGCTGTTCAAGGATCGATAACTTTACCTTCCTTTGGACGAATTCCATGATCTTGAGCTTCCTGCAAAGGTCTTGAGGCGAGGAACAAAATAGTTCCAAGCTCAGCTCGGAGCGACACCAAAAGCCCATGCTACAGTCTGGCAAACTTCACGCACGCGCTCGACAGACTTGAGCACGGCCAGGAGATCAAATCCTCAGCTGCCATTTCACTCTCCTTGCTCGTATCGAGCTCAAATTTTTTTTGAGGACTCCCCAGATCCGCTGCCATCATTTGAATCTAGTTTCCATGGCAGCAGATAGCGCGAAAATGATCGAAAATGGAGAATACGCGTTCTGCAGAGTTCGCAAAAAAATCGATTTGAATTTGCCGTGTCGAGTCGCATATCTCAACAACCCGGGGTCGTATCGCTTCGGCGATTGTTTCTATCGCAAGCTGAGAGTTTTCTCTTGCAGATACATATTTCGATTGTGAGAATCGGCCAAGAATTGACCGAGTTACGATAGTTTGAACTCACGCGGTTCATGCAAATCGCGTTTGTACGCTATGTACACTCACGACGTAATAATACGTCATGCGTGGGTGCAGTGACACTGTACGTGACGTATTAATACGTCATGCGTGCTCAAAGGGTTAAGTACTATCTGGACTTTTCTTGCACTCATGGTTGCTTTTCGTGAATGGGGGCTGTGAAAAGGTGCTTCTTGGTATCTGTGCACTGGATACTGTTCTATGCAGTTGACTTTGGGCTACTCTGTGTGTGTGTGTGTGTGTGTGTGTAACTATGTTATGAATTCTTGTAGCTGACCAGGCGCCACGCCGCTTCTACGATCAGCGTGATGCCGGACTTGTCATTGCCAGCTGGCCATCCGGTGTGCCACCAGCAAACCGTCTTCTGTACTCCACCGAGGTAACCTCGCAAACACGCTTTAGTGTTTTGCTGAATCACATCAACTGATAGTCTGTTGGTATCGTGTGCGCTCTGCTGGAATTTCTTTTCTTTAATGGTGGAACGCGGAATGTTTTACTACCTCCGACAAGCGAAACTTGGCGCGTTTTTTTTACTTCAAATTACTAGAAATAACTCACACTTTACAATCAAAACTAATGATTGACTCACCAAAATTCAACTTTGTATTGCTCAACAAGGACGTTAGAGACATGTTTCGGCTGAATCACTCTCCTGATTCAGAGATCGCAGTTTCGTCTGGAGAGGAATTGTTCCTGTTTTGAGATGAAAGTGGGACGACAGCGGATTCAGTTGCAGCAAGTACCTCTGTTGTTATCGCTCTGAAAATCTCGATGTCGCTCCTGTGTGCTGTGCTCGAGCCATGGTGTCGAGGGTAGTCGTTTCCGCCACCACTATCCAGGTTGACGTGGTAAGAACTGTGCAACACCTCCACAAGCGCCTGGACTCAAACAACTGTTTTGCCGGGTATTCTCGTCAACTGTCCAAAAATGCCTGCAGCAATTCCTGGCGATTTTCCTTAGCCACCAAAGACTCATTGCTCTGGTGGCTATTGAAAGATGCTAGGATTGTTTGGCATGTGGAGAGAGAGAGAGAGAGAACTCCTTGGTTTTCCATTGCAACGCGAAAGCACGACGATTCTCCTTCGCAGAATGGACGCGAGACTGGCTTGCCTCTGACTTAGTCTGAGCCATGTGCCACTCACCAGCTCTTCGCTTGGCTTCCTGCACCCGATTGCATGGAGCTACAATTAGGTCGTACCTCACAGTCTTGTGATGTTGTGGTGCCAACACAAAAAATCAAAAAAAAACGCACCATGTTTCGCTTGTCGGAGGTAGTAGATCTATAGTCTCGATCTTTCTCTTTGACAGTAAGTTTGTGATGCCTCGTGTTCTGATATTGTGTTGTTGGTACATGTGCTGTAGGTTGTTATTCACTGTTATTGTTGTCTGATTTGTTTGTACAGTGTGCTTGGACTGGTCTATCGCATTACTATGCATCTCTCTGCATCTACCTCGGTGTGCCTGATGTTGCCTTGAAGGGTACGTCTCGCTGCTTACATTGTCAAGAATCTCCCACTTGGGTGGTGTGTGTATTTGAGAGAGAGAGAGAGAGAGACACACACACACACACACACACACACACACACACACACACACACACACACACACACACACACACACACACACACACACACACACACACAGTGAATGTGTGCATGCACAAGCTTACGTTCATGCATGTAGATCCTGAGTATCAAATGTTGTAGCGCTGCCTGTTATGGTACGATCTTGTTTATCTCTGTACAGTTCTTCAGGACTCTCGCAACTCTTACGATGGTACCCGCCGTAGCCCGTGGAATGAGATCGAGTGCGGTGACCACTACTCACGCCCAATGTGTGCCTTCCAGCTCTTTGCTACTGCCTCTGGACTGGTGAGGGACACCTGCCAATTAATATTCCCTCTTGCTTTGTACTGGTTTAACCCTTTCACTGCCAACAACTAAAAAAGATGATCTGTGGATCAGTGCATTATGCGATCACTAAATAATTTGCAGCATGCTCACATTAATTTTGGTCAGATCATTACGAATGAGGGCTAGTGTCTACGAGAGGATAGCTGCTATCAAGAGTACATGGGTAGTGAAATGGTTAGAGCTTTGTAGCACTTCCCTAGTATACATCAGGCCCGCCGGAACCGGTCCGGTCGGTCAGGTTATCACCGGACCAACTTTGTGGCCACCAACACATGCTAACTGCTGCGGAGGGCGTATTTCCCCCGCATATCACGCACAAACTGTATAAGACTATGGCATGACCGGACCAATTGAAAACTGCTTCCGGCGGTCCTGTATAATATACACCCCTGGGTGTACCGTAAGGGCCTGAAGCTATTAGTTCCACTGAAGATGGATGGTGCGCTGTGACTTGTGTGTGCAGTAGCTCTGTTCTCAGCAGCACTGAGCACTTTCTCGAGCTGGGGGACTCTTATTTACGTCTGTGGTTCAATATGTTTGTACTGCAGTTACTGAGGTCTGTGTCTCTGCCTTTATTTGTGTTTGGAACAGACATTTGACGTCATTGAGGGTCCAATTTTGCGTGTTGGTTTCAACCCAAGGCTGTCCTTCGACAAGTTCCAGGGCTTCTACGTTGTTCCCTCCGCATGGGGACAGTACTTGCAGACTGTTAACGCTGACAGAACTTCTGGCACTGCTTCCGTGAGTCTTCGCGCTACAGTGCATTTCAAAACTATAGACGCGTAGGGTTTTTGAAATATTTCAAATTTGGCTTGAACTTTTTGAGAATAGTTTTCGGAATATTGCTCAGGATCGCTCCACAATTACTCTCATATAGTTTCTAAAGGATTGGATAACAGATGCCCAATTTGGAAAAAATTATGCACAAAGTGATCACAGATTTTATGTGGTATAGATGCTGGCATAACGGTTTTTGCCTAGGTACGCGTCTATAGTTTTGAAATGGACTGTAGCTTCCATTACTTTTGCGTGATCTAGGCGGGCAACCTAATTCTCCATGGTGCTTGTATAGTTTTCTGCTACTTTGTATTCACAATGGTAGAGAGCGTGCGAAGCTGGAAAACTGGCCTACAGTACAACATAAGCGTTCTCGTAACGAGAGAGACAGTGTGTGTGTATGTCCCTACCCGCAGGAGATAGTTTTATTGACTAGGCTGCATTTTTTTGTGAATTTTTACCGAACAAGTTTTGATATAGGCTTTGAAGTATTTCACTGCTGTTGGTATGGTTGTTCCTGGGATTTTTCCTTTTTGCGCAGCCTCCCGGGTATGATTACAGTAGGTCTGCGAAGCATGCACATAGCCGCGTTGCTAACTTTTGTGACTCTGTGGTACATGCTCTATGTTCTCTTGTTTCTCCAGGTCAAGGTTACCTATGGTCAGATGGATATCTCTGAGCTCACCCTTCCTTTCTCCACGTCGTCCATTGTGGTTAAACTGAGCAGCTCTCCTGCTCACGTGCGCTACAGTCGTATTGACCAGGTAAGGCTGACCTCCGCTTGCTCTGGCACAGAGTGTACTGTGTTTCCAACCCTGTCTGTGATACTGAGCAAGAATCCCCATCCGTGTCTGTTCTACATTCAAGACATGATACAGGCTCACATGTAGGTTGTTGAATGTCAGCACCACGCCAGTCAGTGCTAAATGTTGCACGCTCCGACTCACCAGTATCTTGGCTATAGTTATTGGTGTTAGACATACCAGGAATAACATGACATGTGAACCTTTGGTCTTGTCTTTTCCATTTCAATCCTTGGCTATCCATCCGAATCTAACATAACATCCCAAACTCTTCTTTCACAGAACTTCATTGCATTTCGTTGATAATACCAACAGTATAGACAATACCATGTGCTTATACATGTACGTGTAGTCGTATCAGCATTGCCTTGACCGATTGCTGATATGTACCTGAATTATCATATGTTCGGGGGGTTTCATGTGTGGCGTCGCAGTCCATCGAATTCTGCTTCCTACTCCCCTGAATTCCGACCAGTGGAAAAACCCTGGCCATGTGACGTTGTGTCATGCACTGTCACGTTTTAATGTTTCTGTGTAACGTGCATGGTGCGTGTTCTTTTTGTCTCCAGACCACCGATGGTATCGTGATCACATTTACAACTCCCGTCAAGGTCCCGGCTGGCAGTTCACTTGAAGTCGTTGCGGGCAGCTCCGCGTACCGCTGGTAAAACGTTTTGTCGCCTTGCTCTGCTCTTTGTAGAGGAATTGTGCAGAACCTTTCTACTGGATAAATGCATGCACAGGTGCATTTCTGCCCTTAAGTTATGTCCACATTTATGTTCTTCCCGACTATAGTAATTAGGTTATTTTACCAAGTAGCAAAGGATGGCCTTGCTTGCGACACTTCCGAGTTCTCATAATGTGTATATTCGTTGGCTTCTTCAGAGTTCTTCTTACACTGCGAGCCCCTCCTCAGGCACGATCCATCTTCAAGAGATGTGCTCTTGTAGTTTAATTTTCCTCCCATCCGCCGGGCTCTCTAGCCCCTTGATTTGTACATAGCGTTTTGGTATGTATGCTTGCATTTGCACCAATGCTGGTGCGGATCTTCACCTTCCTGGGCAGATCGGCTTTGGCGTCCTTACCTCCCCAGCTATTTACTACTAGCATACTGGCTCTTCTTCGCCTAGTACTATCGCTTCTCTTTTGGTGTGCTGAAAGTCGCTCAACCAAGCGGCTACGTTAGTACTTATTTTCTTTTCTCTTTTTTTAATACATTATAGTTGCTACTAGTATTTCTCTCTCTTTCTATAATTCTTTCTAGCTATTAGTCTAAAATAAAAGTTGAACCTGACCAAGCGCGTTGCAAAATAACAAGAGTGCTCTATAACCCAGAGTGTGCTAATCCGGTAGAATGAGCCCACAGCACAACGTTTACCAGAGTGTGCTAATCCGGTAGAATGAGCCCACAGCACAACGTTTTGTTTACGTCCTGGCAGTGGTTTGCCTTTGCTGCACCTCGCACCGGCCGGCATCGTGGTTTTATCGTACCAATCACCTTTCTGATCGCCGGTGATTTGACCCGGAACATACAGTACAACGAGTTGACCCTATGATTGGCACTAGTCAGTACTGTAAAAGCAGAAATTTTCGGTGGTGTTGTATTTTCGGTAACTTCGGTGCCGAAAATTTTACCGATAATAAAACGCACCGAAAATTTCGGTACAACCGACACCAAGAGTACATAACCCCCCAGAGTGTGCAACGCCGGATCCAGCTCTGCATAGGGTCTTGGTCGAGCGGAATCGGATCTTTGCGTCATAATACCGTACACATCTGAGGGGAACCCGGGGAGTCGCGGGTACTCTTGGATCAAAAACAATGGTGCCCTGCCTCGAGACCGGCCTTGCGCTGGTGTGAAGTGTACGCATGACATCAGAAGATCCGATTCCGCTCGACCAAGACCCTACACAGAGCTGGATCGGCGTTGCACACTCTGGGGGGTTATGTACTCTTGCCGACACTGTATACATGTACCGTAAAATCCCGCCAGAGCGCCTCTCCTATCCGCCCCTCCCTGACTTCTTGTCAGGGACGTGATTGATTGTATCCTCGTATGACTCTGTCGCAGTCTGTGATGCCGTACTGCACTGCAGACGCGTGCTCACAAACCCTGCGTTTTGTCGGGTCTGTACGACTCCTGGTTCTTGACCTTTGGTCGGTGTACGAGATGCACGAACAGTTTTCGTAGGGTGAGTACTTTTTCATGTAGCACTGAATGCGGCAAGTAGGACTCGCCCCTTCCCACCTGAAGCGTCGAGGAGGTAGGGGCGCTCTGGCGAGATTTTACGGTAGTACTAGTACACTTGCCTGGAGAACGGATTTTACCGAAAATTTCCCTTAACCGAACCGCCGATTTTGGAAAATACCGAAAATATTACACCACCGAAAATTTCTGCTTTTACAGTATGTCCATAATAACCAGATCAGCGACAGACACAAACTTTGCCATGCGAATGGGTGGGTGGGTTGAGGAGTAGGGGTGCACGGATTATGCACGCGCACGCATCCGATATTATTTAGAAAAGCGATCCTGTCAGCTTTTCTATTATTGTGTTCTAATGGCAAGAAAAACGATATTATCATTTATGCATTTGGGCATTTCCCGGGGAGATTCGAAAGTACAGTATTCTCCAAAACATCGAAAAAATTCTCCAGAATTCCCCGAATCCATACAACAAACCAGCAAGAATCTTGCCTTGCGCATGCGCTTTAGTATGCAAAATGGACGGTCAGGCACGTGGTGCATGCAAACGCAGTCAAATCATGTTGTCCTAGCGAGCACGAGCGAGTACTGTTCAATATCCACATGTACATGTATGTGTGTCCATGGAATGGCATGGATGCGTGCTCGTTCTCTGGCAGGTCAAAATTGACATTCCGGGAATAATTCGTGCACCCCTGGCCCTAGCTATTTTCGTTATGAAAAATATTGATACAGTAGCTGAAACATCATGTCAATCCATTCTACCGTAATACTAGCTAGCTGTCAAGTCATTAATATTTTAAAAATATTTTTCGTTCAGGGGGAGGGTCATAACTAAACTTTTTGGTTTCGAGAAAATTATCGATAATTGCTGGATGGTCCCTTTTTTTTAAATAGTGCATGAATGTACCAGAATTGTACTGACCCTGTATCGTGTATAGCTGTTAGGCTTACAAAAGTACAACGCTGAGAATACAGTCATGCATGTACGTCGGGTCCAATGATAAAATCATTATTACAGTGTAGATCTGCCCAGAGTGATGGCTAGTATTCAGTATGTAATGCCTAGTGCCAGTAGTCATGGTAGTGCACTAGTGCCTAGTGGTGTTAGTGATGTTGATATTACCCGGTAGATGATGTGTAAATCAGGGGTCCCGGATCCTGCTGAGTGGATCATGGGGATTCATGGTAGACAGCTACCTGTCATGTACTTGATCCTGGTGTAAATCATGTGATGGTCAGTATGACTTTGATTTTATCTCGGCACTACCAGTACCGCCACGTACCACGCGACGGCAGCCCCTGCACCGACCGTTATCGATCTAGCACAGCCAGGCACGAAATCATCGTCAGATCTCGTTACTACTACATGTGTAGTGTTGAAAATATTGAGACCGCTAGCGCTATGCATGATATATCAATTATTATGATCTGATCGAGGTTGAGAACTCCGTCTTTTCATTTTAGTTTTACTGTCTGAAGATTGAACGACCAGGCAGGAGTATGCGAGTCGACAGGGCAGATCATACTCGACAGCGACACGTGGGGACTGTACAGTCAAACATGTACATCGGTAGCAGAAGAACACACTTTGTGGCTTTCCTAGCAAACGTCACTCGTCAGCATCGCAGTCGTGTCATTTAGACGCTGTCCACTTGCTTGCACATCAGCACAGCGGTCCATTCAGAAGAACGCTTTCCCACGGGCCATCGGGCCATAGTGATATCAGTCATAGTCCGGGAGGAGCACCGGTAGTTTTCGATCGGGGAGCAATGGCTGCTGCCGTGGGTAAAGAGATGGCCAGGACTGTCCAAGTTCGTGTTGCTGGAAGCACGCTATTGATAAACCCAGCAGAAAGGTAAGGATGTTTCAACCATCTACATGACATTGCATGTGATGGATAGTAGAAATGGCGTTCTGCCAAGTGTATTATACATGTGTATGTGCAAGTACAAGTACGGCCTAGAAAGACCTTTTGAGAACGATAGGGCAAGGGCGAGTTGCACCAACACTCAACATTCATGTGTAAACTAAAAGAAAAAGAAAGAAAGAAAAAGATGCGTGAGCTTGCATGAGAGTATACTGCTATACACTTCTAACATACATCAGGGAGTCACATAGTCACATAGTCATAGCATCTACCGTATTTTTTTTTGAGTATAGTGCGCACCTTTGTATAACGCGCACCCCCAATCTTCATTGAGGGTGCGCACTTCAATCTTCATTGAAGTACATGCATTTCATATTCGGAGCATAGTGCGCACCTGCGATTTAGGGCCTAAAATAGCACGTCTAAAGTGCGCACTATACTCCGAAAAATACAGTAACTTTCTAGGGAGAGGACATAATGGTATACCATAGCCTGTCCACCCCGAAACGATGCGCACGCGTTTCGGCCCTATTTTCGAAGTAATTGTAATGCACTAACAAGAAAAGGCACTTGTTTGCAGTGGAGAAATTTCTCTGCACCTGTTTGGAATGGCACTTTCATGTTCTAGCATTTGGCTAATATGCATGTATGAGAATATTTGTGTCTTCGTTTTGCGTGATTGTGTTTTTTGTGGGTGTGTGTGTTCTTGGTGTGTTAACATACTCACAGGTGGTCGAAAACAATTCAGTATTTACGAACGGGATTGAACCAAGACGATGCCGAGTTTGTCTACAGTACCACAGACTCACAGTACACCATGGTCAGTACTTTGCTTCTGAAGGTGGTGGTAGCTTTTTGAGCAGCTCCTCTGTCTCCTGTTGATCATGAAAGTGAAGGAGTGCTCAATGTACTGAAACTGGCAGGATTGTTTGTATAGCTTCAAACTGCCAACCTTCTTCTTCAAGAAAGAGGTTTAGGTGTATTGCAACCAGTCGGATCCAGTGCACAAAAAGCTAGCACGCTCGAAAATTTTCATTGAGATCCATTGGGCCAATAAGAAGTGCACCTGGGTCATTGCATCAATGCAACTCTCAAAACATCCTCGTTAGATCGTAACACATTCATACGTTTAAAGCAGCTATTTTCCACTGCCCCTTAAAAGAAAAAATGTGTGTAGAAAACTATTGACCGATATCGTCTATTTATCACCAGATAGAGCTGAGACTACAGCCGAATGTCTGGGGAATTTCCATAGTCCTGTCTTGATGCCTTTACGACTCTGCTGGTTTCAGATCACTTCGGATAGTGTGTGGAAGCGTGCTTTGGAAACCACCATGCAGACAGGAGAAACGCAATTTCTGAACTTGATGCTGGCCGCAGACATCAGCAGAGAAGAGCAGGTCAGCTATATGCCATTACTGACCAAGTTTGTATTTCAGATATTGCGTAACCAGTACGTTCTAAGTCTCCCATCCTCTTTTGTTTATTATTCTTAGGGGTCAAACGGGTGTACCTTTAACTAACGAACGGGTAATTTTCTTAACGGGCGGGTTAACGGGTACCCTTTAGTAGCCATGTTTAAGTTTTTGCGCAATTTTCACATAAATCAAGATTTTAATTAATCTGTTCTCGGGTTGCATTTTGATATCACATTGTGATTCGCAAATCGATTGGTGTCTGATAGTCGCAGGAGTGGATCTACTACAGTCAGTTTCAAAAAGATTAGCAATCCTGGCGATCGCCCGCGGAGTTTGCCGTCTTACCGTATGCGCGCTCGAGAGCTGGCTGGAAAAACTCACTGTGAACTCGAAGAAATAATCCGCGCGAAAGCATGAAAAATGACAACTCACTCACGTCAGTACATGTACGTCTGGTTTACAACAAACGAGTTCTTCCTCGTATCGATATGGAGTCAGAGAGGACATGTCGAACGTGTGGTAAATGTTGACGAGCGGGATGGGTCCCAATTCGTTTCGTGCCCAATTTCTTTGAGCTGCGATGCAATTTACTCTCACGATGTGACGAAAACGATATCGACACAGACTCATTCCCAACGCCATGACTTGGCAAAGCTATCCGTGTGACTTCGACGACATTTTGAGAAAAGCAGACGCCTGTGAAAGCTGATAGAAGACGGCGTTGACTCCTAACTTCAAATAAATTGGCGATCTTGAAATACTAAAATAATTCTCAAAGAGAAATCGATCGATCGATGTGCCGTTGTATTCAACAACACGTAGCTACAGCGCAATGACTTCCGTGTTCACTCACACCGTTTCAGTGTTGTGGGTGTGTTCACATGGCGTGAACCAGTCAAGTGTCCGACAGTAAGTATTAGTTCGGCAGGAAACGCGAGCTCCAACAACAAGTCGTTTGGCGCAGCCACCTTCTTCTTTGGCTTGTACTTTTTGTACCAGCGTGATCACCAAAACAATGCAAAAAAAGTTTGACTTGAAGATAGTTTGGGATTTGAACTCACAACTTCATGGTCAGCAGACAGCATTCATAACCACAAGGCCAAAAAGGAAAGGATAAATCGTGGGTTTTGATAAAAAATCGATACTGACATCCAGGGCAAATCGTAAACCAAGGGAAAAGGCCGGAAACCTGGCCGAAATTCTAACTCCTTAACGGCTGGTCCAATTGTTCCGAAACCTCCACAGAACAATTTGCCATGTCCTAACAAGCCATTCTATGTACTTTGTTGTCCAAATTTCCCTTATCTTCATACTTTTTAAGACCAAAACCTGATTGCTAATCTTTTTGAAATGGACTATAGGTGCGAAAATGCAACAACAATGCAGACATCCAGCGTGGAGTTGTAAATAATTGACTCTCGCCTGGCATACACGATCCCAGGAGTGTTGCCTCGTACTGACTGGTTCATCAAAATCCAAACGGGTACCCTTCTACTAACGGTACCTGAGATTACCGGTCGGGTACCCGGGTACCCGGTACACCCCTTTGACCCCTAGTTATTCTGTCTGGACTAGTTGGCTCTCATTCTCCATCTCAGCTGAAATATTGGCAATCATGTGACGTGCCGGGATATGCTATTTTCAAAATTGAATAGAAACAAATAAATAAATAGTACCCTCCATTCCTTCAATATGTACCTGTTTAATCATGCTAGATGAACATGCACACTTCTCTTCTTTGCTCCTGACTTCCATAGGCATCATCAGCGGTTGGTGATGGCTCAGCTGCATCTCCAGTAAGTGGCTGTGTTAGCAATTCTGCTGCCGGCTGCTGTGCGGCGGCTGATGACTTCAAGCAATGCTGTCATCCCATCGCCGGGGAATTCAGCAAGCCGAACGACGCACGTGACCTGCCGGGTAGTGATGACTGGAGTGCACTGGAAACGCCTGTGCTGACCGGCGACGAGTGCTACAAGTGTGAGAAAATGTTCAGTACGGAGAGTCCGGTCGGCGATTCTGTGCCGCCAAAGGTGTAAGTTTGTGTGGCCAAGCGTGGATGATATTGTTCACAGTGTGTATTGCATGCAACACCTCGAACTCTGCTTTTAGTTGTGCATGCCTTGCGGCAATTGGATAGCCTGCTCATCATACTAGTAATCCATTGCCATAGATTGACTATGGATGAATGAGTGCCTGTTTGTCTGTTTGTCTTGCCATCCCTATGGTCCAGTGTCAACCCAACCCTTCCACAGTTCAAGTACTCTGGTGAAGCCCTCAGGGCATGTCAACTGCCACTGGGTCCAGTTGGTAGGTGGCAAACTATTGTGGCAACGTCACTCTTCAACCTAAAATATATACTTTTTAACGCAGCCCGAGGCTAGGCCATCTAGTAAGGAACGTGCATTTGTTCATCCTATTCATGGACGAGTGCTTGTATGTAGCATTCTGTTGTGCAAGGTCAGCTCCAGGGATTGGATTTTGCCTGGTATGCACCACCGTACATGGCCATGTGTATTAGCGCAAAATAGAGGTAGCGACTCTGGAGAGCACCTACGTAGAGAGCAGTGCACAAATCCTACGTGTGGTAGCACTGGTACCGTAGATGTTAGACCATTCGCAGAGTTCACCATTTGTTACACAAATGGACACTTCAGACTAGGGCTGAAACGATATGCGAAAACTGCTCAAGGATAACACTTATAGCTTAACAATCGATATAACGATATTTCAAGCCGGCAGTTGGCTGCGTGAGGTGAGTATTGTAATGGTATAGCCACCAAAATGAATTAATTATTAATAGTGCAGACATAACAGCACTGAGGCTCCTCGCCAAACCTGCGTAAACTACAGACCATTGGATGGTTTTGCTGGATGTGAGTGTTGAGAGCCAAGGAGGATGCATCCCATGTGCTGAAAGTACTTTTAAAAATGCCACCTTTGCAGAGCTCAGGACAGTGGGATTGTTGTCACTCCAAGTTACGTTAGTGCAGTCATCACACAGCATCATCAGGCAATAGCTTAGCCTAGCTCCCAGCCTCAACCAAAGCTACGTAGGTGGCTGGCATAAGACACCACAGATCGATTCCGTTAGCGACCTCAATAGCGAAGTGCTAGAACTCACACAGCTCTTTACACACAGAATGAGATTCTCCTTCCACTCAGGTTAAAGCAATCTCAGCGCTAAATACTACAAAGCCTCGGCACTCAGTGCATAGTATCATATTCAGCCACGCATGCACTTGCTTGCACAATCAGTGCCAGCCTTAGCTGCCTGTAATTGCTGGTGCCAAAACCTGCACTCTTCCTGCCATCGACACCTACAGTTCCTTTAACATTTTACCAGTACAAAATCACAACTATCCCTTGTTTTCTGATTGCATTGTGTGTATGGAAATCAGAGTAACAACAGCCTTCTGTTTCTTGACTTTCTGCGTTCGGATGATGAATATAATTAGCCATTACCAAATCATTGTTCAGCCCTTTTGACACGTTTCACGGCTCTATCTTGGTCAAGTGAGTGGAGGTCTTGTTTAGCATTTGGCCTATTGGCTCCATTTTCTGCTTCAGGCGGTGGAGTGATTGCTGTGGCTGGAGATGGAGGATTGCGGCAGTGGCAAATGGTAAACGAGGTTAATCACGTCGGCCACGTTCCAGACTCATTCTGGGCTATCAAGTAAGCCGTTTCTAAGTTTGAAGTACTGTACAACACGATATTTTCGGTGTAACTTTAATTTCAGTGATTTCGGTAGTGGAAACCAGCACCTAAATTTGGATTACACCTAAAAGGCACCAGAGTACAAGTGTACACTGTATGTGATGGGAATGTTAGCCACCTAATTCTAAATTACACCTGAACTGACCTGGCAGGTTCCTGGCACCAAAATTTTGATGCACCTAAAATTGCATGTTTTAGTGGGATTTTGGAATCTCCGCGGTTATGGACATGAATACACATGGCAGTGTATGCTGCGGATATAGTGTGGCAAGGAAATTCTGCTTTCGAGATATCCGCAACGAGTGGACAGAAGGCTAGTAACTAACTCGTGAACGACCCAGCCATTACAATTTGATTAGAATTTATAACGGTATAGTAGTGTTGTTTTGTAGTATTTGTACAGAAATCAATCTGACTCTCGCCAGGCAGTGGAGTGGTCCTTTATTGACCACTATACTTGTATACTGTGCAGGACTGAAGTCGGCGGCAAGACGCAGTGTAAAGTCCTGCAGTCCGATGCACTCTACGACAACAGCAAGTTTGTTCCCTGCTATGAAGTCACCGATCACAGTATGTTCCCAGGCTATGCAGAGACTGTATTAATTATTTACCATGCCAGTGGCCGAGCCTTCAAATGCTATTATTTTAACGATTGGTACTTGAAGTATGCACACTGTTGTGTAAATATTCAGCTTAAAAAACTATAGGTTAGCGAAAGACAGGAATAGCCTTATGGGCAAGTCATGGCTTGTTGTTGCCCGGCAGTATAACCCGAGAGTTAACATGTAGGGCGCTACCGAGCTATTGAGTCCAAACTGCCATGCACTAATTCAATGATGTTACTCCTCTGTATGGGAACTGACCAAGCAGCTGTTCTTCAAACAGGGTTAGGGTGATCCTTACCAATTTGAGTTTCATTGCAAAAAAATTGGAACACATTTTGTTTGTGTAACCTTGCTTTGGGTAGTCTTTTTTTTGGTTGGTGTGCAAGGAGAGTTGAATACACCTGTTTGGACACATCTGTTGTGAGTACATCCGGTGGTCTTTAAACAAATCCAAGGCACTTAAAGTGTCCTCAAAAAGTACTAAAATTACGGTTGAACAGGCTCTGACAAAGTCTTTGGAGGGAAGGTTGCTGATTGGTCGCCTCCTAGGCAACGAGACTGGCCTTTCTCTAAAGTCTATTGGCAATTGAATACCCAGTGGATGGTCGTGGGTTTGTTTTGCCAACTAACAATTGGCATATCATTATAGGGGTGAAACGAAGGCCTCAATTTGCGAAACAAACCTTCTTTATCAAAACGAATCAAGGTGTCGAAGGATTCTTTTACCAGTGCCCATTGACGTGCACTCTGTGCATGTGCCCTACTAAGTACATGGCTGCACACACATGTGCTGTTCAGTCATCACGAGTGGCACGCTCATAGTTTTGCACTGCGCCGTTTGCTCCCCTAACTGCCCAATACTACTTCTGCACACCTTGGCCATGAATGGCGCGCGCTGAAGCACAGTCCGTGGCCTACTTTGCACTTGCATAGGCACGTAAAGAGAGCCAAGCGGACACACAACTAGTCGACTGTACATACTACAGTACAGTACACGCGTATACAGTGCATGCGTGCATGAAGAAATCGTGTGTCGACCTTCGTTTTAATTGAGAACGAAGGCCCAGTTTGTTTCAAATGAAAACGGAGGTTCCTCGAACCTTTGACACCTTCGTTTCACCCCTACCAATCTTTCTGCTGTCCATATGCAGTCGTGCCACCTGGCTCCATTGAGCTGCTGAAAGCGCTGCCCGGCATTCCGGAAGTGGAGATAACAGCCAAGTATCCGGTTGTCGAAGGTAAGCAACTAGAGTCCAATAGCATGCTCGTCCAATTGCAATAGCATGCTAAAAGTCATGTAGTTCCGGCAGATGTTTCCTGTGGTGACTTAGTCCACTACCCTCCTGTTCGTTCTGAAACAGCTAATAGGTTTGCATGTGGATGTCCAGTGTAGAAATGCTACTACTTCCCATGACATACTGGAGTCGTACCGATCAAATTCAAGTGGGTGATAATTTAGTCGAGTTTTCACCTGCCGTACAATTACAGTACAAGCTTTGAGTTTGTAGTTTACTTCGTTAATTTCTTCAGATGAGAAAATCCAGCGACAGTTTGTTCCTACCAAATCTACTACTTAATTGAAATCTACTGGGAATGTTCTGTTGTGAAGTTATCACTGTTGTACTTGTATTCAGGGGTGTGGTCCCTCCCCAAAACTACGCTCCTTGCAAAAACCTGCACATTCTTCAATCCCGTGTGTTTGTGTTGGAGGCTTCAGATCCTATGTTCCAGATAAGTAACCCTTTATTATTTGTGGATGTTTGCGTGCTTGGTGATTTCAGTTGACTATCCCAACAGTGGACTGCCAGTGGATATTCACATGACTGCATGGAGCCCGTGCATTCCCATGGATGCGAAGAGAAGTGGAATACCCATCATTGTCTTTGACTTTGACATCACGAACAACAGCCAAGAGGATGCTCAGGTGCCCATAATATGTTTGTAGCGTGCTGTGGGATTGCTGGCTATGGACTTCCTTGATACTGGCTAGGTCTGCCATCATGGTTCAGTGCATTTCGTATGTTTCTTCCCGGCGTTTGAACGGAATAGAAAGTAGTGTAGGATACTGGGTCATTGGGGCGTGAAAAAATTAACTCACGTTCATGTGTGAAGGTAAATATACTCTTTATCCATTTCATGACTTTTGGAGACGTATCTGGTAGCAGTGCTAGGGAGAGAGCATTTCTGCTCGCCACCATTTCCCATTGGCTATAAAGCTGCTTGATGCCTCATCCATAATACACTGGATATGCTAGTACAATGTAGCCAGTGTTCTTTTAGTGGCAGATAGCATGCTAGTCTGGGTTGAAAGTTGACATTACTTGCCGCTTTCGGCAACGTTTTATTCCCCAGCAGTGTTACAGAATCCGCAAATGGGGTGGAATGATTACAGGAGTGTTTGGAATTATTTTTGGATTTTTGACTACGTGCATGGCAGGTTTATTGTCAAGCGCATGTTGTCCATCGTATGCTGTGGGTATGTGATTTAGGTCACCTTGATGAACGCACAGCAAAACATGGTCGGTTGGGATGGACAAAGCCCCATCACAAGGGGAGGTAAGTTTCAGTTTTTTGCTTGTTTTACTCCCACAAAACACGCATACTTTTGATGATTGTAACGGAATCACAGCCATTCCGTTCCCCGGGACGCAGGACACAAAGGACAAGACTGGTTTGTTTTACATAATATATTATTGACATTACGGAAATGGAGACAACACTCAAAGGGACGAACCAGAAGACTGACAAAAGGACTCTCGACTACAAAATCGCGCATGCTCATATCACACATGCACGCGACTAGACGAGACAGTTTGGGGAATGCCATCACACAGGAAAACAACACATCATTTTACAACACCTGCCCCCTTGATGACATTCCACAAAATAATAAACCGACACCACGTTCCACATGCACAACAGCAAAAGGAACCACAGCAAAACAGAAAAACCAACCAACAGCTTACATTGTAGCACAACAAAACTGGGCCACGACACAGGGCCAAACCAAGACACAAGAGCCGACGCTCTAAACTCAGGCACACAAGGATAACCGAAACACGAGAGCCAAAGCTCCAACAAAATAATAACAATATGCGCGCAGCAGCGCAAAATAAATCTACAACACAAATTAATGCAGAACAACAGAACGACGAGAAGAGCAACATACCGACAACCAAACTCAACAACACAGCAACAAACTGAACAGCCAGAGAAACACGATCAGACAACACAGCGAGCAAAACAACAACAAGACGAACAACAAAGGACGACACACAGTCGGTGATGCCAGACTCATCCACTGGCCTCTGGCGAGCCACGGCCACACGCTCCATGCGGTACCTGCCGTCCCAGGCTCCAGTCCCCAGCTTCTGCCGGTCCACCACCTTCTCTGCCTCCTCTCCGCGTCTTCTTCCGCTTCCACCAGCTCCTCGTCTCTCCTCCATCCCCACGCTTACTCTCTAGTTGTACTATTACTTGTATTAGTTGTTGACGACGACGAACAGACTCATGACAAACTTACTCATCCTCTGCGTCCCGGGTTTCGGCACCACTTGTTACTGAATTGTTACTACTACTACTAGCTTAATTAACCACCCCTGCATCCAACCCTTGGCATGCTACAACCGACAACCGTTGCAAACTTGGGTGAGAGAATACATACAGTAGATTCAGTATAAAATTGGAAAGAAGATCATCGAAAGAATGAAAAAGGCAGCTGCATCAGCATGCAGCTGCGCATCAAAATCAAATGTAAAGATGGCGACCATGAACGACTGCGACGTGGATAAACTGCAAAACAAACTAGTGCAGCGACACTGACTCGAATGAGTAAAGAAGCGGAGAAGACGAAACGGCAAGGAAAGCGGATCGCTACGATCGCTCAAATGCACTAGCCTAGAGCATGCATAGCGAATGCAGTCAAACGGTCACGTGATAAGTGCGTACACAAGTCATACGTCATAATAATGCAGTTGACAAAGAAAAGGAAACAAAGCTGAGCGCGAGGCAAACAAATCTGCAGAGCGCGAAAATATAAACACATTGCACGAAGGATTTGTTTGAGAACAAAATGCACAGGTAGACAAAGAAGAAACAGTTCGAAGCTAGAATCAATGTCCGTGTTTCTTAGAATCAATCATGGAGAAAGCTAACTAAGAGTAACTACCTCTGTCACGCAAGACCGGACCTAAACACCTACGAAGTAAGAATTGATGTGTTACGAGAAATACGTGTAGTGAAATAAATTGGTATGCATTGCATCGTGACACAACTTGCCAAGCTGCATGTACGTGATTGTAAATGTACAAACAACATGCAACGTCGTAGTAAGCACAATCGTAACTCGTGAATTCCTTGTTGTTGACTCAAGGCAAGCAGTACCTCGTGTACACGCTGACAACGACGAACGAATTGATTAGACTCTGATAATAAATACTAATAATATGAAAGAACAACAAAACGTAAATGTCACCTACGATTACACAACACCTCTCCCCCAGGTGAATTTACAAGGAGAGGCGAACAGGGGGGCGAATCGAAGCACGATCGCGCAACCCATAACCATGCTGAACGACAGGAATAGGCCAATCTAGACTGACTAGCGATTCCTCCTCCTCGGGCAACTCAGCAACAACAGGAGCTGGAACATTAAGAACAGCAGGCTCACGAACGGGAACAGACTTCAACAGGGCGACATTGACAGTCTTGTCGCGACGACCAGGCTTCGAAATACTAACAGTGGAGGGTGAAACAACAGACTGTACAACCCAACCGTCCTCGAAAGCAGACTGACGTTTCTGGTGACGGTCAGGACGCAACAACAGGACACAATCACCAACCTGGTAAGGGCACGGTTGGACGGGTTCGATAAAGTCTGTTCGGGACAAAGCATCATCCACCAAATCTCGAATGCGTGCTGAACGAGCAGACAGGGTATCCACCCAATGACTCGCCGAGTACAGCAATGGCTCGGATGCAATTAACAGATGAGGTGGCTGCCAACCAACCATAGCTTGCATGGGCGACAGACCAGTTGCACTATGGGGGCGATTACGGTAGCAGTACAAGAGCATATCAAGGTCCAACAGCCAATCACCAGTGGACGAATCTAAAACCTTGCGCATCAGCCCGAGCACAGTGCGATTCATGCGCTCCGCAGACCCTTGTGATTGCGGGTGACGCACAGCACCAGTACGAACAGTAACACCCATAACCGAAAACAGGGAAGACACAATGGCATTGCAAAATTCCGTACCATTATCCGTACGAACACAATCTGGTGCACCCCAGACCTGACACATCCGCACAAAAGCAGCAGCAACAGAAGCAGCATCGTGGCGCTGTAGCGGAGCAATTTCAACCCACTTGGTGAAAGTGTCAACACACACCAAGACACAATGAAAGGGGGAACCATTACTCGAGCCAAGCTCTAGAACATCTAACACCACCTCACCCCATGGGCGACCAGAAATAGCATGACGCGAAGCAGCAACAGACGGACCACGACGAGGGTTAGCAGCACTGCATTGCAAACACTGAGACACAAAACTCTGACACACAGACGCAAGACCAGGAAAGAAGCAGCACTGACGCAACATATAGTACATCTTCTCCCAAGAGCCATGACCAGACACTTCATGAGCATTAGAAACCGCAGCAGAGACTAACGCAGCAGGCACAACAGGAACTATCACAATGCCATCAACAGGCGATTTGACAGACCGATACAATACACCATCATCAAGCAACAACTGCGTACGAACATTACGGTACTCACTGGGTAGTGGCTGATCATGTTGAAGGCCACTGATGACGGACTGTAGCGTAGCGTCATCGGCCTGAGCTGCGGTAATGTCGGTCAAACGAAGTGCACACGGCAGGTGGACACTTGGCGCAGCGGCGACACACTCATCCGGATCAGCAGCAGGCGGCGGCTCAGGAACAGCAGGCGGCTGCTCAGCACGCTGCAACAACGACTTGGCACGCTGATTCCACAGGTCCGGAACACGGGTGAGAACGTCGGCACGGTTCTCTGCACTGGGCACCCACTCGATTCGTGCACGTAAACCAGTTACATCGAGTAGATCAGCAAGGACCTGGAGACGCCGTTGAATGAGAACATCATTCAACCCCTTAGTCCGCACTCGCTGGGCATTGGTGAACACTTGGTCCAACCAGGCAGCGACTGTCTTGGAGTCGGTTTTGACCAGCAAATCCCGCACATTCCATGACACTGCAAGCTTGACGCCCTTGATGGCCGCGTCCAACTCAGCCACGTTGATGTGGCGACGATCGCTGACTTGGCGCATCCACGTGCCATCTTCAACCACGTCACCCCCGATCTCCAACGACGCACCGAGGGCAAGGTCCGAAGCATCGCACCACACGGTAGCAGAACTGGTCAGATCCGCATGCCATACACCATGCACCGGATCATGATTGTGGAGCCTTTGCTGCAGGTCAACACATATCTGCAGCAACTCAGGTGACACCGTGTCGTCCCAGCCGCAACACTCTAGGCATGCCAAACGCTTCGCCATACTGCACGCGGGCCGCAGCCAACCAACGACGGGGTAATGGCTGGTGAGACGCCCACACCACTGAAACACCTTGCGCTTGGTGAGTGGCTCATCAAACGCTGTCTTGACTCCGTCACGGCGGCGCCACTCAGTACGGCCATCTGGCGGCGTTGACAACTGCAAGCCGAGAACACGAGAGGTAGGCATTGGTTCCGCCGGCTTGGTCTCCAGCCCATAGCTAGCCAGGCGCGCAGTCACCGTCTCTGTCAGGGCAACAGGTACACGGACGTCGTCAATATAGTTGTCGACGTCATCAAACTCTCGAGTCACCCAGCGCACAATGATGTCCATAAATTTCGGCGCAATGTTCAGGCCGAATCCCATCCGCTTCATGACGTAAGAGCGACCTCGCCATACCACGACCTGGTAGCGCAGCAGATCAGGGTGAACACGAACTTGAAGGTATGCCTTCTTCAGATCAACCAGGACATACCCATCAGGGCACTTGACGCGCCACGACCGCAGCGTCTCGGCACATGCTGGGGCGTCTAGACCAGGACTTGAGATCAGTCGTTCGTTCAGTAGCCGGTAGTCCAGACACGGACGGACAGGTGTGCTGGCCTTGTGCGGCTGGCTGACTGCCAACAACGGCAAGACGCATTCCGGAGCACCATGAACAGCCTCGTCGTGAGGCACCATCCACCCAGCATCGATCCAGCCCTGGATCTCTGCACCAAACTTGCGCTCTTCCTCGTCTGTCAGTTTGGAGCGGGAATACTCGCCGATCCCGTGGCCGACTGGTGCATGCGGTGGCTTGCCATCTCGCCATTGCCAGTTGAGGGTCCAGCAACGCTGCGTGGCGTCCCAACGTACTGACCCATCGTCGGACGTCAGGATGATGTCGTCCCCGTCGGTCTGACAGCTGACATGCCGCAGTGGAACGTCGGCCACACCAGCTGTCACGTCGGCATGCTGGCCGAGCGTCACGCAGCACAAGCTGCCATCGTCATCGTAGCGCAGGTGCAGACCCCCACACTGCGCAATAGTGTCAGACCCGAGCAGAACATCAGTGCCGACCACAGACAGACTTGGAACGACGAGAACCTCCATGGCGACAGCGGGGATACTGACACAATCATCTTCCCGGACGAACTTCAACAGCGCACTGCCCAGGATACGCAAGGGTTGGCCATCCAGCGCCACCACTGGTTGGCCCGTGTGGGCCGTCACAGGAGTCCCGAGCTGGTCGACAAGTGCTGACGTCACCAACGTCCGGGTAGAACCAGTGTCTATGACGGACCGCACACGGACTCCCGATGCAGTGTCACAGGACACATCAACAAAGACCTTTGGCAATCCCGGCCGTGCCAAATTCGCCATGCACAGGCACCTGTCAGACTGCACTGGCTCTGCAGCTGCTGCCGAGGACTGTGCCAAAGAGGCGAGGAACTTGCGGCGCAACCGACAGTCCCTCTTCATGTGGCCCTCTTGATCGCAAAAGAAGCACATAAGCGGTCTCTGCTCCTTGGGCGGAGGGCGTGGCTTCTCATTGCCCCTCTGCTGCCGTCCGCCCTTCTGGTACCGGCGATGTGGACAGTTGCGCTGGACGTGCCCCACCTCATTGCAGTTGAAGCACAACACACTGGATTGGCGAAGTTCCGGAGCAGCAGCGGCAACAGCTCCCGATACACTGGCACGCTTGCGGCAGGAGTCGTCCGTAGATCGCAGAGCACGGACTTTGGCGACGCACTTAGTGACAGTCAGGTCTGACTCCGTGCTCGCCATGCGCACCTGCCGTCCATAGTCCAAGGACAGGCCATCCAACAATTGCTCGAGCAACACCATATCCTTGTCGTCGGCACATGTGTGGCCGGACAGCGCCAATAAGCGCTTCAGGTCGGTGACGTAGGTATCCACGGGCTCATCGTCCCGGAGCGTCCGCGCTTTAAATTGGCGGAACGCATCCGCCGGGGTCATGGTGTAAGCAGACTCCAGGGCCTTCTTTACTGCTGATTCACTGGCCTTGTCAGTATCAGACAACTGCTCAAACAGGTGGAAGGCATCACCATCCAAAAACAATGGCAACGATGCCATGCGGTCGGTTTCCGTCGACAGTTTCTGTAATCGGCACAGAACCAAAAACTTCCTCCAAAACAACTGGAAGTCTTCGCCTTTTCCTTTGAACGCCCTCAAGTAACCATCCATTTTGATGGATGCCATGGTTACACTGCCACTGCACTGGTGTAGCTCAAACCAACACCACAAACACTACAAATACTTAAAATTCACTCGACTGCCTCCTGCAGTTCTACACGAGCACTCGACCGGTCCTGAGGCTCTGTTCGATCGGGTTTCGGTACCACTTGTAACGGAATCACAGCCATTCCGTTCCCCGGGACGCAGGACACAAAGGACAAGACTGGTTTGTTTTACATAATATATTATTGACATTACGGAAATGGAGACAACACTCAAAGGGACGAACCAGAAGACTGACAAAAGGACTCTCGACTACAAAATCGCGCATGCTCATATCACACATGCACGCGACTAGACGAGACAGTTTGGGGAATGCCATCACACAGGAAAACAACACATCATTTTACAACATGATCCAATCATTCCAATGACCTATTGTGAAGGGGCGTTGCCAGTCATTATACTTCGAGTAGAATTACTGATGACAATACAGAGCCTACCACACAGGTTGTGGCCGTATGCTTCTGTATAGTTTTAAAACTGGCAAAACCATTCCGCATCGGCAGAAATGTCACCACTCTCTCAAGGATCAAGTTAGGTGCATGTGCAGCTCCTGAAGTAGTGGGAGCTGAGTAGGTCCGACCGTCTACAAAGCAAAGCGGTTGAAATGACGAAATTTCCCACTTGATGCATCCATGTTATCCCTGTGCCACTCCATGAGTTCCGAACTGTGTATTCCAGAAGGGTTTGAAAAAAACTTTCTGCTTCCAAGTTGAGTTCCCCGATTATTGAAACTTTGCTTGTGTACTGTCACATGGAGCCATCAAACTCATGCCCTGGTTTGCGCCACATGGCTTGTCAAGGTTATGATCTTGAGCCAACCCTGGCTCTTCGATTCATTATTGGCATACCCTTCCATGTGTAACATGCATGATCTCAAGACTCTCAAAGTACATGATTACGGATTGTAAGTTGTTGTTCCTTGTCTCTCACGAAGGGAGAAGAAGACAAAGGCAGTGCTAGTATGCGCACAGTTTACCGTGAATTCCTACGGTGTACTATTTATGAGTATTTTTGCTCCTGCTCTTGTAGTAGTTCAGCACTCTCATGTGAGGTAGTGCCTTTGCTGTTTGCATTACGCAGAGCTCACTGACTTGTCAGTTTGAGCACCCTGGCAAGGTACGTTCGGGCCTGATTTAAATCTGGCTTTGGAAATTTTATTTTCATTGCTATCAGGTTCGGCCTCATTTTCTCTGTGCAGCGCTGATGAGTCCACAAAGAACGAAACAATTCTGTCCACAGATTGAGTGTACTATTTTATGTGTATACTCATGACGTGTGGTAAAGTAGCCATACTGCACATGGCTGATTGCAAACTGAGCTTGTTCTGTATGCCATTGTGTTGCAGTATACAACCAGAACTACGGCGGCAACTCCAATGCACTGGTCCAGCTGAATGAGTAGGTTTCACCCTGATGCAGGGCGTTATGAACATTGTTGTCTCCTTCAAAGTTAATAAAAGATATCCTTGGACCTCCGTTGAGCAAAGAAGATATCGCAGTTACAGCACAGTACACAGATAATTGTAACTCTACTGCTTCAACTATGGTTCATGTGCACTTTATTTTCACAGTCACCTAGCAACTAAGACATGCTTTATTCATAGTCTCGGTTTCTGTTGTCCTGCTGTTACAATGCTCAGCAACTTGACTGCCATTGACATGTTCAATACTGGCTTGTCGGACCCGGTCAATGAGCATTATGACAGCCATGATGGCCACTTTGCAAACTGTGGTAAGTTAGGAAAAGATTCTGCTGTATGGCCTGATTTCGTTCCCCTTCCCATAAGCATTTGACGTGTTATTATCATAGTCTGAAAGAAACATTTGCTGTCCCATCAGTATAGGTTATTCACTAATGCAATCAGTTGAGATTATATTGTATCGAGTGGCAAAGCTGCTGTACAGCGATGCGCTATTGCTGGTTTGCCACGCAAGCAAGTCCACCGGCTCTTGCTGTATCCTAAGCTCCCAGAAACGAATCCGCTGACTCACGCTGCATGCTTAGCTCCCATAACAGAACCTACGATGTAAACTTAATAAAGGCATAAAATGCCTGTTGATATTGGTGAAGTAAAATAAATAAAAACAAGCGAACAAGCTTAGCGCCGATAAGGGAATCTGCCGACTCTTGCTGTATACTTAGCTTCCTTTAAAATCAAGTGAATCCGCCAATTTGCGCTGTATGCTTAGCTCTCATATGCTAACCCGCTGGCTCACTACCGTGACCTCATTTGTATAATCTCTGTGTACATTCAATTGTGTACCTGTTCCGTGCTTACCGTCATTGCCGGTGCATGTTTCCCAGTGGGGTTTGCCCCGCTCTCCTTCCCATGCAGTTTATCAGTTTTTAAAAGCGTATCACGTGGGTTGCGAAGCGAGTTGTGCGAAAGGCGAAGACGTGGCCTGATGAGAGGGGTGAGTTTTGCTGAAGGTGCCGCAAATATCTAGCTTACCCATTCCTTCTTAACATAACAGTGTAAAGTAGGATAAATGTAAACATCTCCGCAAACCCATTTGTATTAATTTTCATCGCTCTGGAGTGCTTTTTAAAGTGCTTCATATGCTTTCATGCTTCTTGTCTCTGGCTAGTTGCATCAGGTGACGGTGATGTAGTGTCATCGCTGCTGCAGTTCTTCTCCGTGGAGGCTATGTGGGCCATGTTCACCAGCCAGGATGGACTTAAGAACAATGGACTGTATGGTCCGTCACCGGTAATGATAGCATTGCACATTGCCACATGTCACGTGGTGTCTACGCGTGCGTATTCTAGTGATTTCAAACTCACACAGCTTATCACTAAGGCAGATTCACCGCAACAACCTGTATTGGGGTTGATAGCAAGGTATACGGTCGTATCACCGTTGACTGCATGTTTGCATAGCCTCAAATCGAATGCAATGCAGAAGATCCTGTCCCATTCAACTTGACTTTAGTGTTTATGTCATTGCAAAAATCAATTAAGATGTTTGTACGAAATGGCGTCGACAGAACAGACTTTCCGTTCAATACAAAGCACGTACAACGATGTTACAATGATGCCATTCACAATATGCTACTTGTATGAGAGCCATGATCAGAGATTCATCGGATTTATAATCTAGAGAGCTCACTGTCAGTGGTGGTAGCACACTGCAGGATCATTCACTGACAATCTACATCACAAACGCATGGGATTGGATTGGGATTGGATTGGGATTGGGATTGGGATTGGATTGGGATTGGATTGGGAATGGATTGGGATTGGATTGGGATTGGATTGGGATTGGATTGGGATTGGATTGGGATTGGATTGTTAGCACACGTGACCTGTATGTGTGTTGCTGTAGCCTGGCCGTACGTGGGATTCTGCCTTAGCATTGACTCGCGTTGTACCAGCCCAGTCTACTTCGGTGAGTGATTGCCTAGTATAAGCAGCTACCCCAGCAGATGGACACCCTTACCAATTTTTTCTACACACATGAGAGGGAGGGGGGGGGGGATCAGACTACTAGTAGTTTTTTTTCCATGCTGCCACCCCCCCCCCCCCCCCCCCACACACACACCTCTCTCCAGACGTATCTTCTTCTCTGTGTATACATTCATGCATTTGTTTATTCATCCAGTTTTACACCTTCACTGTGACATGTGGATCACCTCTTGGCCACACTTCTCTTAACCTACATGTTTACGAGTACATGCACAGTATACCGTAGGTTACACATTGATGCTTAACTTGAGTGTTGATTTCAAGACCAGTTAGTCGGGGAGATCGTTCTGCCGCATCACTACACACGCCAGACTCAATCAGATGTTTTGCCATTACCTCACGGTGCTGTCTGTGCCGTGTTGTCAGCTGGTTGGAAGTGCCCCCTCCCCTTTGTGTTAATAATACTTGCATTCCATCTAATTGTGGTGCAGCATATTTACTTTCACGCCTCCCTGACGGGAATACCCAGGGTCGGCACGGCGCCACTGGTACAGCTACCCGTGCCAAGTTGGACTTTTTTTAGTCTTCACTGTGGAATGTCCAGAGTGCAAGTGATCATCATCATAATATGCTGGTTCGCGTTGTGTCTGGCAGGCAGACATAGTGGGATGGTCTAAGACAATGATCGAGAAACAAAAGGTAACAGGTTCAAATCCTGCCTGGAAGTGGCAAGATTCTTCCAGCCATGCTGCGAGCCACAGTTAATTGGGAACTCGTGGTCTGGCACGACAGAAACATGGATGCAGCAAATGAGATTTTCAGTCTTTGACCACTTTACTGGCGGGCTGACCTACTCACTTCCCACTGCTTTAGGAGCTGCACCTGCGCCTTAGATCTTTGCTGGGTGGTGGCGCTCCTACGGATGGTGAAAACTCAGTCTAGCTGTGTCCCAAGCGAACCGTGAAAAATAGCGTTGTTTTTTAAGGCAAGCATCACCCTTACTGATCGTGGGTAAAGCTGTCTGTGTTTGCACTTTAAAAAAAAAATCTTGTACAGACTATCACCTTCTTTCTGGCATGGCACTTTCCATACCGGTAAGTAGATATACATTAGTGGACTTTCCTTCTTTCTCCGTTGAGGACAGCCGTAGCCTGACAACACACAGTGATGTGTAATGTTTCTTCATTTGTATGTGAGTGCCGGTTTGCGATGTTTTCATGTATGTTCTGTTTGCACGTACATTAAAGGGAAAGTTAAGGCTAAAATCAAAATTTCACCAGTTGTAGTCTTCCGGGTGCTGAGTCGAATGGTCGTGGTCCGAGGAAGCTGAGACGCTCTCGTCCTACTTGAATCCCAATCGAACTCGCGCACTTCCACCGAAACTGGGTGACTGCGCCCTACTAGATGGGGATATGTATGCAAAATGTCACTAAAAGCGCCATTTCGTTCTTATAAAAGCACAGATGACGGCGATTGGCCCATATGTTGTAGTCTTTTGGACGCTGAGTCGACTGGTTTCGGTCCGAGAAAGCTGCGATGCAGCGTTCCTCCTTTATTCCCAATCGAACATGGTTGAACAAGCGGTCACGTGCTCCTGCGTGCCCAAGTCACCTGGTCACCGCGCCAGCAGGCGACAACTTTCACACCAAGGTTCAACTCGAGTTCAACTCGAGTGACAGGACTGTACCCAAAAAAGGTCAAACAGGCTGTAAGTTGTACCCTGCAGGCACGGTGCCCAGGTGACTGGTGTACGCAGGAGCATGTGACCGCTTGTTCAACCATGTTCGATTGGGAATAAGGGCCGAACGCTGCATCGCAGCCTTTTCGGACCAAAACCAGTCGACTCGGCGTCCAAAGGACTACAACATATGGGCCAATCGCGGTCATCCGTGCTTTTATAAGAACGAAATGGCGCTTTTAGTGACATTTTGCATACATATCCCCATCTAACAGGTTAGTAGGGCGCAGTCACCCAGTTTCGGTGGAAGTGCGCAAGTTCGATTGGGATTAAAGTATAATGTTGGAAGGGAGCGTCTCAGCTTCCTCGGACCACGACCATTCGACTCAGCACCCCGAAGATTATATGTGACTGGTGAAATTTTAATTTTAGCCTTAACTTCCCCTTTAACATGTGCGCTTTCCATGCATCTCTCTGTTGAATGTACTGCAACTGTTCGAGCAGTGTCACAAACTGGGCCCATGGCGCCGGTGCCAAGAAGGGCCAACCTGGTTATCTTGGCAACTACTATGCTACTCTTTATCCCGACATCAAGACTGTAAGTACAGTCATGTACACATGGTGTACTTAAAACGCACATGTGTGTCCACAAAATGAAACCGTGAGAGGATCCAAGTGGAATATGTTGTAGCTCAGAGCTTCGTGCTGGAGCAATGATGAGACAACTGTTGTTTGACCTGGAATAATCATTATTGAACTCGGATGGCGAGCCAATTTAATTATGGTAAAAAAGGAGAAGGACAAATGTTACGAGTTATGACTAACTGTCCACCAACGTAACCAGATCATATACAGTCAGCGAGTGCGACATAATGGCACAAAACTAACAAGGAGTACTGGGACATTCAACGACCTGACACCTAGCTCCAACACTTCTCCGAGGCGCAAGCCAACAACCTTCCAGCTTGGAAGGCTCAGGTTCGGAAAGGTCCAAGACGGGAAGGAAAGCGCAACAAAGAAGAGCACGAGCTACCTCCAATGGCAACAAAGAATGCCGAAAGTTTCTGCATGATGACGAGACTAGTAAGGCTATTGAACCTGAGCCTTCCAAGCTGGAAGGTTGTTGGTTTGCGCCTCAGAGAAGTGTTGGAGCTAGGTGTCAGGTCATTGAATGTCCCAGTACTCCTCGTCAGTTGTTTTGCCATTTTGTCGCACTCGCTGACTGTATAATGATCTGGTTACGTTGGTGGACAGTTAGGCATAACTCGTAACATTTGTCCTTCTCCTTTTTTACCATATTATTATGTTGCTGCTCGTGCGTTAGTCATGTTGCTAATCAGTTGGCGGTGGATACTTGAGCACGCATGCCCTTAACACTACGAGCTAACTCTTGGCGGGCAATGCCCGAACATTGGCAGATTTGCTCAAAGAGCATTGATTAGTGAAACCAGAAAAAGCACTGGCGGACAATTCCGTTAACTCTGCCCCTGTCCCTTATCCATACACAACAAATGTACGCAACAACCCAGAAAAGGTACCAAATCGTGATGATTTTTCTGTGGGTATTATCTGCCAAGTCTGCTATGCATGATGCTGAAGGCTCTGCTGAATTGTACGATGGCCGGTTTGTAGTAGAAAAGAGGTTTAGCATCTTAAATTCGCAAGTGCTACTGCCGGAACCCACTTTTGTGTGCATTTGTGATACATCACATCAGAAATCTTGTAGCTGAATATCACTCAACTGATTGGGGTTGCTCAGTTTGGAAATTCGCCCTAATAGAGGTCTTGATATGGGAGGTCAGGGCAAGGGAAAACTGTGGGTACTCTGTTTGAACAACCTTAGTGCGATGCCCAAATAGACTGAGTGACTATCCTGTGTTGCTGCAGGTGCTGAAGTTCACCCACGACCAGTATGATGAGCTGCGATCACTGACCATGGCGTTCAGAGACTGTATGTTTGACAGCACATTGCCATGGCAACTCATTGACAGTGCAGCTGGGCGTGTGTCACCGCTAAGGTGAGCTAGGAAGATTTTCTCTAATTGTAGTGCATGTTTATACGAAAGAAAAGAACCGAGGAACTACAAGTTACGCCATAGTGTCCACTAACGCCACCAGCTTTCGCTGACCTGCACATTGATATTTGATTGATATTTATTTATTTGTACCTTTGCAGCACTGCACAGTTTGTACGAGTACTTGGAGATTTACGCAGTGCATGTCTACAGCTTATTTGAATGCGTGCCTACTGCGCTGCTTTGTTTGGATGTGTGCGTATTGCGCAGTACTAGTCCCTTGTATAGTACGCGAGTTGTAGTGCGGGTTAGCATACAGGTGTGAACGCTACGCACTTTTAATGCAAGCTACCTTTCTGGATTCTGTACTTGTTTTCATGCACGTGTCGCTGGCATACGCGATACGGGTCGGGTTTGTGTATTGGTTTTGAACCATGTTGTTCTTCTTTTCAGTTTAGTTGTTCTTTGGTTGCTCCGCGAGTTGTTGCTTTGGTTGGAGACAAAGATGGCTTTCCATTTCAGTAATATAATGTAATGTAACTATAACTGATAGTATTCTGTTGAGTGTTGGGATGCGTTGGGACCCCGACAACAATACCAGCTACTTGGCAATCAGCTCATGCAATACTGTACAGGCAGAACATTTCGTCGGTCAATAATTTCGTCCAACTCCAAAGAAAGAGTTCGTCCGGTTGTAAATTTCGTCCATGGATCATAAGAGTGTATTGAAAAGCTGGTCAAATCGACATTAGTCCAGCATTTAATTTAGTCCTAAGCTCCTTGGATGAAAAAGACAAAATTAAATTCCAGACGAATATTTCTGCTTAAACAGTAACATCCTTAGAGGCACGGAAGCTGTGTGGTATGTTGCTATGTGTTCTTGAATCGTGGTTTGACCATGTTGTCTAGTGGTCTTGCCAGTATCGTCATCGACATGCATTAACATCCGCCAACGTCCTTCACAGCTGAGACGTTCAGCTTGTGCTTGTCTTGGTTGCGCGCACCTTCCCCTCCTATATTATCATGATTCTTACTTAGAACCTTCCAAGTTGGAAGGCTGTTGGAGTGTGCAACCACGACGTGCTAGAGCTTATAGCCAGTTAGTTGTAGAACGTCAGCACTGTGGGTCAGTTTTGTGCAATGTTATCGCATGAGCTGATTGTCAAATAACTGGTAGTGTTAGTGGACAGTATGGCGTATTAAACTTTTAGTTCCTTGGTTCCTTTATTTTCTTTACTATAAAAAATTAATCATTGGCTCTCCATCCGAGTCTGTAGTGCATGTATGTAAATATTACTGTGCTGCAACAAAACCGCAATTCCAGGAACGTGTGGCCTAAGGGCATCCAGCCTGAAACAGTATGAACACCCAAGCCGGCATGTATGAAAAGCAGGGAGTCGTATGGGTATATACGACTACCTGATGAAAAGTGACAGTGCTGTTTCAATGCATTAGTGGGCCATATCTGGAACTTGTACATTTGACACATTCTTACACATCCCATCCTCTGCAGATCCCCAACTTGCATGTGGCTTGGCGATGGTCGCTTGTACGCGTTTGAAGGTGAGTCAAGGATGTACATATCACAGTGCACATACCAATGGCATAAAGGGAAACAAAACAAACAAAAAAACAAAAACAAATGGGTGTGTAGGCGCTACATGAGCTGCGCTGGTGAGGTGCAAAGAGAGAGAGGGCCCGAGAGAGAGAGAGAGAGAGAGAGAGAGAGAGAGAGAGAGAGAGAGAGAGAGAGAGAGAGAGAGAGAGAGAGAGAGAGAGAGAGAGAGAGAGAGAGAGAGAGAGAGAGAGAGAGAGAGAGAGAGAGAGAGAGAGAGAGAGAGAGAGAGAAAGAGAGAGAGAGAGGGAGAGGAAGAGAGAGGAATGGAGAGAGAGTGTGTGCATGTATGTGAACATGTGGGAGGGGATTGACGCATTGCATCTGTTCAAACCATCCTAAACATCGCTTTCCACTAAAAATGCAACACCTACGGATGGATGGCACATGATAGTGGAGGTTACGCGATGACATCATCACTTGGCGTGCCTCGTAAAATGGTTAATGTGTCTAGCAGTATTGCAAAGAGCTGGTTCCCCACCCAATACAAGGGGAAATGGCAGAGCCTCTTTAGTGGCATAGGTAAACATGTGATTGTGATGGAATGGATGAAAGGCAGTGAGCGGCTGTTAGTAACTCACGTAAATCTCAGCTTGTTGGCCACATTGAGTGCTCGGCACTCTACTTGACAAAATCCACATTGAGTGCTCGGCACTCTACTTGACAACATCCAGACCTAGCCAATGCCTTACTAGTATAGGGCACGTGCTTCCCTATGAGACGAATGTATCATGCCTCATCATCAGGCTCAAGCAAGTGCTGACAAAATTAGTACTTCAAAAAGCAGTAGCCGGGTGGAGATGATGACTGTCTTGTGCTGATCTAGACTACGGTCAGACCTCACTTATCCGGTCCTCTCCTATCCGGTTCCCTCGGTATCCGGAAGAAAATCGTTGATTAACGATTTACGGCATATGCCATGCGTACATACAGTATGTGTGTTCGATTATCCAGTTCCCTCGCCTACCCGGATATTTTTGTGGAAAATGGATGTGTGCGGTTAAGGATGGTCTGACAGTATTATGATGGTTGTTGATGTCTATGATGGCTGACTATGTTCATGTGATGATGTGTTTGCTGTTTCTCTACATCGTGTGATTTGTATCCTTCACCTACTGGCACTCGACCACGATGCTGTCATCATCGTGTGCTCACCCAGGATGCAGGGAAACCAGCGGTAATGTTTTTTTTAAGGGTGGTGCTTGCATGGATATTCAGTATACTATTCATTAGTATTCTATAGACCCCAGTTTTGTGTAGCAGGACCTGCGGACACATTGATTGCTTGATCCGACCATACCCGACATAGCCGTTCACATTGAACGAATATACCGTGTGCATTGCTTGCTTGATCCGGTCATACCATAGCCGGTAACACAGAACAAATATACCGTGTGCACATGACCATCTCAGCAGTAGACCTGCGTTGTTGGCCAGTAGGTTTGTCCGGCCATGGCCTGACCAACTGGAACAATTCCGCCAGCCACTGGTTGTGGTGGTATTGTTTTCAAGCTTCCACAGTATGGTGTATAGGCCTGCCAAGGCAATATCAATATGTGTACCTGCACAACAATACTTAGATGAACGGGTCTGACGTAGTCTGCATCATGATGTGACTGAACTCCACTAAGTTCAATTTCTAGCACAATGTTTTGAAAGAAAAGCTCTTGCATCACCATTCCCATGCTCACCGCGGCTTCGCCAGAGTTGGTTTTACACTATACGATGACGGTTAGATTTCTTCATGTTTGTCGTAATATCAGGTTGCTGTCCTATGAACTGCACACATGTGTGGAACTATGAGCAGTCGCTGGCCAGGTATGAACCTCATCATGTAATGTGCATGTGATGTGCATGTAATGTAATGCATGACATGTGATACATGTTGTGTAATAAGCCTGCAAAGTGGTGAACCTGTCATGTGATGATCATGTCATGTGATTGGCTGGTAGTTGTTCAATATAGTATATGGCTTGAAAGTGCTACGTCACAGCCAGCCCCGAGTCTTGACAATGCTGACTGTGACTTTCGGATCCACTCAGTAGATTCAGTTTTTGTATGGATCCAGCATGCTTGGGTGGTTTTCACAGCAGGTTGACACATTTCCCTGGGGGTGGCTGGACTGGCAGGGGCGTCGGAATTGGTGCGGCAGGTGCGGCCAAAGCCGCACCAATAATTTTCGATTTTTTGTAACATTTCAACCTTGTTAGTGGCTTGTCAACTCTTGTACAGGTACCATTACATGTACATTTTTGCATCGACAATGCTTTGTGTATCATCAGCATGCATATTCTATTTTTCTCATATTATTCTGTAGCGTTAAAATATGACCTTTTAGGCCCAATTTTCAAAAACATTTCCCGGGGGACGACCCCGCACCCCCTCTCACACTTTGGCCGCACCAATGTTAAACTGACGTCCCTGACTGGGCACTAGTGATCGGGCTATCAACTGCAAGAGGCATTGGCAGGATGTACCATAAGGAGTGTATTTCTGGCATACTAATTGCCCATCGACATAATCTTGGATTATTTCTACATCGACACTTACTGGAATCATTAGGCCATGAATGAATGTCTACGTGATATAGATTTTAGTATAATCTTTCAACTGCTTGGCCATTCCTGTGTTCATACTTCTTGTGTCTTTCTCCTAAATCATATGCGCCGACCAGTCTTTGGCCAAGTTTGGAGCAGACCATGAGGGATGTCGACCTCGGCGAAGGTCAACAAGTTACACCGGAGGGACGTCTAGTGACGTAAGCGTTTCAAAAATAATACTAAACGGGTGATAAATGGTTAGTCTGCGGTGCAAGTTGAAATTTAATAGGTACGATGGATGCAGTTTTACCAGTGAATGCAGTTTCACCAGTGAATGCAATGAGGAGGCTGTGGACAGTCTAAACCTGTTGGCATGTTCCTGTTTTGTGTTTTTGCTGTTCTATTGCCTAAAATTGCGTCTTTGTACCTGTAATGTTTCAGGAGAATCGTTGTCCCGCTGATGTTCCGGCCCACGTGGATGTCTTTTAAGAACTACCAGACCAAATCCAGTCAGACGGTATGCGTTGATGGCGAGCTAGGCGGTGTACTCAAGTTGTACCGCGAGGTAAATCAAACATACGCGTGTGTACACAATTGCCTATCGTTTTGTGATGGCTAATTTATTAATAGGCCTTGATTGGAGATCATGATCTTTTTGAATAAATAAAAAGTAGTTAACCAAGGTACTATTACAGTACTATCGGGCGCCAAAGAACGGAGCACCGAAGAACAAAAAGGCTAGAATTGCATCAAGCACAGCATACCAGGGTTCTAGCCAAAGGGGGAAGGGGCTCAGCCCCCGCCCCCCGCCTCCCCCTACTTCGAAGTACATTTTTGCGCACCCCCTGTGAAAACTGCACCCCCATGCTCATTTTCCTATTTTCATGTTTTCAACGAAAATGCAGTCGAAAGTCACTATTAGAGTCACTATTAGATGGTTGATAAGGCACATTTGTCAAGGGTGAAGTCGGGAATTCGCCCTATACGTTGCATTTAGCGTGGCAAGACAATATTGGAAAGTGGAAAATGGGATACGGGGTAACTGCTTCCCATGCCTCCTCGCCCCCCCCCCCCCCCTACTATTTTGACCTGGCTAGAACCCTGCATACCAATGTATTAACGGTGACTCAACTGCACATAGACTGAAATACATGAAAATAATAACAGTGTAGCCTATGGGCTAGAAGGCTAGCCCCCCTCCTCCCCCCGCCTCCTTCAGTTCTTCGACAACTGACAGTACTGTAGGCTAATTTGAGGCACAGATACTGAGAATTAACAACCTGACGGGAGTTAGTGTATAGCAATAGCTTGTTGGCAACATGAGGACAGTGTGGGCGACTCACGGTAGCGCTTAACAATGTGGATTTTGCTCCCGGGCTGCCTGTGTCAGTTGCCCTAGGGGCAAGGTCGATTCATGTACGCGCCCATACATGTATATCAGATGTTGCTCCTGCATTGCCTGCTATGTTTGTGCACTTATTCAGTATCGCATGGGAGCGGGTCTCACCTTCTTCAAGAAGATGTGGCCCAAAGCAAAGCTGATCATGAACAGATGGTTGACCATAAACGATCTGGGCGATGGTGAGTTTGAGTCGTGAAGCCGTCGTGCGTGGCGGTTTGAAACAATGCGGGCAACAAGTTACTCTGCCACTAGCTTGCATGGCGGGGTGTCACTTCTAGGATTTCGGAATGGACTATCAGTCAGTCCCCACGGTACTTTTGTTTTTTCCCCCAAGGGAGGCCTTGATGGCAACGGTCTGCATGTATCCTGCTATATTTGAGATCTTTGCCACCATTGTGTTGTGTTTGCACCAATGCATTGTGTCCATTTCAAGGTACAATGAGTGCTGCCCAGCCGAGCACGTACGACCGAGCCTTGTACGGTGTCAACACCTTCATCGGTTCTATGTACTTGTGCGCACTAAAGTGAGTTTATATCTCGGCGATAGGTATGCTTCTTGGATGGTTACTGGTAGGCTCCATCATTGAACTGACCCGCAGATCCTAATGGTATTGGTGGAACAGTACATAGGATTCATTGTGTATGCTCACCTCGAACCTTGTCACCACAGCACACCAGCACATCTATGCTCATGCACACCGTCTCTGTGTATGTGTATCCGTCTCACGAATGAACTTACTCACCAGATCCTAGTGGTATTAGCGGAACAGTACATAGGATTCATTGTGTATATTCACCACAAACCTTGTCACCACAGCACACCAGTACATCTACGCCCAAACACGCCGTCTCCGTGTATCTGTATTCGTCTGACGAACACAGATATACATAATCTCGAAGAGTTCTCTACTGACCGAAGATTGCTCCATGCCCGTATACAGCAGAGCTGTCCACGCAATAGGGAGAGATAGTTGACTGATAATCGTGAATAACGTGAAATTCCGAGTTGCAACATAACGTTAGCTTCTTCTTTCCTTTCTACTGCCTGTGAGAATTCAAATACATGTACTTCAATAGGAAGAAAGGAGTTTCTCCAGAGCGAGAAGTCCGAACTATGTCTGTGACATCTATCTGTGATGATTATTCCAGGGCATCTGAGCAAATGGCACTGCTGGATGATGATGCGGTAAGTTGAAAAGTGAAAATATGTCACTAGAAGCCTTTGCTTGTTGCAAAGGGCTTTGGATATCCTTTTTTTAACCCTTCGCAAATTATTTCACAACACGGACACTTGCAGAAGCCCCTGATTTAAGAAGTTAATAATAATAATACAGGTCGCATGTCTCCCAAATAATGGGTTCCACGCATCTGTCAACTGTTTCATCATGATATAGATTGCAGCAGGAAGGAAAGCATACGAAAAAAACCATAAACAGGTTCTAGCACATGGCAAATACATGCCATTTTTTTACACCGATGTACATTTGTCAATGAAGTCCAGCCATAGCTTTTTGTCCCGTGCAGTGTTGAGGCAATCCTCGAGCGTGTGTCCGAGAGGGGAGATGTCGGATTTCCCCACATCAATCCACCGAAGCCGCAGTCGTCCTCGTGGACGCTTCATCTTTGACGTGTCGATGGCCATGGTTAGCGCGCCATAGGAAGCCGTGCCCGGACCTTCCCAAACAACATGGCCGAACCATAGGAGACGTCTTCACTTGCAGACCCTGCTGATTGGTTGCTGTTTTGATTTTTCGACCTACCTACACTACTTATAATGGGGGTTTCAATCAAATACATTGAGCATTTTCAGTTTTACAGCACATGTTATCGCTTGCTATTAAAACAATAATAATAGTTCTGTGCATTTTGACTGCTGCCCTCTCACATGGTAGGAGTTGGCTAAGACGTTTGCTGACCGCTATGCACTTGGGCGACAGTCTCTTGACAAGAAGTGCTTTGTGAACAAACAGTGGTACACGCAACAAGTGGATCATAGAAAGCCGCTTGAAATACTCGGAGATGGTGAGTTAGAACTTAGCATTATTCAAATGTCTTGATTCAGTATGCAGTCACTTTGCTTTGGACTTTCAAAGTGAAATTGAGTTTACAAATGTACATTGCGTGTCACGCTCCTCGACAGTTTTGTGCTAGATTGTGCACGTCTGACTGTTCAAAATCTGGTTTGGTTGGTGGACTCGATTTCATACCTTGTGCCCACATTTTTCCATGTTACAATTCTTGGTAGGGTTCATCGTTGTTATCTCGTTGGAACTCAGTTTCATTCTTCTGTAGCAATTATCAGGAAAGTGAAGTGTGTGTGCGTGTGTGTGTGTGTGTGTGTGTGTGTGTGTGTGTGTGTACATGTGTATGTGTGTGTGTGTGTGCGTGTGTGTGTGTATATGTGTGTGTGTGTATGTTCCTTTTGTAGCCACCTTTGTGGACTGTCTCCTCGGTCAATGGTGGGGCTACATCCTTGAGCTTGGTGACATTCTTCCTTTGGATCACTGCAAGAGCACTGTCACTAACATCTTTGCACACAACCACCAGGATTCGTTCATTCCTAGTAAGTTATTCCAAACCCGGGGGTGGGGGGGGGGGGGGGCAGGAAGAATGCTGGACTCTTTGACTTGAGTATGTAGCCTTCTCCATACACACATCCTGGCACCTACTTTATCGTTACTGGCTTAAAAAAATCACTTGAACCAGGTCCTTTACATTGTCCTTCCTTTCCACCTGCTGTGGATTGCTTTCATTCGAAGTTTATGCACATTGATGCCTAAAGATACTGTATGAGTGCGTTTGATGCATTTATTGTGACCACTTCTATGTGCTGGCATGATCCATGACCGCCAACCTCATGCACAATGTATCATCTACAATGTACCTGATGTTTCAGTGCATGGAGCAAGGCTCTCACTGGTTCGACGAGCCGGATTTCATCAAACACAACCGCATGTGTTTCATCCGCTGCTTCTGTTGTGGCTGGCTAGCTCAATCCAGCAGCACATGACAAGCTGGTCAACTTCTCTATAAGTTCGCTTTCCTGAAAGCATCTCCCGTAATTTCTGCTTGTGAAACTGTAGAGGAACAGTCACCGCGCCCGTTCATGGACCAGCGAGACGCTGGCATGTACATTGGTTGCTGGCCTGACGGCAAAGTGCCTAAGAACAGCCTGAGATACCTGAGAGAGGTAACCCGGCAGTGGCTGGGCAATAATTATAATGTATTGCCATGTCTTCAACATCTACATTTTGGCATTTCCATTTCTTTCTGCAGTTGTTGATTGTTGCTCTCTGACCCGCGCTATGTGAGATCTCACTACCTTTAATACGCCCTTCATTATCCACACGCCATTTTGCGTACTTTTCCTAGCCAGCCTTTGAGGTGTGTTGATTGCCGAGAACCCATGTGTGATGTTGATGAATGACCTGGTGCTTGTCTTTCACTTCAACTGACTGCCGGTGTTACTTAACCGTCTCTTGTTTCAGGTTGCGTGGACTGGGCTATCGCACTACTTTGCTGGTCTGTGCATATACCTGGGTCAGAATGACATTGCCATGCAAGGTGAGTTCACTATTCTGGCCACATCATGTAAGTTTCCCAGTATGCATTGTATCATGGTTAAGTAGCAGCTCCGCGCTCTTTTTAACCTGTGAAGACATTTTGGAAAAAGCTGGGTTTGAGAAGCCAGATCATCTAGTGGGATAGGAAAAGATTATACTGGTACTTGTATTTACATGGATCTAATTGAGTACATAGCAGACTCAGCGGAGGACGTTAAGGTTTGCTGTAACTCTGAGTTTCATGCCGTTAGGCAATCATCAGACAACTGATTGCCTAATGGCATGAAACTCAGAGTTACAACCAACCTGAACGTCCTCCGCTGAGTCTGCTATGTACTAAGCTCTGTCTCTGACATTGAGCACTCTCTGCAGCTCGGGGATCAACGGATTTGATCTGAAGTGTATGTATCTATAGAATACCTCGTGCAGAAGACTCCCCACCCCGCGGAATCCCCTTTCCCCAGAATTGTACGCATGTGCTGTGCGGTTTGTACTGTACAGTCTTAAAGGATGCTCGTTACTGCTACGATGGTACCCGCCGTAGTCCGTGGAATGAGATCGAGTGTGGTGACCACTACTCACGGCCAATGTGCGGTTTCCAGCTCTTTGCTACGGCGTCGGGCATTGTAAGTCTTACCACATCATAATGTTCTAGCTTGGACTGAAGGCTCAGACTAAAATCATGTACATGTAAAAGTTCTATCCAAACTGAATTTAGCCTTTTAAATTGCTCAGTATAGCAGGTTATTTGAGGTCTCTGGTGCGGTTCCGGGCGGGGCGGTGTCTGTCAGTTTTTTGCTTCTCGTGTTTTCAAATTTCACCTCCAACATGCAGCGAAACATATTCAGCTTTTGTTGCCAAAATGTTATGGGCCAACAGCCACACGTCAAATTGCACTGCTCTTTGTGTAGCTTTTCTTATGATAGAGAAAGCAACCGGAGTTGTGTTTTTTTGTCTGTTGTATGTCCAGTAAGCCATGCCCTGACTCACTGACATTCTCATGACCTCCAGAGATCTTTTAAAATCGTCTATCGTTGTGCCATTTCTCTTGTGCCGTGTCCTTGTCCAGACCTGGCAGCCCCAGCCAGACATGGGCCATCTGCGGGTAGGATTCAAACCGCTCATTGGGCCCAATACTTACCGCGGTTTCTACAGCCTGCCCAATGCTTGGGGACAGTACTCTCAAACTGCCGCTGACGACTTTACGAGCGGAACTGCCCAGGTATGATGCACTTCAGCATATTTGCCTGAACGCCTTCTCTTAATAAGACAACTGGTATCCTGAGACATCGCTCATCTCAGTACCCTTCCAGTGCTATTTTTACTACACAGTGCATGGCCACTCTGAATCATCGTGCAGCAACCTTCAACGTGCGCTACCAAATCTGAGTTATGCATATTTCTGAGGTATGGCCAGCCTTTGGTGACACGATGACCGTATAAGAAAGGGGTTCGTGTTGATTTTCATGTGCAACAACTAGCGCCACCGATAATTCTCTCTCTCTCTTTCTCTCTCTCTCTCTCTCTCTCTCTCTCTCTCTCTCTCTCTCTCTCTCTCTCTCTCTCTCTTTCTCTCTTTTCTCTCTCTCTCTCTCTCTCTCTCTCTATTTCTCTCTCTCTCTCTCTCTCTCTCTCTCTCTCTCTCTCTCTCTCTCTCTCTCTCTCTCTCTCTCTCTCTCTCTCTCTCTCTCTCTCTCTCTCTCTCTCTCTCTCTCTCTCTCTCTCTCTCTCTCTCTCTCTCTCTCTCTCTCTCTCTCTCTCTCTCTCTCTCTCTCTCTCTCTCTCTCTCTCTCTCTCTCTCTCTCTCTCTCTCTCTCTCTCTCTCTCTCTCTCTCTCTCTCGCTCGCTCGCTCGCTCTCTCTCTCTCTCTGTCAGGGACCTACGTAAGCTGAAGCATGATCAACCTATATCATTTGCATTTGTGTTTTTTTCTGATCTTGTCTTTCTCATTTCTGTTGCATTCTCAGATGCTCCCATAAGTCTATCATTCATAGTATGCCCCCTTGGCCCGCACAGTCCATGTCGATTCCGAGACCGAAATGGTCGGAGGAGAGCACTGCGCCTGACCAGCACAGCTCTTGTAGCACCTACTACTCCTTTGTTGTCTTTGTCTCTTTTATTACCCCTATTACTTTGTAGGGATGTGCACATAGTATATTTGTTTTTAAATGTCTGACAAGCTCGTGATTCATGCGGAGCCTGATAGGCTAAATTCAGGTGCACCTGCACTGACCGAGCTTGGCCGTACATCAACCGGAGAGGCTTGGATTGCCTGACGCAGTGAATCTGGTATGGTGGTGCCTGAAAAGGCTGTTCCTGTTGGGAATTTTGGCCCGGCCATTGACGAGATTCCTATTTTTCTGTTGATGCTCTTCATGATGTTTACAGATCACTATTGCCTATGGAACACTAGGCATTGTCGAGCTATGGCTACCCTTCCAGAACGCTGACATGGAGAAGATCAGTGTATCACTTGGCTCAGCCAACGTACCTGTGAAGAGCGCTGTGTTGGTAAGGTTTTATTGGAAGCGTTTTCTCAAATGCAACCATGTCTGACCGACACTTCAATTAAAGAGGATCAAAGAGCACCAGTTATTTGATCCTGTGCTAGATCATACCATTGCAACCAAAAGCACCCTACATTGTAGGTCAGTAGGCGTACACACATACTCACTCACACGCACGCGCACACCCCGGCACCCACGCACACACACGTAATAATATGGTATGTGTATGCTATTTCTGCTGCTATCCAGAACAAGGAAGGCTATGTGCAGCTGATCTTCACTAGTCTGGTGGCCATGAACCAAACCAATTCACCGTTGAAGGTTACCGTGGCAACCTCAGAGTGAGCGAATGGTACTGAGGCGAGTGATAGGGAATGTAGCAGTCAGTTATGATATCATTAATTTTGTATTGTTGCTCCATTTTAGGACATTCATCCTTCCACTCTTCAAATGTGTCTTCTTCATGCACCAGCTAGTGTGGTTTTAAGTTTAGGCAAATCGCCTCTGCATCGTTCCCAGTAATGATGGCAATGTAGATCAGTAGCTCATTAGTTGTGTAAGCTTGGTTAGAAAGCAGACGCGCATGCTAGCACTAGGTTTTTATTTTTGGGTATCTATTCTCTTCTTCAACTGTCACTCCCCTCTCGGAATACTACTCAAGTCACCAAACTGCCACGTTTATTGAATGTGCACTGACTATGCTGTTATTCAAATTGCTAAGTCCCAATGACTCTCCCTGCCACCCGTAAAAATTCCATTTCGCCGGGCCTCACTAATATATTTCAAACAAATGGTATACCCGTGTATCATGAAGTTCTATACTCGATTTAAAGATATGATAGGTATCTCTCCTCATGCCCCCTACCCCTAGCCTAAACCAACCTGGCTCCTCGCCATTATGTTGATATTTTACTCGAGCACATTGGTATTTATGAGCTTTTTGACTGATAAAGCAAACTTTTAGCACTTCATGCCCGCCACCTCTTTTCGTTTCTTTTCCTTTCTGCATCACCGTAATCTTCTATATTCACTGTAGAGTTAGAGTTTAATTTAGAGTGAGTTTACATTTCTTAGGTTCGAGTAGCTTGCTGAAATGTTTATCCACATGTACCGGTACGTCTATATTTTATTGGTTTAATTTGCTCTCAAGATTAATGAGCTTTCCGGTAAAAATTGTTGATGGGATCTTCATTTGATCCGTCCATTCACTATAACAAGTAAGAAAGGGAGCTTATTTACTCTTGATAGTCATGATCGGTTCTTCTTTTGACCAGACGAGACCACCACTCACCTCACCACCACTGCCACGATTCAGGTTGCGCGTGCTTCCCCTAGCTGCATCTCATGTTTTTGTTTCGCTCTGTAAAGAGCACTTAGGGTTCCCTGTAACAAGACGGCAACGTCTGTAGGGCCTTCCCTATCAAAATAATAAATTCTACTACTACTACTACTATGTTTGGCATTTAAGTGGTCTTTGTAAAAAAAATAAAAAACACAGTGACGCATTCAGACACCAGCCTAAGATAGGTGGCAAAGTAGCCTGAGCTAAATGACAGCCGGCAAGAAAATCATATTCACTAACGGCAGGAGCTAAAGATGGCGTCTAAACTTTCAGAATGGACGGACGAACTGAGGAAAGCATCGACAAAATTATGACTTCTCCCGGACCAGGAAGTCTGCCATTGAGGAGAGGAGTGATAATATTATGACCTGCTTCATATGTCATAGTATACAGTAGTGTGAGACGCCCCCGGTGACCCTGCAGTTAAAGGGGAAGTTAAGGCAAAAATTAAAATTTCACCAGTTGTAGTCTTCGGGGTGCTGAGTTGAATGGTCGTGGTCCGAGGAAGCTGAGACGCTCCCCTCCTACTTGAATCCCAATCGAACTCGCGCACTTCCACCGAAACTGGGTGACTGCGCCCTACTAGATGGGGATTTGTATGCAAAATGTCACTAAAAGCGCCATTTCGTTCTTATAAAAGCACGGATGACCGCGATTGGCCCATATGTTGTAGTCTTTTGGACGCTGAGTCGACTGGTTTTGGTCCGAAAAGGCTGCGATGCAGCGTTCCTCCTTTATTCCCAATCGAACATGGTTGAACAAGTGGTCACGTGCTCCTGGGTGCCCAAATCACCTGGTCACCACGCCAGCAGGTGACAACTTTCACACCAAGGGTCAACTCGAGTTCAACTCGAGTGACAGGACTGCACCCAAAAAAGGTCAAACAGGCTAGTAAGTTGTACCCTGCAGGCACGGTGACCAGGTGACTGGCGTACGCAGGAGCACGTGACCGCTTGTTCAACCATGTTCGATTGGGAATAAAGGCGGAACGCTACATCGCAGCCTTTTCGGACCAAAACCAGTCGACTCAGCGTCCAAAAGACTACAACATATGGGTCAATCGCGGTCATCCGTGCTTTTATAAGAACGAAATGGCGCTTTTAGTGACATTTTGCATACAAATCCCCATCTCGTAGGGCGCAGTCACCCAGTTTCGGTGGAAGTGCGCGAGTTCGATTGGGATTCAAGTAGGAAGGGAGCGTCTCAGCTTCCTCGGACCACGACCATTCGACTCAGCACCCCGAAGACTACAACTGGTGAAATTTTAATTTTTGCCTTAAAGGGGAAGTTAAGGCAAAAATTAAAATTTCACCAGTTGTAGTCTTCGGGGTGCTGAGTCGAATGGTCTTGGTCCGAGAAAGCTGAGACGCTCCCTTCCTACTTGAATCCCAATCGAACTCGCGCACTTCCACCGAAACTGGGTGACTGCGCCCTACGAGATGGGGAATTGTATGCAAAATGTCACTAAAAGCGCCATTTCGTTCATATAAAAGCACGGATGACCGCGATTGGCCCATATGTTGTAGTCTTTTGGACGCTGAGTCGACTGGTTTTGGTCCGAAAAGGCTGCGATGCAGCGTTCGCCCCTAATTCCCAATCGAACATGGTTGAACAAGCGGTCACGTGCTCCTGCGTACACCAGTCACCTGGTCACCGTGCCTGCAGGGTACAACTTACAGCCTGTTTTGACCTTTTTTGGGTGCAGTCCTGTCACTCGAGTTGAACCTTGGTGTGAAAGTTGTCGCCTGCTGGCGTGGTGACCAGGTGATTTTGGCACCCAGGAGCACGTGACCGCTTGTTCAACCATGTTCGATTGGGAATAAAGGAGGAACGCTGCATCGCAGCCTTTTCGGACCAAAACCAGTCGACTCAGCGTCCAAAAGACTACAACATATGGGCCAATCGCGGTCATCCGTGCTTTTATAAGAACGAAATGGCGCTTTTAATGACATTTTGCATACAAATCCCCATCTCGTAGGGCGCAGTCACCCAGTTTCGGTGGAAGTGCGCGAGTTCGATTGGGATTCAAGTAGGAAGGGAGCGTCTCAGCTTTCTCGGACCAAGACCATTCGACTCAGCACCCCGAAGACTACAACTTGTGAAATTTTAATTTTTGCCTTAACTTCCCCTTTAACTTCCCCTTTAAAGATTAGGATGGACACGTCGCTATAGTAGCTCACAGCCCCCCATTCTGTCGCACACATCACCAGCCTTCCTTTTGTATCTACGGTCGGCTGACTTTCTGAGTTTGTGAAGTATTTTGTCCTGCATGACATTGTGCAGGTACATTGTAGCATCATTATTTTTTGATTTCAGGTATGACGTTACGGTTAGACGTCGAATGTTGCTTTGGTGGCTGTCAGTGTCACTTGTCTTCAACCTTGCACCAAGAGTTCATCAACGCTTGTTCATGAACTCTTGCTTGCACCCTTACCACCTTGTCACCACTGCCGGCATGCCGGCAGTATTCTCTGTGACCTGACCATGGTGACGGTTATAGCGTTTGTGCCTCTCTAATCTCTTTCTCCCTGTGATTAGGCATTGGCGGATAGTGGCAGATTCTGCTCGAAAAGCAGTGAAATTGGCAGAACCATACAACCTTATGGCGGGCAATTCCTCGCTCTGCTCCATTTCTTTATCCACATACCAAACACGCATGAAACTTACCAGAAAAGTACCGAATTCTGCCAATTTTTCTGCCGGCATTATCCGCATACGCCTACTTGTGATTGACTTAGCACTTCCTTTCGCGGCTGTAAGACTAGTGTAACTGATAGGCCAGTTCACACTGTGACACCTCTATTCTGACCTTTGTCACAAGTGTGAGTTGCATACCTTGCACACAAATATCTTCTGATATAAAAAAGCATTGTTTCGTTCAGAGATAGTGGTAGCGACTTCGGACATGGGCACCAGTTTCCTATTCGGTAATCGTATAGTTCAGCCCCTTCATGATTCAGCACGGTAGTTCCCATCATGCTAAAATTCAAGCCTGATTTTCCAGGAGTAACTCAGTGACTGTGACTTGCTGTCCTGTCGTGGACATGAACTGGTGAACTGTTGGTGCTAGTAATGTCTGCAAGCACCGTGTAGTCTGGTCCGAGTCGTCTGTATGGTCACAAGAAGAACACGTCCCTACTTTCCGGTAAGTGGGGAGAAAATGGTGCTATGTACTTTGAAGTACTGAGTCTGTATGCAGCGAACTATGGCTATCAGTTCACCGTAACATGGTGCCATAACACGTCGTTTTGACTTCTAATACTAGTAAGTTCTATACGACTCCCCGCAGGGGTTTCCATGACACCAAGGCCGGATATAAAGTGATGAGCAATAGCTGAGCAAAGAGAGGGATAAAGAAGTATAGTGCAGAGCAGAGCTCTGCGCCTCAGGACCGCCGGGAAGCAGTGTTTTGGTCTGGTTGTATCATGGCCCGCTTCCGAAGTTCATACTTTGTGGATGATACATGTATGGCGGGTACACTCGTACATGTATGCCCTCCGGCTCCACAGGAGGACACATCATGTGTTGCCTGATTGTCAGGCTGGTCGAGTGTGACTTGACAGAAAGACAAGACTGAAACTGGCGTGAAAGAGAGATACATGTACTTTAGACGCTACACATGACGCTACACATGACGCCACACATGTGTGATAACTCGCTCGGACAGCGTTCCGGTTAGTCTCGCCCATGGCTGTGTCGTCTCTAACCCTTGGAACGTTTTGTGACAAGTATAGTCACGGCTGGCATAACGCAACTTCACCCAGTCCTAACCCCACACACACATAACCAACTGATCTCGTCAGAGCAGAGAATATGTTCACTGTTTGGGAGAAGAGCACCGAAAGAATCTCTCGCTAAAAGCAACAGCATGCTATGATATAACACATTGTAGAAAACAGCAAGCAGCGGCAGTAGCGATAGTACTTGCTAAACATGCAGCTAAACTGCTACTATGTCCGCTGCACGGACGGCGATCGGACACGCACACGCACACGCACACACATACATGCACAGGTCTGCGTGATCTAGAAGCGGCTGTCATCATAAGATACGCAAAGTGTGAAAGGGTATTAGAACGGGGCAAGCCTAGACCCGGTGTCTGGACCGCAACATGTACTTGATTAAAAGCATAGCCAGTCAATGGTCAAGCAGGTGCAATCACGCACATCCACACCTAGCGTACTACTACTATAAAGCGAATTCATAACTACAGGTATTGCACTTTCTACTGCAAATGCACAGTCGTGCGCTTCATCTATTGACAGCAGCCAAACCTATCATTTTACAGTCTCACTGGGTAGGTGACCTCGCCGGCACACACCGTATATTATATTGTAGAATAACTGTTCCAACTACGGTCCGGAAGACACAGTGTGTCCACGTTCTACGCACAGTAGCTATCAGCAGTAAGTTAAAAGTTACAAGCCCTCACTCTCGGGCTATGACATCTCCCCGCGCCTTCGAAAAGACTGCCACGTCCTCGTGGCGACAACATTCGGCTTACCGTCGTCTTCTCAACTGGGTTTGCATTCCAAAATACTGCGGTGGCCGGACGGTCCTCCCAGCTCGAGTCTGAACCGCAATCTGGGCTGGTTGTGGCGGTGGCTGGTTGACTGGTAGCGGCATCTGCACAACTGGTTGGCCGCCAACACCGTCCACGCCGCCATACGTCTCATGCTGGGCATCCTCATCAGAATCCCAATACAACAAGTCTGTAGGGTCCGGCACATACACATCAGCCGGGGGCGTTTCGACAGACTCAGCATCTTCAGGTTCCTTCACCTCATTCACAACGAATCTGGTGATACGTTCTAGTCACGCCTAAGTGACCTAGATGATCATGGTACTCACTCAGCACCTGACCGCGCAACGCAACTGGCACCAAAATTTGAAACTTTGTGCC